TTACGACCCGAAGGGCTGCGAGGACGAAGCACCAGCCTGGAAGGAGAGGAGGGAGGCCCCAACTTCCGGCAAACAGGAGGAGTGGAACATCATGAAATTCTTCCAGTCCTATATCCCCAAAAGCCGCAGCGAGGAACCCTCTGCCGCTGCTGCCGTCGAGGTTAAAGTGGCAGCAGCAGCGGCCCCCCAAGAAGTGAAGCCGGCACCTCCCTCTCCCAGCAAACGGGAGGTCAAGGAGGTCGTGCCCCCGGCCAGGAAGTGGGAGGCCCAGGAGTGGGACATCCTGAAGATCCAGGAGGCCTATGACCCCCAAGGCTGCAAGGAGGAAGACAGATGAGAGACTTACCTGCCTTTGAACTCTGTAGATTGGGTTTGGGAAATCGGCACTTCTAGGTGTTGCTTGCCTCCGAGGGAGAGTTTTGGGGCTCAATTAAAAAATAATAGTGTTTCCCCAAAAATAAGACACTGTTCTATAATTATTTTTCCTCAAGAAGACACAGGATGACCTATTTTCAGGGGATGTCTTATTTTTATTAAGTACTAACTGTACCCGCCATGCGTTGCTGTGGCTAACCTTCCCTCCCTCTTTCTCTCCTTCCTTCTCTTCCTTCCCCTTACCCTTTCTGCCTTTTTTCTTTCTCTACCTATTCTTTGACTGCAACTCCCAGCAGTCCTCCTGATCGATCTACCTACCTACCTACCTATCTATCTCTATCTAATAAATCTATCTTATCTATCTGGAGGATTGCTGGGAGTTGCAGTCCAGGAATAGGAAATTAGAAATATGCAGGGATTGGGATGCTCTCAAAGAAATCCAAGGAGAAGCAAGCTTGCAGCTTGGAAGCAGTGCATTTGGATCATCCTCCTCTCCTAAAGGGCCTGGGATGCTGGGAGCTGTAGTCCGAAAGAGAGTGTAGATATGTTACTGTGTGTTTTGTTTGCCAGGGGGAGTCATTTTTCAGCATCTTTTGCTTTTTTTGGCTTTTAAGTCCCTTCCACTGTGTTTTTCAGTGTTTTTATGAGTGATGGTCACTCGTCGGCCTGACAGATGTGTTGTGTCCAAATTTCGTGTCAATTCGTCCAGTGGTTTTTGAGTTATGTTAATCCCACAAACTGACATTACATTTTTATTTATATAGATGGCACAACAATCTGCATTTATGGGATGATCTCTCTGGGCTCTCAGTAGGATGAGTCGAGCTTTTTCGGGGTATGTCTTATATTGCACAGATGCTTAGAAATCCTGCTATGGTTTATTTTATGGGTATGTCTTATTTTCGGGGAAACAGGGTAAGAGAAGTGATTGGGATTGTCTTTTCTGGGATTAGTAGTCTATCTGTCTGGGTCCTATTGGCCAGTGCCCGTTTTCTTACAAACTTTAAGAATCATAGAATCCTAAAGTTGGAAGGGCCAGCCCTATTCTGCCAGGCAGGAACACACAATCAAAGCCCTCCCAACAGATGGCCATCCAGCCTCATAGACATTAGAAGGTTCATGGAAAAATAAGGCTATAGGACCTTAGACCTGGAAGAAATCCCAGTCCAACCCCATTTCTGCCTTACAGGGGGAAAAACACACAATCAAAGCCCTCCTGACAGATGGCCATCCAGTCTCATAGACATTAGAAGGTTCATGGAAAAATAAGGCTATAGGACCTTAGACCTGGAAGAAATCCCAGCCCAACCTCATTTCTGCCTTACAGGGGGGGAAACACACAATCAAAGCCCTCCCAACAGGATGGCCGTCCAGCCTCTGCTTAAGAACCTCCAGGAAAATCAGTTCCAATTCCAGCTGAGCAACACATTTCCCTCTCCATTTTGGAAAGGGCAATGAGGGCGAATTTACTTCAACCATGAGGTTCTTTTATGGTGGTTTGGACCTTTAGGGGGCAATTTTTTAACCGAGTCAAGATTTTAATGGGGGCTGTTGGAGGCTTCCTCAAGAGTATCATCTGAATGATGGGCTGTGCTGTCCTGAGGACTTGGAAGTCCACTTTGGAAACAAACCCATCACCCCCTTTGCAAACTTGGATTCACCTTTTCCGACAAAAAAGGCCAAATTCTCATGATTCCATAGCCTTGAGCAGTCAAATGTGGCGTCGAACTGCGATTCGACAGTGCAGGTGACTTTAATGATAAATAATACACAACAGTGGGGTGTATTTCTTTCCTTTTCACCTCATTTTCAAAGGAGAGGCCCTTCCTTCCTTCCTTCCCCTTCCCTTCCTCTTCTTTCTTTCTTTCAGAAACAAACCAGATGTCTTAGGGCTTTAGCATGGCAGGTTAAACCACCAGCTGTAGAAAATCTTGCCAAGCGAAAGGTTGACCGTTCGAAGCCCGTGTCAGGGTGAGCTCTTGGCCAGCTTTTGCCTACCTAGCAATTTGAAAGCAAATGTGAGTAGATAACTAGGTACCGCTTTAAGCGTGGAGGTAATAAAAGGCGCCCATAAGCACATGCTTTACGGAGGTCCTTTACGGATGGCAAAAAGCTCCTTGGCATGGAAGATGGAGTGACAGCATCCCCCCCCCCCCAAATGGCTGGATTTGACCACAGCCTCCAGATGCCAGAAATGGAAAAAGATGGGAAAAGCCTATGCCTCTATATGTTGTCTGTCCTTGTCAGTTGTATAACGGCATTGAATGTTTGCCGTATATGTGTTCTGTAATCTGCCCTGAGTGTATGAAGTATTAGGCCCTCAGGTGGTGCAGAGGGTTAAACTGCTGAGCTGATGAACTTGCTGACCGAAAGGTTGGCGATTCGAATCCGGGGAGTGAGGTGAGCTCCTGCTGTTAGGCTCAGCTTCTGCCAACCTAGCAGTTTGAAAACATGCAAATGTGAGTAGATCAATAGGTACCGTTCCGACAAGATTGGCAAGATTTACTGTAGCTAGATGGACTACAACTCCTGTCATCCAGGGTCAATCTCACCCTAAGCCCCAAGCATTCTGGGTAAGGAATGTTCAACCTGTTGCTGTCATTTTTTCATCCAGTTTCCCATCAAGATGTCATAAATATAAATAATATACTTTAAAAGGTTGACAGTTTGAAGCCCGGATTGGGGTGAGCTCCTGGGCTTTAGCCCAGCTTCTGCCTAGCTAGCAGTTCAAAAGCAAATGTGAGTAGATAAATAGGTACCACTTTAAAGCAGGGAGGTATTTAAGGCACCCATAAGGAAATGCCAGAAAAATACCAGCGATTCGATCAATGAGGAAGTTGAGGAAGTTTTAGTGCTGTAGAATTTGAAGAGGCGCGAATGGAGGGCGAAAGAGAGAAACGTGCCAAGAGAAAGGCACGTCAAGCCAACCCCGACCGGGACCGCCTTCCAACTGGAAACCAATGTCCTCACTGCGGGAGAACATACAGATCAAAAATAGGGCTCCACAGTCACCTATGGACCCACCGCCAGTACACCAATCTTGGAAGGAAGGATTGCCTAAGTAAGTAAGTAAGTTAGGAACAAAGCTCTTTGGCAGGGAAAGTGGAGTGACAGCACCCCCAGTGGCTGGAACCGAGCATAGCTTCCAAGATGCTGAAGATGGGAAAGCCTATATATACAAGGAGCGTTCATTAAAGATTTCCCGACTCACTTCCTGCGGACTGAAAGCAATGAAACTTGGCCCAGTTCTGAGTCCTTCTCTCTCTAGGTGCCACACTTCTCCCATCTTTTTAAGCAACTGCAAACACCTCACTTGTAGAAGTCAACAGGTTGCTCCAAAAGCTACGTTGTGACTTTGGAAATCTCATCATCTGAAAAATGCTTGCCCTTCAAAAATAACTTCCGAGGTGGAAGTCGGTTGGTGCGAGGTCAGGTGAATAAGGGGGATGTGGTCGACTTCCAAAGCCACTGGAGCAGGCTTCTTCCATTTGGGCAACAGGTGAGGAGTGAATTGGTGCATTGTTTTGCAGAAGGTGGAAACCTTTGGTGAGCATGCCACGTCGGTCTCTTGGTTTGGATGGCCTCCCGTAATGTCCGCAGCAGTGAAGTCTAGTCTGCCCCAGTGATCATTGTACCTTTTGTTGGGATATCCATCCATCCTACTCCGTGCTGGTCCCATAATCCTGTGAGCATGACCTTGCCTGCCAAGAGTTGGGCACGTACCTTCTTTGGAGGCGATGAGTCAGGATGTTTCCATTGCATCAACTGGACTTGAGTCCTGGGATCATCGTGATGGACCCGGCTTTCCTCCTGTGTGATCAGTCTGTTGAAAAAGTCCTGGTTTCCATGGCATGTCATTGTCAAGAGAGCCTGAGAGCATTCAACTTGTTCCTCCTTCTGGAAAGGTGTCTGCAGCTGGTGGGACCAACGAGCGGATACCTCGTTGGTTTTGGGTGATTTTTTCCAGACCTCATACTCATCTTGACATTTTGGGCCAGGTGGCGAATGGTTACCTGGTGATTTTTCAAAATGGTGACCTCCACATGTTGGGTGGTGTATTCACAATAGCAGAGTGGGGTCGCTTTGGAACTGGAGCTGTTTGCACTGAAATCCAGCCACACTGGAATTGACAATACTAGCTCTTGACTCCATCATCTGATGGGGAATCATTCCCATAAACCTCTTTCATCTCATTGAACGTTTCAAGGAAAGGAACTTGAGGACTGCTCTATATTCCACTGAGTCCATTCACAAACCTCATGCCACTTCAGCATCTGTAATATCAAGACAGTTACCAGTTCTGAGTTGTAAATTGGCACGTCACCTATAGAGACTTATATCATTACACACGTGCAGTTCCAGAGTCCTGTGATAAATAGAAGTGGGTCAGGGCAAATCTTTAAAGAGCACCCCTCGTACCTCTATCATGTACCTCTATCTATGTCTTGTGTGTAACAGCATTGAATGTTTGCCACATATGTATGTTCTGTGATCCACTCTGAGTCCCCTTTCGGGGTAAGAAGGGAGGAATATAAGTACTGTAAATAAATAAATGAGGCCTTTCTCAATTCGTTTGTAAACCTAAAATGCCTTTCCGCTTCTCTCCTTCCCAAGGAAAGGAAACAAAAGCCAACAAAAAACAAAAGTCTTTTTTTCATTAAAAAAACAAAAACCAACCCTTTATATATTCATTTCATGTCTGTCTGAAATCACAATGGGGAGAGAAGGCAAGAGGGGAGGAGGAAGACGGGAGGGAAGAAAAGAAAGAAAAGAAGAAACGGGACCAATACAAACCAACAACGGGTCGCTCCAGGAAGCGAGAACTGGGAAAAGGAAGGAAGGAGGGACGGATGGCAGGGAAAGGAGGGAATGAGAGAAAAAGAGAGAGAGAGCAAGGATGGAGGGGCATGTGACCTAGAATGTCATCTACTGTGTGGCTTGAGAAAGCTTCGATCCGGGTGCCACCGTCACTGTCATTGCCACCTTCCTCTTGCTTTTGTCCCGCCGAGCCTCAGCTCTCGTCGTCCTCGTCTGCGGAGTCCGACTCGGCTTCCGGGATCCGCTCCCGTTCTGCCCCTTCCGTCTTGGGATAGTCCCGCACTCTGTGAAAGAGATAAGAGAGGAAGAAAGGGATCTTTCGTTGTGAGGTGGTACGAGCCGTCCCCGAGTTCCAAACATCCGACTTACAAACAACTCACAGTTAAGACAAAGGCATGCAAACAAAGATGGGTAAAGTGTTTCAACAGAAACCAAGTCACAAGAACAAACCCTTTTGGGCAGAAGGGGGTTGGACTAGATGGTCTTTAGGAGCCCCTTCAAACTCTAGGATTCTACGGATGCTAGTTAACACTTTACCCCAGCAGCCTTTAAGCTCAGATGAACGTTTCCTTTTCCCAGCTAACCATTACAGACCAAGTTCAAGTCCTTACTCGTTGTGGGTGTTTTCAGGAGACTTGGCATCTCCGGAAGTCCAGTTGTCGCCTCGGTCCTGGTTCTCCACTTTGCTCTCTGTTTTCTGGGCCGCCGATTCACCATTCACGGGGGCTGGGAGGTCTGCAGCAGAAAGAGGAACAAGGAAATGAGGCGATCCAACTGCCTGTTGGCACAATAGGTCAAATATCGGAAAGTGTGGGACAGAACTTTCCAAACTTTGTATGTCAGTGAGATATTTTTTAGGCCGGCATCCTTTCGCAACACTGACATTCCGTTTTACGAGCAAGCTGGAGGTTCAACCGAGTCCTTAGAAGAGTTTCATACAATATTTATATATGTTACATATAATCTTTACTGCTTCAATCAGGTTTGGACATGTCTACCTTACACTTCTTATGTTGATTCTTTCAAAGTTCCCTCTATAGCCGCTTTACATGTACCCATTTTAGTGGCAATTACTTAAACTTAGTGAACACATTCTGCAAATTATACACGTTATCACAGGACCTACACTTGAACAGCACAGCACCAGCACTCCACTTCTGTGAGGACTAAAAACTCTTTGGAAGTTTTTCAACTGAGGCTGGATGGCCATCTGTTGGGAGGGCTTTGTCTTCCTGCCTGACTGAAGGAGGCTGAACTAGATGCCCTTTGGAGGTCTCATCCAGTGGAGTGAAGGTTACCGAACCAAGGCTGAATGGCCATCTGTTGGGAGGGCTTTGACTGTACCATCCTACCTGGCTGAAAGGGGTTGAACTGGATGCCCTTTGGGGGTCTCTTCCAGTGGAGTGACAGTAATTGAACTGAGGCTGGATGGCTATCTGTTGGTAGGGCTTTGACTGTACCTTCCTACTTGGCTGAAGGGGGCTGGACTTTGGGGGTCTCTTTCAGTGGAGTGACGGTTACTGAACATCTGTTGGGAGAGCTCTGACTGTGCCTTCCTGCCTGGCTGAAAGGGGTTGGACTGAATGCCCTCTGGGGGTCTCTTCCAGTGCAGGTGGAGAGGGAACACTTTTAATGCGAGACACCTGTGGACTGGTGGTGACACACTAATGTGTCCTGACACACAGTTTGGAAAGCTCTGCTCTAGGGGTATAGATATATGGATCCAGGGCAGAGCGCTCTCCCTGTCGTACCAGCGTCTGCCTCGTCTCCCCTCTCGTCCGGCCGCTCTCCTTCAGGCGGCTTCTCCTGGACTTTATCTCCTTCTCCTATCTCCTTCTCCGGCTCCAGCCGGCCGGCTTTCGGGGTGGCGCCCGCCTTGGGGCCGAGGACCCGGGACTTCAGGCAGGTGTACACCTCGGCCGCCTTCTCCATCACATCTTTGTTGGCTTTGTAACGCCGGATCTAAAGACGGAAACGAAAGAGACAGCCGTGGAATACTCAGCCTCCTGGAGTTTGAAACAAGCAAGAAACCCTAGTCTCGGCATTGACACTAGAGTCTGTTGCATTTGGAAGATAACCTTACAGCAGAGTAAGAAGTTTGGGATTGTAGTTCCATACTGGGAGCATAGCCATCATTTGGTTTCTGGACTAGAAGATACTCCAGGAAGGACCACATAATTAACCGAGAAATAACACTCTGAAACCAGGAGCAGAGTTTTTCCATAGTGTAACATTATTATAATTTATATTTAATTATGTATTATTAATATTATTTTATCATTCAAGACGTCCGCCACGTGTTACAGTTGGACGCACTAAATGTGCCCGCTTGGCTGGTGATCTGAACTGGGGCTTATTTTTTGGTGGTAGGGCTTCTTGAAAAATCAAGCTAGGGCTTATTCTTCAGATTGGTCTCGTTTCCAGAAAAAACCATACTGTATTTTCACGGTTGGAGGACAAAGAGACCATGAAGCCGGAAATGGAAAGGCATCAGAAGTTACAACCTGAATTAAACAAGGTCCTTTCCTATGGGGGGGGGGGGGGGTGGAGGAGTCGGGGGTGCCAATGTAGATTGCCATGGGATCACTGAGGGTTAAACCACCAGCTGCAGAAAATCTTGTCAGAAATATTAATAGTATATTCTGGCGTATAAGACTAATTTTTAACCCAAGAAAATCTTCTCAAAAGTCAGGGGTCGTCTTATACGCGGGTATAGTCTTATGCATGGGAGTAGTCTTAACTCTATATTTTAACTGGAAATGTTGGGGGTCATCTTATACGCCCAGTCGTCTTATATGCTGGAATATACGGTAAATATTTTTTATTACAAAAGTCAAGCAGTGTTAGAGTAATTGGGCCAAAGCTAGTGTCATCCTGAGGAGAATGAGTAGGCTGACGCCTGTTAAGAGTCAGTGAGCCAAAGCTAGTGTTGTCCTGAGGAGTGTGAGGTAAACCTCTGTGTGAGAGAAGCCTCATATGAGAAAGCTCCAGTGTAAAGGCTGCTGCGTGTAAAGCTACTATATATTTTTTTATTTGTGTTATGGAAACCTAGTTCTTGTTCTAGGGATAATAGTGTCACCGTATTATTTTACTACAAAGAAAAGCCTCCTATGGAAGAGATAACATGGCTTTGTGTGTTTCTGTTCTTTTTATCACTTTGGGCTACATGTGCTGGATCAGTTACTATGCTGTATGTTTATGAGTAGGGTCTTTGGTTAAGAAGCCCACTCACCCAACAAATCTTGCCAACCAGAATGTTGGTAGTTCAAAGCCACAGGAGGGGTGAGCTCCCGCCATTAGCCCTAACTTCTGCCTACCTAGCAGTTCAAAAACAATAATGTGAGTAGATCAATAGGTACAGCTTTGTCAGGGAGGTAAAAGGCGCCCATACAGACATGTTGGCAATTCGATCAGGAAGGTGTCCACGGACAACAGGCTCCTCGACATGGAAAATGGAACAAGAGCACCACCCACGGCTGAAGTCGAGCACAAACTCCAGATGCCGGAGATGAAAAAGGGGAAGCCTTTGCCTCTGTCTGTGTACTGTCTGCCTTTGTTTGCCATATATATATTCTATAATCCACTCTGAGTCCCCTTGGAGAGACAGAGCAGAATATAAACAAAGTATATTATCATCACCATCACCATCACCATCTTCATCTTGGGACACGAGGGTCGCATGTATGCCTCTGAACAGGCAAGTGAATAATAATAATAATAATAATAATAACAACAACAATAGATTATTGATAACTCAAAATCGAACTGCAAATGCTCTGGCATAAACAACACAACACACTGGGTGCTATGCCAAAAGACCTCAGTCAGCATTTGGAAACAATAAACATTGACAAAATCACGATCTGTCAACTGCAAAAGATCACCTTACTTGGATCTGTGCGCATCATTTGAAAGTACATCACACAATCCTAGACTTTTAGCAAGTGTTCGACTTGTGATTCTGTGATACGAAATCCAGCATATATATCTTGTTTGCTGTGACATACTGTGTTTTTGTGTCAGTAAAATAATAATAGATTTATTTATATCCCGCCACCAACTCCTGGAATGGACTCAGGGTGGCTTACAAAAGCACATAATAGTGCTACAAAACGCATAAAATACAAGTAAAATACATCAACATTTACAACTATAAGAATATCAATGAACATAAAACGAATGAACATGAAACAACTTACAAAAATTCCAGTTCAATTTAGGTAAAATACTCAGTAAAACGTAGCAAAATGGGCAGTACCAAATTACAAGTAGACATAAAGTGCCAGTCATATCAATTCATTTGGTCGTCTAATTTAACTAATGTTTTCACCATTTTCAAAGGCTTGCTTAAAAAACCATGTTTTCAATTCCCTCCAAAAATACTGGAATGTGGGGGCTTTCCTAATTTCCCTAGGAAGGGCATTCTAAAGCCTATATGACTATAGAGAACAAAAAGGTAGGGCAAGGATAATCAGGATACCTTCTTCAATGTGGCCACGACGTCCGTGTGCTTCTGGAGGATCTGAGAGGTGACCTGCAAACTGCCCAGTTCTTCTAATGCGCTCAGGCAACGCTTGATGTCCTATGGGAGACAGGAAGAAGGGCCATGACAGAAAAGGAGGAGGAGGATGGGGACATATCGATATATTTCTATATAACCCATCTTGACTTGAGTCTAATGTGCCATTGAGTCTAATGTGCACCTCTGCGGTGGCGCATTGGGTTAAACTCTTGTTCTGCTGAACTGCTGACCTGAAGGTTGGCAGTTCGAATCTATGAGATGGGGCGAGCTCCTGTTTGTCAGCTCCAGTTCCAGAAGCCAGACCTTGAAACTGCAAGGCCATTAAATGCTAATCAAGGTGTCCAATTGCAACATTCACAATTACTTCAAACAGACAAGAGTTCTTTCTCCAACCCTGGGCATTCCACAGATATATAAACCCCACTTTCCTAGTTTCCAACAGACCTCCCAACCGCTGAGGATGCCTGCCAAAGATGCAGACGAAACGTCAGGAGAAAATGTTTCTGGAACATGGCTATACAGCCCGGAAAACTCACAACCCAGAGTGAATCCTTTCCACCCCATTCTTGCTCTCCTCCAAAAACAGAGGGAGGAGGGAAGAAAATTTTGAAAAGGGAAAGGAAAATAGTTACAATGATTTACAACAAATTATTATCATGGTTAACAGAAAAAGAACAGGTCAGGTCTTGTATGATTAAATGGGCGGAAAACTTAAGGAGACCAATTCAATTTAGGGAGTGGGAACAAATGTGGAACAAAAAGTTAAAATACACGTATGCTATGGACTTGAAGGAGAACTGGTTTAAAATGTTCCACAGATGGTACATCACCCCCAAAAAATTAAGCCATATGTATAAAAATACATCAGATAAGTGTTGGAAGTGTTGTGAAGAAGTCGGTACATTCTATCACATGTGGTGGACCTGTAAGGAAACAACTAAATATTGGTCTTTAATCCATGAGGAAACACAAAAAATCTTAAACAAAAAGTTTAAGAAAAAATCAGAATATTATTTGTTAGGCTTCACTGACTTGGAATTACAATTGAATGAAAATGAAGATAAGTTATTGACATTTATGATAACAGCGGCAAAATCTTAGAAAAAAGAACAAATCCCCACGGTGGATGAGTGGGTGGATAAGGTAAAAGAAATAAGAGACATGGGCGAGTTAACTTTTTTGCTAAAGAAAAATACTGGGAAATCTATAAAAAAGACAGATTGGGCTCTCTTTTATGACTATGAAACGAAAAGAAAAGAGAGAGAAACAAAGAAGAGGTAAATAAATAGTGAAATAAAAGATAAAAAGATCCTGAGATTGGAATGGAAGTCATTTTATTTTATTTATTTTTTGGCTTTTTGTATTTTTTTCCCTTAGGTTGTTGTTTTGTTGAATTATTGAGTGTATTTCCTACTTTTCTATCTTCTTCTTAAATATTCCCCCTCTTCCCATGTATTTATGTTTCAAACTGTTTAATAAAAATCTATTTTAAAAAAAAGATTACAAAAACCAATATGAAAACAATCTTACTGGGTTATCGACTTTGAGGGCAAACTTGATCTCGCTGTGCAGCTTCTGGAGCTTCTCCTCGATTGTCGGTTCTGCAAATCATGTTTTTAAAAAGAAATATTTGCAGAAAGCATATATTTACACCTTCTATCCCATCCACAACACAACCCGTATTTCCCTTTTCTTCCTATCCGGTTTCGGCCACCATGTTTACCTTTCTTCTTCTCCACTCTCCTTTCTGGGATTGGCTCCGGTTTTTTCCTGCCTCGTTCCGCTTTCACAGCTCTATGGAGAGGAAACAACTGGTTACGGGGCTGGGCTTTAGCAGAGTGGGTTAACTGCCAGCTGCAGAATATCTTGCCAATCGAAAGGTTGACAGTTCAAGCCCGGGTCGGGGTGAGTTCCCGACCAGTAACCCAGCTTCAGCTCACCTAGCAGATTGAAAACAGCAATGTGAGTAGATAAATAGGTACCACTTTAAATGGGGAGGTGATAAAAGGCACCCATAAGCACAGATCAACTGGGACGTCGTTTACGGATGACAAAAAGCTCATCAGCATGGAAGATGGAATGACAGCACCTCCGCATGGCTCGAGTTGAGCACAGCCTCCAGATGCCGGAGATGGAAAAAGGAAAAAGCCTATGCCTGTGTTTATGTATTGTCTGTCCTTGTCAATTGTATAACACCATTGAATGTTTGCAATGAATGTTTTCCGTAATATGCCCTGAGTATATAAAGTATAATAAAGTATATTATTTATATTTATAGCATATTGATGGGAAAATTGACAGCAATGGGTTGAACATTCCTCACCCAGAATGCTTAGGGCCAGAATGGATCTGGGCCAAACATGGCACACAGACCCATTGTAACCACCTGAAAATACTGGTGGGGCTTAGGGCAAGATTGACCCTGGATGACGTGAGTTGTGACTCCCACCAACGATGGATTGGGGCCAGTCCCGGCAAACGTAATAGTGACGGAGTTTGTAGTTTACCCATATCATTATGCATTTTCTAAAAGGGCCATTCATGGCATCCAAAATAAATGTATAATGTCACAAATACCACCTCAATTGCTTCATAGGAAATCTGCTACAAAACAGGGAGGGTTTTTTTGTTGAGTTTCAGGGTCAGAGAAACAAATGGTGAAAACAGAATGGCCTGCCTCAGGGGAGCGGGCTTGCCCCATCAATGTTTAACAGTTACACAAATGACCAGCCACTGCCAGAAGAGACAGAGTGTTTAATCTATGCTGACGATTGTGCCATCATCGCTCAAACAGAGAGCTTTGAAATGGTTGAACAGAAGCTCTCTGAAGCTCTAGGTGCTCTTACCACCTATTACAGGGAAAACCAGCTGATTCCGAATCCATCTAAACACAGATTTGTGCTTTTCATCTTAAGAACAGGCAAGCATCACGAGCTCTGAGGATGATCTGGGAAGGAATCCCACTGGAGCATTGCAGCACACCCAAATACCTGGGAGTTGCTCTGGACTGTGCTCACATGAAAGTTGACTGGCACAACCTGGAGGTTAAAACCAGACACAGTGAAGACATGGCCTCATGCTTGGCTACCCTGCTGCTGTGTATGCATGCCCAGTGTGGAACACATCTCACCATGTTAAAACAATGGATGTGGCTCTTAATGAGACATGCTGCATTATCACAGGACGCCTACGCTGCTGGAGAAATTACACTGTGTGGCCGGTATTGCACCACCTGACATCTGTCGAGAACTAGCATTCAGTAATGAAAGGATCAAGGCATTGACACCTCCAGCCCATCCTCTGTTCGGGTATCAGCCAGAAGCCAACACCTTAAATCAAGAAATAGCTTCCTAAGACCTACAGGGATACTCAAAGCAACACCACAGCAAGCAAGAGTCTAAAAGTGGCAGGCGAAAACCCGGAACCTCAATCAGTGGCTGAGACCAGATGATAAACTCACTCCTGGGCAGGCAGACAACTGGGCAACCTGGAAGGCACTGAACAGACTGATCTCTGGCACCACGAGATGCAGCCAACCTTAAGAAATGGGCTACAAAGTGGAGTCCATGACATGCGAGTGTGGAGAAGAGCAAACCACAGATCACTTACTAAAATGCAGCCTGAGCCCTGCCACATGCACAATGGAGGACCTTCTCACAGTGACACCAGAGGCGTAATGCCAAGTTTTTTTTTACTTTGTTTGTGGTTTTTCTATACATTAATAATAATAATAATAATAATAATAATAATAATAATAATAATAATCTTTATTTAATACCCCACCACCACCCCCACAATGGGGACTAGGGGCGGCTTACATGAGGCCAAGCCCAACAGCATATTATAATAAGGTAAAACCAAAACACAATAACAACACAGTAAAATACATGCAACATATGAGTACAAAGACGATAAAGCAAAATCATACACAGTAAAATAAAATAACATAACATACCAATGAACGGGCCGCATGTGCAAGATAAAAACTAAGATACTAAAAATACTAAAATCAGGATGAGATAGGGATGGATTTACATTATATCCATTACATCACATTACATCACATTACAACTGCATTCTCAATAATAAATAAATAAAAGCACCCAAATCCAACCAATGACTTCTTTCAATGTTTATCTTTATAAAACAGTGCACTTTGGACTGTGGGCATGTTACGCAATAAGAAATCTTGGTGATGGGATCAAAGTCCCCTAAGGTGATGTTTAGCTGCAATATTTTAATAATGTTGTGCAATAAAACCAAGCTGGTGTCTGTATGTTGAACCATGGGCAGCTCTCTCAGACCATTTTGTATGATTTTGGGGGCTTATCTGTATCAATCTATCGTCGCTTTCTCACCTGTTCCGCGGCTTCTCCTCTCCTTGGCCCTTCTTCTCCTTCTGACTTTGTTTCCTGGAGGCTTCGGACGGGGGATGTTTCTTCGGAGGCTTTTTCACCTGGAAAGAGAGAGGAACAAACCTTACCAAGAGAGACATCGCAGACTCTATCCAGTGGTTCCCAACTTTTGGGCCTCCAGGTATTTTGGCCTTTAACTCCCAGAAATCCCAGTTAGCTTGCTAGCTGTTAGGAAGTGTGAGAGCTGAAGCCTAAAACTCCTGGAGGCCCAAAGGTTGGGAACCACTGCATAGACAGTGAAAACATCCCTGCGGTTATACTCTCTGCATACAGAGCCTGCGTTCGCAGAGCATCTGTTGCACTGGAAACCTTGTTTCACGACTCAATCAAACAGCCATCGCTCTATAGCTGCTGGGAATGTGAAAAGCCACACACAGAAACATTGATATTTTTTCCTTAATGCTTTTATAGCAGTGTTTCTCAACCTGGGGGTCACGAGGGGGTGTCAGAGGGGTCGCCAAAGACCATCAGAAAACACAGTATTTTCTGTTGGTCATGGGGTTCTGTGTGGGAAGTTTGGCCCAATTCTATCATTGGTAGGGTTCAAAGTGCTCTTTGATTGTAGGTGAACTATAAATCCTAACAACTACAACTCCCTAATGTCAACCTCTAGTTTCTCCAAACTCCACCAGTATTCACATTTGGGCATATGAGTATTCGTGCCAAGTTTGGTCCAGATCCATCATTGTTTGAGTCCACAGTGCTCTCTGGATGTAGGTGAACTACAACTCCAAAACTCAAGGTCCATGCCCACCAAACCCTTCCAGTATTTTCTGTTGGTCATGGGAGTTCTGTGTGCCAAGTTTGGTTGAATTCCATCATTAGTGGAGTTCAGAATGCTCTTTGATTGTAGGTGAACTATAAATCCCAGCAACTACAACTCCCACAGGATAAAATCAATCCCCCCAACAACCCCACCAGTATTCAAATTTGGATGTATTGGGTATTTGCACCAAATTTGGTCCAGTGAATGAACGGACATCCTGCATACCAGATATTTACATTACGATTCACAACAGCAGCAAAATGACAGTTATGAAGTAGCAACAAAAACAATTTTATGGTTGGGGGGTCACCATGAAGTAGTGTATTGAGGGGTCATGGCATTAGGAAGGTTGAGAACCACTATTCTATAGGAATCTCTAGCTCTTCCAGCACAATTGCAATAGATGGCCATCAGTTGGAGATGCTTTGGAAAGTGCATTTCCTGCATGTAGACAGAAGGGGGTTGGGACTGGATGGCCCTTTGGGGGTCCCTTGCAGCTCTAGAATTCTATGATCCCATTTCTCTATGAGGCCAGATGGCCATCTGTCGGTGGGGATTGGATCATATCTTCCTTTAGGGCCAAATGGGGATGGCCTTTAGGGTCCCTTCTAGCTCTAGGATCCTATAGTCCAGTGGTTCTCAACTTAGGGTCTCCAGATGTTTTTGGCCTTCAACTCCCAGAAATCCTAAGAGGTGCTAAACTGGCTGGGATTTCTGGGAATTGTGGGCCTGGGGACCCCAGGTTGAGAACCACTGCTATAGTCCTAAGTTCTCCGTGAATCTGCAAATGAATATAAGGCCGGGCTTTAGCACAGCAGGTTAACCGCCAGCTGTTGTAAATCTTGTCAATCGAAAGGTTGACAGTTTGAAGCCTGGGTCTGAGTGAGCTCCTGGCCTTTAGCCCAGTTTCTGCCTACCTAATAGCCCAAAAGCAGCAGGTGAGTAGATAAATAGGTACCACTTTAAAGCACTGAGGTATTTAAGGCACCCATAAGGAAATGCCAGAAAATGCCGGCAATTCGATCAAGGAGGAAGTTTATGAACAAGGGAAGATGGTGCAACAACAACCCCCTGTGGCTGGAACTGAACACAGTCTCAAAGATGCTGAAGATGGGAAAGCCTATATATACCTCTATCTATATACAGTTGTCTGTCTTCTCAGTGTATTGAGTCACCTACGGGCTGAGAAAGACAGTATACAAATACAGTAAATAAATAAATAGAATGTTTGCTGTATATGTGTTCTGTGATCTGCTTTGAGTTCCCTTTGGGGTGAGAAAAGCAGAATATAAATACTGTAAATAGATAAATAATAATTAAATGAGGCTGGGCGCCCATCTGTCAGGAGGGCTTTGATGGTGTCTTCCTGTCTGGAAGAATAATGTGGTCAGACTGAATGGCCCTTGGGGGTCTCTCCCAACTTCATGATTCTAAGGTCACACACAAAAACAAAAGACACAAAACCAGCACGAAGCACAACACCACCCCGATGAATGAATGAACGAACAAGCATGGCCTTTCTGCCCACCTCTTTCTCTGCTTCTGAATCGGAGGAGGAGGGGGGAGGAGGCACCTTGGCCGGCCGGCCCCTCTTAGCCTTGCGGGGGGCTTCGGCCTCCACACTGCTGGCCTCGCTGCCCGAGCGCTCAGCCTCTCCTTTCTCGGCTTTTTCCTTCCGCCGCTCCTTCTCCTCCCGCTCCTGCTCCCGCAACCGGCGCAGCTCCTCCTCCTGCTCCCGCTTCCGCTTCTCCTCCAACTCCCGACGGCGCTCCTCGTCGCGCCGCTTCCACTCACTGATCCGGTCCACATCGCTGTCACTGCGTGGAAGGAAATAAAAAAGTGCTGGCTCCAGGAAAAGAGGGCCCTCTCTCGGGAGAGATCAAAGTGTGTCCTCCTGCCTGGCAGAATAGGGGTGGACCAGATGGTCTTTGGGGTCCCTTCCAACTCTAGGAGTCTTAGAATCTATAGCCATTGGGATGGCCACCTTTTGAGAAGGTTTTAATTGTGACTTCCTGTCTGGCAGAATGAGGTCTGACTGGATGGCCTTTGCGGTGTAGCCCAACACTACAGATCTTTGAATCTATTGCCCTATTTCTCCATGATCCTGCTAATGTCTATGAGGCTGGATGGCCATTGATTGGGAGGGCTTGGATGGTGTCTCCCTGCCTGGTAGGAGGAGGTTGGATTGCATGGTCATTTGGGGTCTCTTCCAACTCTTAAGACTCTTATTACTCTATTATTTATTTACTCTCTTGTATACCCCACCTTTCTCCCCAAAGGGAATCAAGACAACTAATAAAAGTAACAATAACAACAATAATAATAAGCTGAGTGCAATTGGCTGTCTGTCAGGAGTCTTTTGATCGTGTCTTTCTTAATGGCAGAAAGAGGTTGGGCAGGATGTTCTTTGGGGTCTCTTCCAACTCTAGGATTCTATGGCAGTAACAAGAACAATATAATAGTCTGGATGGCCATATGTCGGGAAGGTATCAACTGAGTCTTCATTTATGACAGAATGTAGTTGGACAGGATGACTCTTGGAGTCATCCTGTCCAACTTGGATACTATGGCTCTAATAATAATAATAATAATAATAATAATAATAATAATAATAATAATCTGGATGGCCATCTACCAGGAAGATCTTGACTGAGTCATTTTGGCAGAATGTAGTTGGACGGGATGTCCCATGGGGTCTCTTCTAACTCTAGAACTCTATGGCTCTAATAAGAAAGAAGCAGAGTCTGGATGGCCACCTGTTGGGGGAGCTTTGATTGTACTTTTCCTGCCTGGCAAACTAAGGTTAGCCTGGATGACTCTTGGGGGGGAGGGGGGGTCCCTTCCAACTCTTTGAATCATGAATCTCCTAAGGTCTATGAGGGGAAAATGGACATCTGGAGGTTTTGAAGCAAAGCTGGGTGGTCATCTGTTGGGAGGGCTTTAACGGTATCTTTCTGTATGTCAGAAGGGGGTTGGACTGGATGTCCCTTGAGCTCTCTTCTGACTCTAGGATTTGATAAGTGCCCCTCCTCTGGGCAAGGGCTGCCCCATTGTTTGTGTCCGTCCAGCTGCAAAGAAGGACCAGGTTGGCCATGACACACCGGGCCCCTTTGCCTCTCACCTGTCACTGCTGGAGCTGCTGGGAAGCCGCTCTACCTTTGGTTTCCTCCCACGGGGCTTCGGGGGCGGCTTCTCCGCAGCTACAAGAGGAGAAGCAAAGAGAGGCTGGTACACAGGAGCTCCAACGAGGAGGAGGAGGCACCTGGGAATCCCAGCAATGCATGAGACTTAAGGCGGTTCGACATCACTCTAACTGCCACGGCTACCTGGCTTGCGTCCCCGTGAGGGCTTCTTCACTGACTCGTCTGAATGGGAATCTGAGTCCGACTTGGGGCTGGGAGCCCGGGCATTGCGTCTCTTGTCCTCCTCTTCCTCCTCTTCTTCGGAATCTGCCTTGGTGTCTGAGTCAGAGCCAGATTCGATTTTCTATCCAAAATAATAACAATAATAATCATCATATAATACATCATCACAACCCAGCAACATACAATTAGCTAAGTCAATTTCTCGATGAACCTGCTGATATCAATGAGGCTGGGTGGCCATCTATCAGGGAAAACTCTAGTTTTCTTTTTTCAGAGGGGAGGGGGATTCCATTTTTATTAATAACTAGCTTGGGTACCTGGTGATGCTTGGGTTATTTGAAAAAGGAATTGTTTGTTTTTGGATGTTAGGTAATATCATTTAGTTAATTAGTAACACTATTTATTAGGGAAAAAAAACGGTTTTGATTTGGTTTTTTATTAATGCTCCCATAAGAAAATGCAGAAGGATGTGGGTGAACTACAATTCCCAAAACCATGGGTCAATCCTCCCCAAACCAAGCCTGTATGCACAGTTGGCCATGTTGCATCTGTGTGCCAAGTTCGGTCCAGACCCGACACTGGCTGGGTTCAGTGTTCTCTGGATGCAGGTGAACTACAACTCCCAAAATCAAGGTAAATTCCCACAAACCCCAGGAGTATGTTCAGTTGGTCATGGGGCTTCTCTGTGCCAAGTTTGGTCCAGGTCCATTGTCAGTGGGGTCAGTTTCTCTGTAGTTGCTGGGATTTATAGTTAACCTAGAATCACAGAGCATTCTGAACCCCACCAACAATAGAATTGGGCCAAACCTCCCACACAGAACCCCTATGTGGGCCACAGCAATGCGTGGCAAGGGACGGCTAGTAACAAAATAAAAGCAATTAAACAAACAGTTAACAATAAAAAATAACACAACTCACCAAGCTTAGTTAAAACATCTATACACATAATAAACAGAGGCCTAGTACTGGTTAAGTAAAATTGGTCTATTTGTATAGAAATATATAAAGTTTATGTAGAGAAAAAAAGAGGGGGAAGAAAGATAATGATAGTTTATTTTTCTACACATTAATACTAACCTACGAACTCTAGGTTTCTAATGCCTGATTTCTGCATGAATGTCTCTATGAGATTGGATGGTCATCTGTTAGGAGGGCTTGGATGGGGTCCTCTTGCCTGGCAGAAGGACTGGATGGCCCTTGGAGTTCCTTGCAAATCTAGCAATCTATGATTCTATAGCCCTATATATCTCCATGCGCCGATATTGATGAGGCTGGAAGGCCATCTGTTGGGAGGGTTTTGATTGTGCCTTCCTGCCTGGCAGAAGGGGGTTGGACTGGATGGCTTGAGAGGTCTCTTCCAACTTTAGGATTCTACAATTCTTACCTTTTTCTTCCATCTGCCGGCTGGGGCCCGCCGTTGAGCTCGCGGTGGAGTTTTTTTCTCTGGAGTGAAGTCCTATGGAAAGAGAGACACAGAATTACAAGGGATGCCTTCCCCATTGCCTTCAAACCAGAGGATGGAAATCTCCCAAGAGAGCATATCATGGATTCCCAAACTACATGAACGTAAGGTGCATCTGAAACATGTTTTGGATCCCCATCTTCAAGATAACTCATTATGATGCCAGGTAATACAATTATTATTATTGTTGACAGAACTAATCCAAAATCTGAAACAATCCAAAATGCAAAAACATGTCTGGTCCCAAGTGTTTCGGATACAAGAGACTCAATGTGGCTCAGATTGTAAATTAGGCTGTGTTAAAACATAAAATATATAACAATTAAAATATACTAACAAAAATAAATAATAATAATGGAAGACATTAGTGTTTCCTAAGAAGCTGTGGTGATATAAACTACTTAGGAAACACCAGTCCTCTAAAATTGTTGTTGTTGATGATTATGATGATGGAGAAATCACTAGGAAGCTGTGATGATTGAAACTTCCTAGTGGTCTCTCCTTCTATAATAATAATAGCAATAATAACAACAACAACAAGCACAACAATAACATGCAAAACTACTTTGGGACTTTTGAATCCAGACTGTCAGAGAGTTTTGGAGCATAATACTGCTGATCTCACAATCATGGGAAAAAACAAAATATGGATCGTCGATGTTGCAATCCCACGTGACAGCAGAATTGACTAGAAGCAACTAGAAAAGCTTACACAATGTGAGGATTTAAAGATCAAATAGCAAAGACTCTGGCCCAAGCCAGTCAAGGTGGTCCCAGTGGTGACTGACACACTGGGTGCAGCACCTAAAGACCTTGGTCTGCACTTAAAAACAATTGGTGCTGACAAAACCACCATCTGTCAGCTGAAAAAAGGCCACACTACTTCGCCGATACATCCCACAGTCCTAGACAATTGGGAAGTGTCCAACGTGTGATCCAATACAAAAGCCAGCAGAGTGATCTTGTTTGCTGTGTACCAATCTTGTTGTGTCAATAATAATAATAAAGAAGAAGGAGGAGGAGAAGGATATACCCAATAAAATGCCATGTGAAAGAGCCATCCTGGCAAGTCAGCCCACCTGATCACTGTATTTTTCTGACTCCGAAGAGCTTTCTGAGTTCTCCTCTTCCGAAGCAGAGGGGCTGCCCTGGTCCATGTCACTGGATGATTTCCGGGGTCGTTTTGCTGCTGGCATCTAAAGGGAAAACAATATCATTCCTGAGGCTGGAAAGGCGAGCAATGAGTAACATCTCTCTATAAAAGCGAAAAAGGCCAATATGATTCCAGGCTGCATTAATGAGAGGAGAGTGTCCACATCAAGGCAAGTCATGGAGCTCTTCCGATGGGCGAAGATGGCAAGAGCCTGGACTTCCTGAGGGCTCTTGGCAAGCCAAACTGATTTTTATGATTGGGTCAAGCTGTCAGCTCCCCTCTTTCTGCGGATTGAGCCGGAGAGGGACGTAAAGTCAGCAGGCACCCTCCAATAATCCCAAAGATCTCCCCCCCCCCTCCCCAAAGGGTCAGGAAGGTCCGGTGGTCTGCGATAAGGTGGATCCCATAGCGGAAAGCAGGTGAAAATCCGCACTTACTGTCCGCTCCACTCATTTTAAATTACAAGAAAGAAAATAAAAAAGAGACTTGAAGTGGAGCCCAAAGGGAACCTGTAAGTCTCTTCTACGAAAGAATAAGTTCTCTTCCTTCCGTGAGGAGGCTTTCCTGATAAACTGATAAAAGTTAAAAAAGAAGGAAGAAGTAAATATTACAAGGGTTGCATCTTTAGAAAAGTGAGATTTAAATTGACGCTGCCAGAGGGGAAAGAGGAAGGGTGGATTGAATTAAGAGACTGCATGAACTGAAAGATGATCATAAAATCCGTCTGGAAAACTGATTAATTAATAGACAAAAGGATCAACTATTTCCAAACAATTAATTTGAGAATGTAGTTATTTAATCAACTAACCATGGCATTGATCCATCTAATTAAATTAAGAACTTAAAAATAAAGAACACAGTACTGCTTGGTAAAGCAATCAGAGAGAAACTGACCTTGAGATCCATACTGTTTAGACTACGGTGAATCCTTCTTTATAAACAAAGCACCGTGCTGACGATTGTGAGAGGAAGAAGAGAAAGGACTGGGAACGGAGGAGAAGAGAGCTGAAACTGGAACCAACAAATGAGAGGGAGAGTGGACTGATGGAAGATTTAAGGGATACCAAGGAGAGGAGATTAATGGGATAGAGAGGTGGAAAGGTGGAAGGAGGAAGTGGAATAGTGGAAGGAGGACTGAGTGATTGGAAACCATAAAAAAGATGGGCTAGAGAGATCAGTTTTAAAAATGAATCTAAAAAATATGAAGAATTAGAGATATAAAAAGAAATAATAAGATTCACGGAAAATAATACGGCCAAGGAGAACGTCAGGAGAAGGAAGCGGATGGGACAACAGATGAAGCATCCGATGAGTCAAAGGAATATTGAATAGAGGAACGGGACAACAATGATGAGAACGGCACAGTATGGCTCATCACCATGGAAGAGGGTTAAGACAACGAAGAAGAAAGAAGCAAGAAGAAGAGTAGAAGACCTGGCTGTTTCAGTGTGCCTTTCCAGAATAGGAAACTCCCAGCATCATGTCCCAAACACACTTTATTAGAGATTTAAGATTGCCTGCACATCGCACCTACCCTAAAATCCTTATATTTACCTGTCATGTCCAGCACTTTTAATCTTTATTCATTACATTTGGCCTGGCCCTAGTTTGAACAGTGTCATGATGTTATTGTTTAATGTTTTATTGTTATTGCTTAATGTTTATTGGTTTGCTTGAGTTTTATTGTGTACTTGTTATGTTGTTGTTTTATTGGGGGTCTTGGCCTTTGTAAGTGGCACCGAGTCCTTTGGGAGATGTTAGCGAGGTACAAATAAAGTTAATAATAATAATAATAATAATAATAATAATAATAATAATAATAGAAGATGACACAAGAAAAGAAGAAGAGAGGCCAACTGAAAGGAAAGAAGAGAGTGAGAGGGATTATATAAAGAAACAGGGAACATAAAAGTGGGAAAGGATAGACCTCCCAAAAATTATAAAAATTGAAGAATTAAATTAAGTAAAGAATAGATATTGAAGGAAATTGGGAACCAAAAAAAAATAGGCTATCATCAAATATACGAAAAGATCTGTGATAAAGAAAATTATTGAAGGAATGACAACAACTAAAATAAAAGAGATAAAGGACTATAACGGTTTGGCAAGATCATCCCTGGCAGAGAAAATAAATATGAAGGACATACTGAGGGAAATCCAAAAACTCTATGGAAAACAAGACAACTTACAAAAATAATTACAAACAATGTTGACCAATCATGACCACCAACAAAAGCAAATACAGATGGAAATGATAGAAATGAAAAAAAGAAATTAAAGAGGAAGTTGGATTAATTAAGAACGAACTAATGACGGCACTAAGTGATATCAAGGAGCTCAAATCTGATAATGTGAAATTAGAGAAAGTTCAAAATAAAATTCAGAAAAAAATGAGATTTTGGACAATAAAAATTAACATTGGAGAATAGTCAAGAACAGTTTGAACAAAATGAACTGGAATTTCAGTTAAGATTCAGAAATATTCAAGAGGCCAAAGAAAACATATGACAAACTATTGTAGAACTAGTGGCAAAGATCTTACAGCATTCTGAACAAGAGACAGATGCCAAGATAGACTGCATTTATCGTATTCAGACAAATTACTCAAAGGGAAACAAGGTGGCAAGATTCATGACGAAGTATTAAAACAGTATAGCTTGAAACTAACTTACTATAGAGAATGTAAAATAGCTATCCTAAAGGAATTCCCACTTTTGACACTTAATAGGCAAAGAAAATATTTCTTTTTAACAGATGAGCTCAAAAAATGGCAAATACGATTTCAATGGGAGAAATACGAAGGGATCATGGCGACTTATAAGGAGGAAAAATACTAGCTAACATTGGAGGAGAAAGCAAGAGAATTTTACAAAAAAATGACATAGACATAAACCCCCCTGGAAAATCTCCTGTGAAGGGGAAGAAACCAAAGAGATGCAGATTTAACTCCCCAGAGGAGGGATTTGCAACTGGCTCCCAATCGACTAAGGAAGATAAGAATTACGATGAGGACATAGATGATGAGGACGAGGATCCAGAAAATGAACAAGAAATATATGAGTGATTTTACACAACCACTAAAGTGTTATTCAAATAATGTAAATGGCTTGAAAAAGGATCCATAATCAGATAAGGAAATGTGAATATAATATCGTGGCCCTCCAGGAGACACAGATTTCTCAAAAACATGTATCATATTTCACCCAGAAGACCTTCGGCAAAGAATATTATGCATCTGCGATAGAAAAAAAGAGAGGGCATTCTGCCAGATGTCTTCTTTCTGTTCCAAACATTACCAATATTAAGATCTAAAACCCTCATCCACAAATGGCAAAGGGACATATCTAAATTCACCTGGAAAGGTAAAAAACAAAGAATAAGCTTTAAAAACCTAACGGACGATAAAAATGGGGAGGTTTAAGCCTCCTAGACCTGCAACTTTACTACGAGGCAGCCGCCCTGAGCTGGATAAGGGACTAGACAACATTTTAAAAAAAGGAAGATACTAGCGTTGGAGGGCTTTGACTTAATGCAGGGTTGGCACAATTATTTACAGAGAGGAAAAGCTGAAAGAGAGAAGAGATTTAAAAACCACCCGACAAGAGCTGCTCTCCAACAGGTATGGAATAGATATAGAAGTAGACTCTACAACAGGACACCACTATGGTTCTCACCTAATGAAGCTTATCATCTGAGGGAACTCCCTAGGGGAAAATGGCTAACATACACCCAATTACTCAAACTGGATTCGCAAGGAGCGATGCTTAAAACCCAAGAAGAACTAAAACAAATTGATCGATCTATATCTTGGTTTCAATACCAACAGATAAAAGAAAACTTTAAAATAGACACAAAAATAGGATTCGAGACCAGAGAAACATTCTGGGATAGAATAATGAAAACAGATACGAAACTAATAAAGAAAATATATCAGCATGTGGTCAACTGAAACAGAACAGGTAAAAGAAAATATGGTAAAGTCCAAAGTCCAAAGATATAGGAAGATCCATAGCTATGACAGAATGGGAAGAAATTTGGCATAAAAAGATAAATTACACCTATGCATCCGAACTCAGGGAAAATTGGTATAAAGCATTTTACAGGTGGTACTTAACCCCTGAGAAGATATCTAAATTTAGTAAGGGTAAAATAAAAGACGTCTGTTGGAAGTGCGGAAAACATAAAGGCAATTTTTTCCACATGTGGTGGGAATGTAAAAAAATAAAGAACTTCTGGCATGAAATATACAAGAAGATCAAAATAATCCTAAATATAAAAATAGAATTCAAACCAGAATCAATGCTGCTAGGGATTATAGACAGATAAAAATTTAAAAAAACTATTTTTTTACTTCACAATAGCTGCGAGAATTATGCTAGCCAGAATATGGAGATCTAGAGACATTCCCAATGGTTATTAAAAACAATGGACATAATGAACATGGATATCTTAACACAAAAAATATCACAAAATCTGACGAAACCACCTAAAACGGACTGGAAAAAATTTCTGGAGAATATCAAAAAGGAAAACAGCGAAATTTATATCAATGTTTTTTCTTGAATGAAACTCGAAGGATCATCAATAAGAAGCCGACGATCATACAAAAAGAAGAAAAGATAATAAAGGAGATCAAGGATTAAAGGGAACAAAAGTGGACAAAGAAGAATATAAAGTAAGAGGGTTTGGAGACGATGTTATATGTATTATTGAAGATCCTAGAAACAATATACAATGATGGTTATCTAAAATTAAGGAGTTAGGTCAACTGGCAGGTTTTAAGATAAATAAAAAGAAAACAACAATCTTAACAAAAATGTATAAAAAAGAATCAAGATATTTTGCAAGAAATGACAGGTTTTAAAATCACTAAAAAGATGAAATATTTAGGTATTTGTATAACAGCTAAAAATAATCAACTACTGAAAAACAATGATATGGAGAAACTGAAAGAAATAAAGAATTAGAAAGTTGGAATAATGTATTTATTTATTTATTTCGAACACTTTTACCCCACCCTTCTCAACCCCTTATCACTTCTGGGACAGATAGAGGCGATAAAAATTAACTTCGTTCTTGTGGGTTTTTTCGGGCTATATGGCCATGTTCTAGAGGCATTAAAATTAACTTACTACCCAAAATGCTTTATTTATTTCAAAACCTCCCAATAATTCGGAATATACAAAGTTTTAAAGATTGGAACAAGGACCTGACAGGATTTGTCTGGAGGGGGGAAAAAAACAGAATTAAATTCACAATAATGACAGACTGTAAAAATAAAGGAGGCTTTGGATTACCAAACTTCAAACTTTACTTTCAAACCTGCACTTTGGTAGGGATTAGAGACTGGAAAAAATTAGATAGAATTAAAATATTAGCATTCGAAGGTCATGATCACAGAAGAGGATGGCACTCTTGTGTATGGTATGGGAAAACTAAAATAAGAGAAAAATTTCGGCAACCATTTTATTAGGTCCTCCCTTGTTTGGAAAAGATATAAAAGGAATTTCTATTTGAAAACACCAGTGTGGGTGTCTCCATTAGAAGCTAATCAAAGGCGGTTATTAAGATGGACGAATTGGCCAACTTATGAAGATATATTGGTAGGACAAAAGGACTCAGTTCATTTAAAGTCAAAAGAAGAGATACATAGATAATACAAAGAGGTCACATGGCTTCAATATCTACAAATTAAAGAAGACTTTAATTCAGACAAACTATTAGGCTTTAGTACAAAAGATGAATTTTGGGATAAAGTGATGCAAACAGGAAAGCAATTAATAACTATAATTTATAATAAATTGCTTGGTTGAACAACTGAAACAGAAGAAATTAAAAATTCGATGATCAAATGGGCAAGAAATATAGGCAGACCAATCTAATTGAAGGAATGGGAGGAAATTTGGTCAAAAAGATTTATATATACATATGCCTCAGATCTAAAAGAAAATTGGTTAAAATGCTCCATCGTTGGTATACGACACCGTAAAAACTGGGAGTGATGTATAAAGATGCAGACAATAGATGCTGGAAGTGTAAGATACACGAAGAGTCATATTACCATCTGTGGTAGTCATGCGAAAAAGTAAATAGCTATTGGAAAATGATTCATAAAGAGTGTCAAATAACATTAAGAACAGAATGGACAATGAAACCTGAACACTACTTACTGGGGATGTTGATTCTGAATTATTTGCTGATGGTAATATCTCGTTGAGATACTGTGTTTTGTGTCAGTAAAATAATAGTAATAATATATTTATTACCTGTTTCTCCTTAGCAGAGTGGGGACATAAGAGCCATGTTTAAATATTTGGAAGGGTGTCCCTTTGAGGAAAAGAAAAGTTGGTTTTCTAGTCTATGATAAATGGAGCCATGGATTCAAACGGCAGAAACAGAGACTCCATGTAAACACAAGGAAAACCTTGCAGAGCTGTTCAACAACAGGATATGTGTGATGGATGCCATCTCGCAAGAGGATTTTGCTTGTGGCGGAAAAGGGGGTTGGACTTGATGACCCCGGGGGGGGGGGGGGGGCTCTTCCAACTCTAGGATTCTATAATCATGACTATGAGGCTGGGTGGCCATCTCTCAGGAGGGTTTCATTTGTGCTGTTTGGCCTGGTGGAAAGGGGGTTGGGCTAGATGGCCTTTGGGGGGTATTGTCAATCCCAATACTCACTTTCATGGCTAATGGTTTCCGCTTTGCACCACTGTGGTCGCTGCCTTTGTCAGACTCCTCATCGCTGTCCACTTTCTCCGGGGTCACATCCACCACGCTGACCGCTGCTGCTGCCGCCGCTGGGGCAGCCTCCTCCTCTTCCTCCTCAACGCCATCACTTCCTCCACCTCCTCCTCCTCCGAGTTGAGCAATAGCTTCGACCTCAACTTCACTATCAGAGGAGCTCACTGGCTGTTTTGGAGCAGGGAAAAAAGAGACAAAATATGAGGCATTTTGCTCAGACAAGTATCACACTGTTGGCTCACATTCAGCTTGTAGTCTACTAAGAATCCTTATTATTGGGTTGTTGTAGGTTTTTTCGGGCTATATGGCCATGGTCTAGAGGCATTCTCTCCTGACGTTTTGCCTGCATCTATGGCAAGCATCCTCAGAGGTAGTGAGGTCTGTTGGAAGTAGGAAAAAGGGTTTATATATCTGTGGAATGACCAGGGTGAGACAAAGGACTCCTGTTTGCTGGAGCTAGGTGTGAATGTTTCAACTGACCACCTTGATTAGCATACAATGCCCTGACTGTGCCTGGGGCAAACTTTTGTTGGACTCCCAAAAATCCATAAGGAATCCACCCCACTCAGACCCATCGTGAGTGGCATTGGATCCCCCACATACGACTTAGCAAAATTTCTTGCTGCACAGTTACAAAGCCATATTGGGCTCACTACACAATACATCAAGGACTCAGCCCACTTCATAGAAAAAAAATCAGCAATCTCAAGTTAAATACCAACGACAAACTGATCAGCTTCGATATGGTGTCTCTATTTACCATGGTCCCGGTAGCAGACACCATTGCACTAATAACCAGAGGTTTCCAGAAGACATCACAGCTCTGTTTCACCATTGCCTCACCACCAGTTACTTTCAGTGGGACAATGAGTTCTACGAACAGAAAGATGGAGTAGCTATGGGGAGCCCTCTCAGCTAATTTCTAACATGGAACACTTTGAAAAACAAGCCCTGGAGACAGCAACAAAAAAAGCCTACTCTATGGTTCAGATATGTGGATGACACTTTCACCATTTGGAGCCACGGAGAAGAAGAACTCAACAGGTTCCTGGACCATCTTAACAGCATCCACCGAAACATCCAGTTCACCATGGAAAAAGAAAAGGAAGGAAGACTGCATTTTCTAGATGTCCTAGTCATCCGTAAACCAGATCAACAATTAGGTCACACCGTTTACAGAAAACCCACACACACAAATAGATATCTACATAAAAACTCCAACCATCACCCAAGTCAAAAAAGAAGCACCATTAAAGCCTTGGCAGACCGTGGAAAAAGAATCTGCGAACCCCACCTCCTCCAAGATGAACTGAACCACCTCAAATGGGCTCTACAGGTCAATGGAGACTCCACCTCAGACATCAGAAGAGCTGCAAGACCAAGAACAAGCCACGAGAGTAAAGACGAAGATCCACCCAGAGGAAAAGTGTTCTTGCCATACATCAAGGGAACCACTGACCGCATAGGGAAGCTGATGAGGAAACACAACATACAAACTATCTACAGACCCACTAAGAAAATCCCACAAATGCTACGTTCAGCAAAGGAAAAGAGGGATCCTCTCACTTCTGCAGGAGTCTACTGTGTACCATGCAGCTGTGGACATGTCTACATTAGGACCACCAAACGCAGCAGAATTGCCCAAACACGAATCAAGGAACATGAAAGGCACTGCAGACTACTTCAACGAGAGAAATCAGCCATAGCATGAACCAACCTGGACACAGCATTTTATTTGAGAACACAGAAATGCTGGACCACTCTCACAACCACCATGTCAGACTACACAGAGAAGCCATGGAAATCCACAAGCATGTGGACAATTTCAACAGAAAGGAGGAAACTATGAAAATGAACAAAATCTGGCTACCAGTATTAAAAAAAACTCTAAAATTAGAACAGCAAAACAACAGAGAGGAAACAATCAGGGACATCTAATCACCTCTCAACAAAAGTTTGCCCTAGGCACAGTCAGGCCATTGTATGCTAATCACGGTGGTCAGTTGAAACATTCACACCTAGCTCCAGCAGACAAGAGTCCTTTGTCTCACCCTGGTCATTCCACATATATATAAACCCTTTTGCCTAGTTCCAACAGACCTCACAACCTCTGAGGATGCTTGCCATAGATGCAAGCGAAACGTCAGGAGAGAATGCCTCTAGACCATGGCTAGATAGCCCAAAAAAACCTACAACAACCCAGTGATTCCGGCCATGAAAGCCTTCAACAATACAATCCTTATTATTATTATTTATTACTATTATAGAAAAAGAAACCACTAGGAAGCTGTACTGATGGAAACTTCTTAGGAAACACCAACTTCTATTATTATTTGATACATAACAAGATTAGTACACAGCAAACAAGATCACTCTGCTGGCTTTTGTATTTGATCACACGTCGGACCCTTCCCAAGTGTCTAGGGCTGTGTGATGTATCAGCGACTGATGGGCGCAGGTCTGAGTAGGGTGGCCTTCTGCAGCTGACAGATGGGAATGTTGTAGATGCTGATTGTGTTTAAGTGCAGGCCAAGGTCTTTAGGCACTGCACCCATCTTCTGCATGACTATCAGCCCCCTCCCAGTAGACTCAAATCAAGGAAAAGCTTCATGAGAACCACCACTCCTCTTAATGCACCCCCAGCAACAGCAAGAGTATCCCTCTGGGCAATTAAACCAGGAAATCCAAAGAGGCTTTTCTTCCAGGGGCAAACCAAGAATGGGCAACTTGGAAGTCCCTGAACAGACTCAGGAGTGGAGTGGGCAGATCAAAAGACAACATAGCCAAATGGCACTACCTAAAAGAATGCTCCACCTTGAGCAGAACAAACAATTCCGTATCTGCATGCTTGCCCACCATGCCCTGCCTCATGCACAGAGAAAGAACCGCTTAAAGCTACAAACAATGTGGTTGCTGTTGCCCGTCTTTGATCTAAAATTATTTAGCTGCTTGTGCTCCCTCTATTTTATCACTTTTATACATATTTATGCACTGCTTTCAACATGAAAGAAATAAATTTGCCACAAAATAAATAAAATTATTAATATTATAGGAGGGGGAAAAACTAGGAAGCTGTGATGATGGAAACTTCTTAGGAGACACCAACTTCATCTATTATTATCTATATATAAAAATGCTCTGTGCATAATGAGTACCTTAAAAACAAAAGAACCAATGAACGAAATCACACCAAATTTGGCAATAAAACGTCTCACAACACAAGGAGTGACCATCACTCAAAAAATTATGATTTTGTCATTTGGGAGTTGCAGTTGCTGGGATTTATAGTTCACCTACAATCAAAGAGGACTCTGAACTCCATCAATGATGGAATTGAACCAAACTTGGCACACAGAACTCCCATGACCAACAGAAAATACTGGGTTTGGTGGGCATTGGCCTTGAGTTTGGGAGTTGTAGTTCATCTACACCCAGAGAGCACTGTGAACTCAAACAATGATGGATCTGGACCAAACTTGGCACAAGCACTCAATACTCCCAAATATGAACACAGATAGAGTTTGGGGGAAATAGACCTTGACATTTGGGAGTTGTACTCACTGGGATTCATAGTTCACCTACAATGAAAGAGCATTTTGAACCCACAAACGACAGAATTGGGGCAAACTTCCTACACAGAACCCCCATGACCAACAGAAAATACTCAAAGCCATCCAGTCCAACTCCCTTCACCAGGGCAAGAAAACATAATCAAAGTCCACCTGACAAAGAGCCATCCAGCCATAGAAATAGATAGATAGATAGATATTATTCACACACACACAGATATAGCATCATAGATTTGAAAGGGACCCCTAAAGAAGGACAATGATATGTTCCATGTTCCACGGTGGGCAAACCAGACACTCTCCACATCAACACTGACAAAGAAACAGCAAGAAATACTGTTTACCCACAAGCAGAAAGAAATTACATATATTAGAAACCAACTTTCTCATTACTTTATTTCCCAGATCAACAGACTGGGCCACAGCAACGCGTGGCAGGGAATGGCTAGTTATTATTATTGATGGAGAAACCACTAGGAAGCTGTGATGACAGAAACTTCTTAGGCAACACCAACTTCTCCTCCTCCTATTATTATTGTTGTTGATGATGGAGAAGCCAGTAAGAAGCTGTGGTGATGGAAACTTCGTAAGAAAAACCAACTTCTCCATGGACCTTCTAATGTCCATGAGCCTGGATGGCCATCTGTCAGGAAGGTTCTGATTGTGCTTTACCTTTATGACAGAAAAGGTTTGGACTAGATCAGTGGTTCTCAACCTGTGGGTCCCCAGGTGTTTTGGCCCACAACTCCCAGAAATCCCAACCAGTTTACCAGCTGTTAGGACTTCTAGAAGGCCACAATATCTGGGGTTCCACAGGTTGAGAAGCACTGGACTAGATGGACCTTGAGGCATCTTTCACAACTCTAGGACCCTTATAGGTGTATTCCTCCATGAAACTACTAATGCCAATGAGGCCGGACAGCTATCTATCAGAAGGGGTTTGATAATGTCTTCCTTTATAGCAGAATAGGCTTGGTCTGGGTTACCCTTGGGGTTCTCTCCCAACTCTATAGCTGTATTTCTTGATGAACCTGTTGATGCCAACATGGCCAGATAGAAGGAGAAGGAGGGATGGCCCTCTGTCAGGAGGGTTTTGGTGGTGTCTTCCTTTCTACTAGGAAGGGATTGGGCTGAATGGCCTTTGGAGGTCCCTTTTAACTCTCCCCACTCTGCCACTCACCGGAGGTGCACTGTAACTGGCATGAGGGTTGTTCTGGATCTCCCAGAGCCCTTCGTTGAAGCCTTTCCGCTTGTTGGGCTTCCCATATTTGTCCTTGTACTTGTCATAAGGGAAGAGGTCCTTGGGGCCCAGGAACGCCCTGGAAACAAAGAAACGAAGGCAAAAGAATCAGGGCCTGGAGAAAAAATGACGTCCCTGCAATTCCCCCACCCCAAATGTCTGGAACTTACGTCTCGTGTGTCCCAAAGAAGAATATTGGGTATTTGTTGGGCGGGGGCTTCACCGCGCCATCAACAATATCGTCAATCTGAAAAGAAGAAGAGCTGGAGATCATTATCTTTCCAAAAACAAGCAGATAATCACCACAAAAAGCAATGCCTTGTTCTGTCAGGAAGTAGGAGAAACGTATGCTAGCAATAATAAAGACTCATGGACTCCAAAGTAGTTCACTATTTAAAAGGAAAACAGCACTAAAAACATAATGATCTTTCCAAAGCCTTAGGAAGGAGAGAAGCTGTTACATAATGAGTACAATATTAAATGATTATGATGATTGTCCTACTTTCTCCAAAATATTGGGATTCAAACAGCTCGCAATTTAAAAGGAAAACAGCATTAAAAACATAATGATATTTTCAAATTCTTGGGCAGTAGCTACCTAGTGAGTACAATATTACATGAGTATTATTATTATCATCCTATTTTCTCCCAAATATTGGGAATCCAAAGCAGCTCACTATTTAAAAGGAAAACAGCATTAAAAACATAATGATCTTTCCAAAGCCTTAAGAAGGAGAGAAGCAGTAACCTAGTGAGTACAATATTAAATGATTGTTGTTGTTATTGTTATTATAATTATTATTATCCTACTTTCTCCCAAACATGAGGATTCAAAGCAGCTTACTATTGAAAAGGAAAACAGCATTAAAATGTAATGATCTTTCCAAAACCTTAGGAAGGAGGGAAGCAGCTACCTAGTGAGTACAATATTAAATTATTATTAATAATAATAATTCACAACGTTTTGGGAAAAGTGAGCTATAAATATAAAAATAATATAATAATTATATTTATATTTACAGCTGACTTTTCACCAAAACATCATAAATTACTATTATTCTATTATTATGAAATATATTATTATTATATTTATAGCTCCCTTTTCCCAAAATGTTGTGAATTATTATTATTATTATATGGAGAAAGTAGGATAATAATCATTTTTAAAAGTGAGCTATAAATATAAAAATAATGTAATAATTATATTTATATTTACAGCTGACTTTTCACCAAAACATCATAAATTACTATTATTCTATTATTATGAAATATATTATTATTATATTTAAAGCTCAATTTCACCAGTGAATTATATTATTATTATTATTATATTTATATTTAATTATTATATTTATAACTCACTTCCCCCAAAACATTATGAAATATATTATTATATTTATGGAGCCCTCGGTGGCGCAGTGGGTTAAAGCGCTGAGCTGCTCAACTTGCTGATCAAAAAGTCGCAGGTTCGAATCCGGGGAGCAGCATGAGCTCCCGCGGTTAGCCCCAGCTTCTACCAACCTAGCAGTTCAAAAACATGCAAATGTGAGATTAATAGGTACCACTCCGGCGGGAAGGTAACGGCGCTCCATGCAGTCATGCCAGCTACATGACCTTGGAGGTGTCTATGGACATCCCCGGCTCTTCGGCTTAGAAATGGAGATGAACACCAACCCCCAGAGTCGGACACGACTAGACTTAATGTCAAGGGAAAACCTTTGCCTTTTATATTTATATCCATAGCTCACTTTCCCCCAAACATTAAGAATTATTATTATTATTATATTTAATGCTCACTTCCCCAAAATAGTATTATTATTATATTATAATTAATGTAATATTTATATTTATAGCTCACTTTGCCCCAAACATTATGAATTATTATTATTATTATATTTAATGCTCACTTCCCCCAAAATAGTATTATTATATTATAATTAATGAAATATTTGTATTTATAGCTCACTTTCCTCCCAAACATTATGAATTATTATTATTATATTTAATACTCACTTCCCCCAAAATAGCATTATTATAATTAATGCAATATTTATATTTATAGCTCACTTTCCTCCCAAACATTATGAATTATTATATTTAATGCTCACTTCCCCCAAAATATATTATAATTAATGTAATATTTATATTTATAGCTCACTTTCCTCCCAAACATTATGAATTATTATTATTATTATTATATTTAATGCTCACTTCCCTCAAAATAGTATTATTATATTATAATTAATGTAATATTTATATTTATAGCTCACTTTCCTCCCAAACATTATGAATTATTATTATTATTGCATTTATATGTATAACTGATTCCTTCCCCCTCCAACCCAATGATCTTCTCAAAACCTTGAGAAGTAACGGACATGTAACGGAAATGCCAAGGAACTGGATTCCATTGGGAAGAGAAGGAATCCAATGGAGAAAAAAAAGGGGGTCCCCGGGGGTGAGCACCCCCCAAAAGGAACAGCCCCCCTCAAGTCACGTGGGGGGGCATGGTTGCTAAGCAACGGGGCTCTTCCTCCCTCCGTCCACCCACCCCCCAAAAAGCGCCTTTTCCTTTTCCTCAGCTTTTTTCCTACGTCCCGCTCTTGCTCACCCGGGCCGGCCAGTGCGGGTATCCCTTCATCTTGGCGAAGACGAGGTCGCCGGCTTTGAAGCCGTGCGGCATCTTGGCGGTTCCCCTCCCACTGCCGAGAAGGCCTCGAGCGGGCCTCGAGTAGGCTTCTTCGCCAGGCAACCCAAGAGGGGGCGTGGCCGCCGGCCTGGAGGCTTACGGGGGCGGGGCCGGCTCTCTGATTGGCCCTGCAGCGCGTCGCTTACCCCTCCCTCCCGGTCGCATTGGCTCGCCGGATTAGGGCTCGCGCGCACCTCATTGGCCCGCTAGATTCGCGCCTCATTGGCCGCCTCCCCTCCCCGCCATCCAATGGGAGTCGAGCAGAGCTTAAAGAGGGGGAAAGAGGATTGGTGGGTAGAGTGGTAGGGGTGGGACAATGGCAAAGGGGAGGTGATAAAAGGAGGAGCCAAGCAGTGCCTGGGAGGCAGAATAGGAGAAGTTGGGGAGGCAGTTGGTGCACTGTTCAGTCATTTCCAAGCGTGGCGTCACTTCCGCTCGGAGGCAGCAAAGGGAAAGCAAATCCTCCCCCCGCTAGAGGCCAAGATGGCGTCGTGACCGGAAGTTGGCATTGTTTGGCCGCTTCCCTTCCTGTTTTGGCCGAATTCGAGAGTTAGTGGCGTCTTGCAGGGGTCGGTTGCTTCTCAGGCCGCCATGAAGAAGTTCTTCCAGGAAATTAAGGCGGATTTGCAGTTTAGGACGGCCGGGCCAGGCCAGAAGCTCAGCGAAGCGCCCAAGTAAGCAATGAAAAGAATAAGAATAATAGAAGTTGACAATACCAATTCTTATATATATATATAAGATATGTATGTATGTATATGTAGTACTTACCTTAGGCTGATAATAATACTATTGGTTTGTAAGCCCAAGTAAGCAATAATAATAATAATAATAATAATAATAATAAAAGTTGACAAGAATAGCAATTCTTATATATATTCTTATATATATATATGTATATGAGATATGTATGTATGTATATGTAGTAATTATCTCATATATATATATATATATATATATAAGAATTGGTAGGATATGTATGTATATGTAGTACTTAGGAGCCCCCGGTGGCGCAGTGGGTTAATAATAATAATAATATAATAATAATAATACATCGGCTGTTGTTATACTCTATAACAAAACATTTGGGGAGGGGGCAGGAGCAGGTCTACGAACCCACACGCTCACTTCGGTCATCTGGAGAGGCCCTGCTCGTGATCCCGCCCGTGTCACAAGCGTGCTTGGTGGGGACGCGAGACAGGGCCTTTTCTGTGGTGGCCCCCCGACTCTGGAACGCCCTCCCGAAAGATCTCAGACAGGCCCCTACATTGCAGTTTTCAGAAAGAATTTGAAAACCTGGCTGTTCCAATGTGCCTTTTCAGATTAGGAATCCCCCAGGACCAAATCCCAGAAGCACTTTAGTTACCAAGATCACCGCACACTGCACACCGCACTTTTATTATAATCCCACACCCCTCCGACACATCAGCACTTTTAACCCTGTACCCTACTTCGGCCGACTCAGTTTTTAATAATGTCTTGTCGTGTTGCTACTGTCATTGTTTTTGCTTGACTGTTTTATTTGCTATGTATTGTATTGCTGTATTGTTTTGGGCTTCGGCCTGCTGTAAGCCGCATCGAATCCTTCGGGAGATGCTAGCGGGGTACAAATAAAGTAATAATAATGGGTTAAACCTCTGAGCTGCTGAACTTGCTGACCGAAAGGTCAGTGGTTCAAATCTGGGAAGCAGGGTGAGCTCCTGCTGTCAGCCCCAGCTTCTGCCAACCTAGCAGTTCGAAAACATGCAGATGTGAATAGATCAATAGGTACTGCTCCAGCGGGAAGGTAACGGCTCTCCATGCAGTCATGTTGGCCACATGACCTTGGAGGTGTCTATGGACAACGCCGGCTCTTCGGCTTAGAAATGGAGATGAGCACCACACCCCAGAGTCAGACATGACTGGACTTAATGTCAGGGGACAACCTTTACCTTTACTTATACATATCAAGCAGGTAAAGGTTTTCCCCTGACATTAAGTCCAGTCGTGTCTGACTCTGGGGTTGGTGCTCATCTCCATTTCTAAGCCGAAGAGCCAGCGTTGTCCGTAGACACCTCCAAGGTCATGTGGCCGGCATGACTGCATGGAGCGTTACCTTCCCGCCGGAGCGGTACCTATTGATCTACTCACATTTGCATGTCTTCGAACTGCTAGGTTGGCAGAAGCTAGGGCTGACAGCGGAAGCTCACGCCGCTCCCCGGAATCGAACCTGCGACCTTTCGATCAACAAGCTCAGCAGCTCAGTGCTTTAACCCACTGCACCACCGGGGGCTCTGAACTAATTAGGAACTGCCATTTATAATGAAATTTTGAAAGTAAGCAGCAATAATAATAATAGTTGATAAAAATACCTATTCTGTATATATTCTAAATATTCTTAATACTAATTAACACAGGCCGACAATAATTATATAGGGTATTTATTTATCATGTCAGGAGCGAACCAAACAGTTGTATTGCGTTAAAAAAACAAACAAACAAAACACAAAGTTTGCAAACTTGGTAGCTGATTAAATGTCCTTTGACCAGTAGCTGGCCACTTGGACTGCCTCTGGTGCATGTAGCAGGGTTGCATTGCAGTAGATGTTCTGTGGTTTGCTCTTCTCCACACTCGCATGTCGTGGATTCCACTTTGTAGGCCCATTTCTTAAGGTTCGTTCTGCATCTCGTGGTGCCAGAGAGCAGTCTGTTCAGCGCCTTCCAAGTCACCCAGTTTTCTATGTGCCTAGGGGGGAATCTCTCCTTTGGTATCGGCCATTGATTGAGGTTCTGGGTTTTATCCTGCCATTTTTGGACTCTTGTTTGCTGAGGTGTTCCAGCTAGTGTCTCTGTAAATCTTAGGAAACTATTTCTTGATTTAAGTCGTTGGTTGGCTGATACCCAAACAGGGGGTGGGACGGAGATGTCACTGTCTTGGTCCTTTCACTATTGGTGGCTACTCCCCAGCAGATGTCAGGTGGTGCAATACCGACTAAACAGTGTAATTTCTCCAGTGGTGTAGGGCGCAGACTCCTTGTGATAATGCGGCATGTCTCATTAAGAGCCACGTCTACTGTTTTAGTGTGGTGAGATGTGTTCCACACTGGGCATGCATACTCAGCAGCAGAGTAGCATAGCTCAAGGGCAGATGTCTTCATCGTGTCTGGTTGTGATCCCCAGGTTGTGCCAGTCAGCTTTCGTATTATATTGTTTCTAGCTCCCACTTTTTGCCAGTTTTTTTTTGTTGGTCATGAGGGTTCTGTGTGCCAAGTTTGGACCAGTTCCATTGCCGAAGGATGATGAAGGGTGAACTACAACTTCCATCATGTTGAATCACTCCCCTAACCCCCTCCAGTATGTTCAGTTACTGATCAAGGAGCCCCCAGTGGCGTAGCGGGTTAAACCCCTGTGCCGGCAGGACTGAAGACCGACAGGTCACAGGTTCGAATCCGGGGACAGCGCAGATGAGCTCCCTCTATCAGCTCCAGCTCTTCATGTGGGGACATGAGTGAAGCCTCCCACAAGGATGGTAAAAACATCAAAACATTTGGGCGTCCCCTGGGCAACATCCTTGCAGATGGCCAATTCTCTCACACCAGAAGCGTCTTGCAGTTTCTCAAGTCACTCCAGACACGACAAAAAAAAGTTACTGATCAATTCCGCTCTGTTTGCTGTGCCCTGCAGAAAAGAGTAGAAAGGGGTTATGAGAGAGGCAGTGGGCAGGATCATGCAAATTCCACACCAATGCAGAGTCAGAAATACAGATGTCTAAGGTGGAGGAAACACAGGAAATCTAGGATGATATTGTCCCTGTATGTGTTTGTAGAAGACATTGCCAGGGGTTGGTGGGTCTTGTTCATGGCACTCTCTATAACCTGCGATGTCATTGGAGAGAGGGCCTTTGGTGTCTCCTGAGTGGTGGTGGTTATAGCTGTTCGTGGTCACCCCAGCCACACACACATATATATTCACTTTTATTATGGATATAGAATTTAATCAAATCAGATATGGAGGGCTGACTATACAGGTATTATTATAGTCAATTCTGCAGCTATGTATTCTAAACGCTGTCACTGTAGTTTATTTAATGCTCAGACCATAGGTCTTTCACATACAGGGCGGACAAATGAATACATAAAAACTAGATTCTTAAATCCAATGTGAAATACACCATTAAAGTACTACACAAACCATTACAATGCTACATAAATCAATGGTGAGATGCACCCTTATTATTTTAATCAAACCTGCAGATATGGAGAGCTGGCTAGAGATATATTTATTGTTGTTTTTTTAAACTGTAGGTATGGAGGGCTGAGTACAGACATAATCATTACTATTTTAATCAAATCTGCAGCTAAGGAGGGCTGACTGTACAGATAATACATTCTTAGTTATCTCTTTCATTGTTGCCTATGTCTTACTCTCTGCCCGCCTAAAATGTTTTGGTGCTCAGCCCTTCAGCATCTTTCCCTTGGCCCCAAAACAGGGAAAGAGCACCCAAAGACAAGGCTAAAGCAGAACCCTCCAAGTGCCGCCAAGGACCCACCAATGAAGCCCAGATGGCAGCAGCAGCAGCCTTGGCCCGGCTGGAGCAGAAGCCGAAGCCTCGGGCCCCTTCGTCCCAAGACGCCATTAGAAATCAAGGTAAGAGGGGAAAGGGGTGCTGTTTCAGGAGTGCATTGCTTGTAATGTCGGAGAGTGAATTGTCTTGGCGACACATACAGACATTATGGTATCGTCTACGTACAGGAAAGATGTAATGGTAATATTTTGTACATGGCCCCCAAATATCAAAACATACAACCTGGATCTTTTCTCCCAAGGAAATATTACTGTATTCCTCTTTTTCCTCCCTTCATGCTCTCTTCTAGTGAAAAAAGAGCTGATGGCTGAAGCAGCTGCGAGTGAAAAGGGAGCATCCGTGGAACAGAAGGTAAAGCAGCTAGATATAAATTGAGTTAATGTCAAAAGCTTGAAGGAGCATGTCTTGAATGCAACAGCAGCCCAGATGTGGAATGAACAGCTATTTGGATAATGCGGGAGGGAAATACAACCAAAGGAGCTGTATTGTCCATTGGAATTTTGTTAATTTATTGTTATACTAGCTTGGGTACCTGGCATTGCCCAGTTTGTTTGAAAAAGTCATTTTTTAAATTGTACAAAATGTGTAAGGGTGTTGGGCAAGTTTGCTCTAGATGCATCATCGGTGGGGTTCAGTGTGCTCTTTTGCTTGAAGGGTAAAGTACAACTCCCACTATGGTGAGTCTGTCCCCTCAAACCACTCCAGTAGGTAGAGTTAGTCATGGGGGTTCTGTGTGCCAAGTGTGGTCCATGCCCATCATTGGTGGAGGTCAGTTTCTCTGGTTATGGGTTAACTACAACTCCCAGAAAGAAAACTCAGTTCCTCCTAAACTGCTCCAGTAATCAAATTTTGGTCTGTACAAAAGGGTATTTGGTCTGAGCCCAAACATCCATCGGTGTTTGAGTTCATAGTGCTCTCTGGATATAGGTGAACTACAGCTCCCCCAAATCAAGGTGAATTTCCCCCAAATACCTCCAGTATTTTTTGCTAGTCATTGGACCCTGTATGCCAAGTTTGGTCCAATTCCATCTTCGGTGGAGTTCGGAGTGAACTCTTATAAATACCTCCAAAGACTTTTGTTGGTCATGGGGGTTCTGTGTGCCAAGTTAGTTCCAGGTCCATCTTTGATGGAGTTCAGAGTGCTCTTTGATTGCAGGTGAACTATATCCCAGTACCCACAACTGGAGAATTCTCCCCAAACCTCTCTAGTATGTTCAGTTGCTGATCCATTCCTCTGTTTGCTGTATGCCACAGAAAATAATAGGAAAGGGTGAAGGGAGAGGCAGTAGGCGAGGTCATGCAAATTCCACACCAATGGGGAGAGTCAGAAACACTGGGATATCTGTGGTGGAGGAAAAACAGAAAATCTAGGATGAAATTGTCCCCATATGAAAGCATTCATTTGGATGGTGGGCAGCATTGTGTTTCTGGAGGATATTGGCAGGGCTCTTGGACATGTTCATGGCTCTCTCTGTAATCTGCAATGTTATTGGAGGGAGGACCATTGTTGTCTCCTGAGTAGTGGGAGCTGTAGAAGTTTGTGGAGGCAGGAGATTGTCTGTGCAAGTGGACACCCCAGTCACACAAACACATAAGTATTTTCATTGTTATGTGTATAGATTATTCAATTGTGCCAATTCTCAGCCTCCTCGAAGCTAAACATATCCAGCTTTTGCCATTCTTCCTCATAATTGGTCGGTTTCCAGACCTTTGACTATTTTACTTGCCTTCTGTTCGATTTCCTACTTCAATTATATTTATTTATTTTGTATCAAAAGCATTGCATAAATTAGTATAAAAGTGATAAAATAGAAGGTATGCAGATGGCTAAATATCTTTTGACCAAAAACGGGCAACAGCAACGGCGTTGTCTGTAGCCTCCAACAATTCCTCCTCTGTACATGAGGCAGGGCACAGTGGACAAGCATACAGATGCAGAGTTGTCTGTTCTGCTCCAAAGTCACACAAGGTATGGGATTCTTTTAGGCAGTGCCATTTTGCCAGTTTGTCTTTTGATCTGCCCACTCCGCTTCTGAGTCTATTCAGGGACTTCCAGGTTGCCCATTCTTGGTTTGCCCCTGGAGGAAGACCCTCGCAAGGGGCCATCCAGTTGGGATTTCCTGATTTAGCTGCCCAGAAGGATACCCTTGCTGTTGCTGGAGGGATGCCAAGAGGAGTGGTAGTTCTCATAAAGCTTTTCCTTGATTTGAGTCTACTGGGAGGAGGCTGGTAACCATATACTGGGTGGCTTTCACAGTGTCCAACCTTATTTCTCTCACATTTAACAGCAACTTCCCGTCGCACATCAGGGGGGCAATGCCAGCTAGCTTGTAGAGTTTATCAAGAGGTGTAGGTTTAAGACACCCTGTGATTATTCTGCATGTTTCATTCAATGCTATGTTCACCTGCTTTGCATGGGCAGACCTATGCCAAACAGGGCAGGCATACTCAGCAGTTGAGTAAGACAAGGCCAGGGCTGGTGTTCTTATTAATTTTGGGTCTGCACCCCATGTGCTGCCAGTAAGTTTCCGCAGGATGCTATTGCATGCAGCTACTTTGTGCTTGGTGTTCAAGCAGTGTTTCCTATATGCTAGTGTTCGATCCAAGGTGACACTGAGATATTTAGGATGGAAACAATGTTCAAGTTCTTGACCTTCTCAGGTGACTTTCAATTTGCTGTTGGCTTCATGGTTGCGTAAATGGAAAGCACATACTTGTGTTTTGGCAGGGTTAAGCTTCAGGTGGTTATCTTTGCAGTAGCTGGAGAGATCTTTCAAGGCATTAGTAAGTTGGTTCTTGACTGTTTCAAAGTCTTTAGGCCAAGGTCATCAGCATATATAAAGCACTTTGTGAGTGGTGGTTGTGGCTGATCGTTTGCAAAGATATTAAACAAGGTTGGTGCAAGAACGCTGCCTTGGGATAAACCACATAGAAGCTATGGTTTTCTAGGAGAGTCTGGATAGTTTTCGTGAAATCAGTCTCTGGTAATATGGTAGACTTTCTGCAGCATTTTCCTGTGTTGCACCATGTCATAGGCTGCTGTAAGGTTGACAAAAACTGTTCCAGTAATGTAACCTTTCTCATATCCTTCCTCGATGTACTCGGTCAGATTAAGAATTTGGCCTGTACAGCTTTTCCCTGGTCTGAAAACTGCTTGTTGTGCAATAAGCTGGGGTTCAATTACAGGTCCTAATCGATTTAGTAGTATCCTCTCATATACTTTATATCAGGGGTCCTCAAACTAAGGCCCGGGGGCCGGATGCGGCCCTCCAAGGTCATTTACCTGGCCCTCGCTCAGGGTCAACCTAAGACTGAAGTTACTTGAAAGCACACAACAACAACAATCCTATTTCATGAGAGATAGTTTATATTTGTTAAAATTGTTCTTCATTTTAATTATTGTATTATTTTAAACTGTTTTTTGCACTACAAATATGATATGTACAATGTGCATAGGAATTAATTTTTTTTCAAATTATAATCCGGCCCTCCAACAGTTTGAGGGACTGTGACCTGGCCCTCTGTTTAAAAAGTTTGAGGACCCCTGCTTTATATAGATGACATAGGAGTGAGATAGGCCGGTAGTTCCTGTCATTGGAGGTGTCTTTACCAGGTTTTAAAATGGCAATGATTTTACTTTTCCTCCATAGCCTGGGAATCTGTTTGTGTGCCAAGCATTGACTGTAAAATTTCAAAAGCCAGTTTTCAGCTTTGGGTCCCAAGTGTATGATTTGCTCCATCATTAAGTCATCTGGGCCAGGTGCTTTACCAGTTTTACATCGCTTTATAGCTTCTCTGAGTTCTTTCAGGTTTATGGGAGATGTCAACTGGTGGGTTTTAAATTCTGGCACCCTGTTGATTTTCACCTTTACTTTCCTGCAGTTGGTTTTCCCATTCTGAATTAGCTGGTGTGCTATCTGGTCTGATGTAACTTTTGCATGTCCACAATTGACCAGAGGGTCACTATCCAGGCGTCTCAGCAATTGTCAGGCTCTTCGGCTACTCGTAGACATGTAAAGGTTCTCAAGTAGTTCTATCCAGCGGTCTTTTTTAGCTTTACCTATGGCTGTAGATAATTTTTGGCCTGCTGCTGTAGTCTCATTGTTGTATGGATTCTCTTGAAATAGTCTTGAGATATTCCTGTAGCTGGTTTCGTGATTCTTTGTTTAGGCCTGGTAGGTAGCTTGTATGACAGCCTCTACGGATTGAGAGCCTTGAAGATCTTTTCACAGCTTCTATAAAAAGATCATAGCCTTCTATAGATGGTTCTATATCAGAAATAGCTGCTTCCAAGTTCTGTGTAAATTTTGTCCAGTTAGCTTTATTGAAATTATATTTTCTGCGGAAAGGGACATTTTGAGGTCTTACAGTTGCATATATTTGGCAGCATATTGGTCTGTGTTGAGTATTAGGTATTGGGTTTAATACTCTTTTAATGCAATGGTGGACTATGCTGTCGCTTACAAAAATCAGATCAGGGTTATAACCACCCTTCCATCAGCCACTACTGAATGATGGTGGTTATTTACTGTCATGGAAGAGGCTCATTTTACTATTGTCGGCCCACGTTAGAGCTGCTTCGCCATTCCTATCATCTTCATCATAGCCCCAGACACAGCTATGGCTATTAAAATCTCCCACAATAAAATGGGCTTGATGGTTGTGGGCGTAAAATAGAAATCAATCCCAGGTGGTTTATCGAGTGATGATACACTAGTTATCGAGTTCCACAGATAGAATTTCAATGTTGTTAACTTCTGTGAGAGAAGTTGCAGAGATTGCTACACCAGATCGTACAAAAATGGCACTACCATATTGTCTCTGAGGTCATCCCACTGCCAGTTGCATTCCGAGGATTTTTGGTCTTCTCATTGTGATGTCTCTGTGTTTCCTGTATACATAGGATATCACACAAAATGTCCTCAGACATTTTGGCCAGTAGTTCTTCCTTAGCAAGCAACAAACCTTCTATATTAATAGAGACAATAGTTAGCAAATTATATGGACACATGGTTACTCCAGGTGAGGTCTCACCAAAGCAGAATGGGACTAGACTCTATACTACATTCACCGTTCCAGCCTATATTCTACAATTTCAGCGCAGCGTACACCCAAAATGCAGTTTGCACCGTAATGAGCATCATTGAGATAGGAGGAAACTGACAGTAGCATATTAAACTGTCAAAACCAGGCAGTTGATATCCCTGCTTTTCGTCCAGTTCTGATTCTCTTTCCTTCCTTGCCTTCAGAGTGCTCTCCCTGACGTCGAAGAGGGCCCCTCCATCTTTTCTGTGTCTGGAGTCTACTTCACTTGCCCCTTAACTGGGGCTACCGTCCGGAAAGACCAGAGAGATGCCCGGATCAAGCAGGCCATCCTCGATGTAAGTCCGAGACCAGGAGAACAGCCTCGATTCTCCTTTATATGCTATGCTCACTGATTATCTCCCACTTTTTTGGTCCCCTCAGCACGCTGTCAATGACCCCGTTGCTTCTTCCATCATGGAGATTCACACTTTCAACCGAGACCGAGAGAAGGTCAAGCTTGGCGTGGAGACGATTGCAAAGTAAGTGTGGAAGACATCGCTTCTTTCTCCTTCCTGAGTTGCATTACCTCCCGCCTGACAATTTGTGCACTTTTCCTTCTAACGGTAATGTGTATATAAGCAAATGTGTATACAGGCAAACATATCTACAACTTCTAGTTACAAATAGGGTGAGGCAACAGGAAGTGAGAGGGAATTGACCTTGAGGAAGGGAAATCCATTCCTGGAAGAGTTACTACTTGGCGGGTGGGGGTGGAGCTGTTTTCATGTTTTCACTGAATCCTTGTTTCCACAACAACCCAATATTTTCAAAATCCAGTGGTCGCAGGGACAGGAAGTGAGACAAAAACTTCTGAAGAGGGAAATTGATAGCAAAACAAACATTACAATATATATGTATGTGCAGGGGTGCTCATGTTTTACTATAAGCTTTTTCTAAATGATAATAAGGATCAGAGCCAGTTTGTTACTTTAATACAGCAGCTGCTATGTGTTAATTGGGTGTGTTGTCAGGCATACTGCATAAAACAAAGCTCTGAGCAGACACTGCTGGTAGGTGACTTCTGGTCCCTAGTAGCTGTAAGCTGATATCAACACTGAGAGTGAAAGTTTATCTCACTGCACAACCAGTCAAGGGCATCCTGAAACTTTGTGAAGAAGAACGAAGTTAAACTGTTTATTGCTTTAGTTTCCTGCCATCGTATCAAGAAGAAATCTACTTAAGAAAAATATTTATCTTTTTCCTGTGGTGAGGACAACTATTGTGAACTATTTTGTAACTTAGTTATTCTTAGTAAATTTTATTTATTTATTGTGTCAGGAGCAACCAGACAGTTGTATTACATTTTTAACAAAACAAACAAACAAACAAAACACAAAATTTGCAAGCTTGGTAGTTGATTAAATGTCATTAGACCAGTGTCTGGCCATTTGAAGTGCCTCTGGTGTTGCCACAAGAAGGTCCTCCATTGTGCATGTGGCAGGGCTCAGGTTGCATTGCAGCAGGTGGTCAGTGGTTTGCTCTTCTCCACACTTGCATGTTGTGGATTCCACTTTGTATCCCCATTTCTTAAGGTTGGCTCTGCATCTCGTGGTGCCAGAGCGCAGTCTGTTCAGCCTTCCAAGTCGCCCAGTTTTCTGTGTGCCCAGGAGGGAGTCTCTCATTTGGTATCAGCCATTGATTGAGGTTCTGGGTTTGCCTGCCACTTTTGGACTCTCGCTTGCTGGGGTGTTCCAGCGAGTGTCTCTGTAGATCTTAGAAACTATTTCTTGATTTAAGTCGTTGACGTGCTGGCTGATACCCAAACAGAGGATGAGCTGGAGATGTCTCTGCCTTGGTCCTTTCACTATTGGCTGCTACTTCCCGGATGTCAGGTGGTGCAATACCGGCTAGACAGTGTAATTTCTCCAGTGGTGTAGGGCGCAGACACCCCGTGATAATGCGGCATGTCTCATTAAGAGCCACACCCACTGTTTTGCGTGGTGAGATGTGTTCCACACTGGGCATGCGTACTCAGCAGCAGAGTAGCATAGCGCAAGGGCAGATGTCTTCACTGTATCTGGTTGTGATCCCCAGGTTGTGCCAGTCAGCTTTCGTATGATATTGTTTCTAGCACCCACTTTTTGTTTGATGTTCAGGCAGTGCTTCTTGTAGGTCAGAGAACAGTCCAGAGTGACTCCCAGGTATTTGGGTGCGCTGCAATGCTCCAGTAGGATTCCTTCCCAGGTAATCCTCAGAGCTCGGGATGCTTGTCTGTTCTTAAGGTGAAAGGCACATGTCTGTGTTTTGGATGGGTTAGCGATCAGCTGGTTTTCCCTGTATAGGCAGTAAGAGCACCTAGAGCTTCGGAAAGCTTCTGTTCTACCATCTCAAAGGTCCCTGCTTGAGCAGTAATGGCACAGTCGTCAGCATAGATGAAGCTCTCTGTCCCTTCTGGCAGTGGCTTGTCATTTGTGTAAATGTTGAACATGGATGAAGAAAGTAGTTCATTCTTAGTGAATGAACTACTTTCATTTCTACTTTAAAAGCACAACTGACTCGAGTATATTTGTTTGTCAGGACTTGAGTTCAGGACCACACTGCATAAGAAGGGTCTAGTATTTCTTTAAAGAGATATGTGCTCATAATTTTTCCTATTCTGCTAGTCAAACAGTATTGTTGAAGCACTAACATTGGTTTGATATAGGGTTATGGGCCCAGTATGCCCCAGTATAGCCTAGCATTGGCAAGTAGCAAGAGTTCTCTGAAAATTTTGTTTTGTGTGGGTTTTGTGCTTAGTAAAAGTAAAAGGCAGCTATGGCACAGCACGTGTCCAGCTTGCTGTTTGAGTGTTTGAACGCTGAAAACTAATATGGCTAGGAATGTTAAGCTGAAGAATTTCCTCGTTAGAGAAGATTGGTGGTCTGTTGGCACTGACAGTGGCTGCAAGGGAGGAACTAAAGCGACAAGATCGAAGGGCTAAAGCAACCGTTATTCTTGCCATTGAAGATGTGTCTGCAGCGGATTGTTGGCAGAAGTTAAAGGAAGTTTATCAAACTGAAACTTCTGGAATAAAAAATATTTTTTACTCAGCAACTTTACAATTTAAAACTAAAGAAGGGTGAGAGCATAATGGAACATTTGCAAAAAATTAAGACACCTGTTCATAGAGCTTGAAAACAGACAAATGGTGTATCTATATCCCTATGCTATTCAAAACTTACATGTATTGGAAATATGTATATGTGTGTGTATATATTAGAGGTGTGTGTTTGTTGCAGATCTAATCGGAAGTCGTATCTGATTTGTTAAATTTGTGCATACGAAGAGAGCTTTGGAGCATACAGGAAAAGTGGGGGGGGGATTGCTGTTGTCACTTTGAGGGGGGATAATTGATTTGCTCTATGCCAATCTCTGTGCTGGGCTGTAAAAAAAGTAATGACCTATATGGATGTGTCTTGAAGATCCCCTCCAACTCAGTAGAGCAATGGTTCTCAACCTTGCTAATGCCATGACCCCTTAATGCAGTTCCATATGTTGTGGTGACCCCCAACCATATTTTTTTTGTTGCTACTTGATACCTGTCATTTTAGTACTGTTATAAATCGTAATGTAAATATCCGATATGCAGGATATATTTTCATTCACTAATTTGAGCACAAATACCCAATATGCCCAAATGTGAATGCTAGTGGGGTTGGAGGGAAGGGAGGATTGATTTTGTAATTTTGGAGTTGTAGTTGCTGGGATTTATAGTTCACCTATAATCAAAAAGCATTCTGAACTCCACCAGCAATGGATTTAAACCAAACTTGGCACAAAGAACTCCCATGATCAACAGAAAACACTGGAAGGGTTTTGTGGGCATTGACCTTGAGTTTGAGAGTTGTAGTTCACCTATATCCAGAGGAGCACTGTGGATTCATGCAATAATGGATCTGGACCAAACTTGGCATGAATACTCTACCATGTGAACACTGGTAGAGTCTGGGGAAAATAGACCTTGACATTTGGGAGTTGTAGTTGTTGGGATTTATAGTTCACCTACAATCAAAGAGCATTCTGAACTCGACCAACAATAGAATTGGGTCAAATTTCCCACACAGAATCCTAATGACCACCAAAAAATGTTTTCTGATGGTCTTTGGCGACCCCTTTGACACCCCCTCGTGACCCCCTCAGGGGTCCCGACCCCCAGGTTGAGAAACACTGCAGTAGAGGAAGCAAATAAATATCAAGAGAGTTTGGATGGTGCCTTTCTGCCCAAAAGAAGGGGGTCAGTCTAGATGTCCCTTGATGCTGTCTACTATGATTTCTGTTTCCTAATTGGTTATGTCATTAAAAAACATGGTGAAGGTTTATTACACTGCCAAAACTTTGTCTTTGCGCAAGAGACATCGTCCTATAGCATATTTTGCTTGGTTGAGTTTCCACCAATTTAACACAGTTTGTGCCACACAAACAAAGTTTATGGAGTAGAACAACTGCTTCCAAAGTAAAGACCACACAACAAAACAGGAAATAACACTTTCAAACCAGAAAGAGATTTTCTTTATTATTATTTTTTTAAAATAAAAACTTTGAAAATTCACCAAAAATCCATGGATAAATGAAACCTTCTGAAATTTGGTGTGCTAACGATGGTAAAGGTGTTCTACCACTGTAACAAATTTCATCAGGATCGCTCAAAAATGAGGGAGAAGCCCCTGAAGTTTCCCCACTGCCAGCACCGGGATTGTGGCGCAGCTGGCTGAGTGTCAGCTTCATTAAGATCACTCTGACCAAAGGTCATGAGTTCGAAGCCAGCTCGGGTTGGAGTGGGTTTCCAGCCATTGTGTAGCCCGTTGTCGACCTTTGCAACGCGAAAGACAGTTGCATCTGTCAAGTAGGAAAATAAGGTACCACCTTAAAAGTGTGGGGAGGCTAAAATTAACTAATTTATGAGGCCATAAAGAAGCACTCCAGCGGGGAAGCATGCGAGGAATGCGGAGGTACTTGCAGATGGACGATGAAAGCAACAGCTCCCCTGGTGGCCAGAAAACGTTAAATAGCCTTTGTGTAAGTCTGTATATGTCTGTACGTCAAAATTGGCATTGAATGTTTGCCATATACACTATAATCTGCCCTGAGTCCCCTGTGGGGTGAGAAGGGCGGAATATAAAAGCTGTAAATAAATAAATAAATGAATAAATAATGTTTTACCTATTGCACAAATTTGGAAAGAACTTTAGAAACAAAGTGCTGCGCCCCCTACTTCTGAACACAGTTTAGAACCAGTTTTTATGGATCGCACCTGCCTAGTATATATATGTGTGTGTGTGTGTATTTGGCTGGAATTACACTTTAAAACATGCACCTCTCCCAACTTACATACAAATTCAACTTAAGAACAAACCAACAGAACCTTTTAATGTCCGTAACCCTTATCATCATCCAGCCCAACCTCCTTTAGTAACACAGGAAGACACCATCCAAGCCCTCCTGACAGATGGCCCATCTAGCCTCTATTTAAAAAGCTGCACAGAAAGAGGGTCCACCTCACTCCCAGTGCATTCCACACTCGGTCAGCTCTTCCCATCTGGGTGTTCTTCCTAATATTCAGGTGGAATCTATGCTCCTCTAGCTTGAGGTGCAACCCCATAGACCCGTTTATCGGGAGGCACAAGTCCTCACTGTATTTGGCAGGATTTCCTTCCTCCTGATGACCCTGTCTGGGCTTAGAGATGCTCTGGCCTGCGGAAGAGTCTTCTACAGCATTGCTTTCTCTTGCAGGTACCTTGATAACATCCATCTCCATCCAACTGAAGAGAAATACCAGAGAATCAAGCTCCAGAACAAGGTGTTCCAGGTGAGTCCATCTGAAGGTCATCCTAAACCTGGTAACCCTTGCTTTAGGTGGATTTCATGACTAACAATTACAGGTAATTACAAGACCTGGGGGAGCTCAAGATCAGCAAAAGATGTCGGGGTCAGGCAAAACCATGAGGGTTCTTCTCAGCACGTCCTACTCTTGCAAAGGAATACAGTGGTAAACCTTCTCTGAACAAATTTTAAGAAAATTCCATAATAGGCTGGCCTTAGTGTTGCCACCAAGTTGGCAAGTGCTTGAAACACAAAACAACTGTTATCTTCCTTCTAGGAAAGAATCCACTGCTTGGAAGGGGCACACAAGTATTTCGAAGCTGTTGGGTTTGAAAAGGTGACCCAAGCGGTGCCAGGACAAGGTAGGACAAATCAAACCTTTGAATTCGGGGCACAGAACTAGACATAGGGTTGTTCCAAGTGATGTCTGACTAAAGCAGAATAGATTGGGACTATTACTTCCCTCAAAGTAGACACTATCTCCCTATTGATGCAGCTTAGAACCCTTTTTTGCGGCTGCATCACACTTTTGGCTCATGTTAAGCTTGGGAACAACTACAAGTCCCAGATCCTTTTCATGTAGACTGATGCCCATCATGAGAAAAGTGGGATGTAAATGAATACAATCATAAGCTTTGGTAATAGGCAGCATGCTTAAATAGTGACTGCTTCCCTTTCCAGAAGACATCACCGAGGATTTCTATGTGCTGAAGGAGGAGGCCTTGGGAAAGCTGGATGAGTTGAAGGAGCGCAAAGAGCAGCTTTTGGCTGGCGAACCCGTCCGGGCACAGCTGGACCGCCAGCGCTGCATCTTCAAGCCATCCTCACAGGCCTCCCACTTTGAGCTGCCCAACGATTTCTTCAACCTCACGGCAGAGGAGCTGAAACGGGAGCAAAGGCTTCGGTGAGTGGCCCCTCTCAGCTGTGGCTTTCTGGCGCCGGATTTCTTTCAGCTGCAGCTTCCCAGGTTTTATTGTTTCTTTTGTTCCAATGCGATGCTAGCCTTTGCCTCCCATCATACCCATCTATTTTGTTTTCTGAACTATTGCGATCCTAAGGCAAACCTATCATACAGTTCGCTTGGCAGGTTTACATAGAATAGAGTTGGAAGAGGTCCCCAAAAGGCATCAAGTCCTCAACCTTTTGAAAGACACAATCAACACCCTCCCAACAGATGGCCATGAAGCCTAGTGAAGAAATAGGGGTATAGAACCCTATAAGAGTTGGAAGAGGACCCCCAAAGGCCATTCAGTCCCACCCCATTCTGCTAGGCAAAAAAAAGCACAATCAAAGCCCCTCTAACAGATGGCCATTCAGCCTCCTGTTATAGCCTGGTCAGATTCTGAATGCTCAGAAGATGAGGAAGGGGATGCTGGGATAGATTCAGAGGGCGCAGAGGAGGATAGAAGTCGCCTAGAGAGAGTTGTTTGGGAATCTCCTGGCAGTTCCCACAAGACAGGAGAAAGCGTTATCAATTATCTTTTTTTTTTGTGTGTGTCAGGAGCAATTTGAGAAACTGCAAGTCGCAACTGGTGTAAGAGAATTGGCTGTCTTGAAGGGCGTTGCCCAGAGGATGCCCGGATGTTTGATGTTTACCATCCTTGTTGGAGGCTTCTCTCGTGTCCCCACATGGGGAGCTGGAGTTGACATAGGAAGCTCAACCTGCTCTCCCCAGATTCAAACCACTTGACCTATTGGTCAGCAGTCCTGCCAGCACAAGGGGGCTCCTATCAGTTCTCATGAGAATCTGCCAGAAGTGCAGCCTGAGAGAAATGTGGGAGATGAATGTTTGTCTAGGTCAGTGGTTCCCAACCTTTTTTTGACCAGGGCCCACTTTGGTCCGGGCCCATTTAAACAGGGATCACTTGACCAGGGACCACTCTCCAACATTAGTACTAAAAGGGGAGGGGCTGGTTAACTCTGTGGAAATAAAATAAATAAATAAGGAGGAAGGAGATGTGTGGACAAAATTTTAGTTCTCGCGGCCCACTGCTGGGCTGTGGCCCACAGGTTGAGAACCACTGATCTAGGTCAAGGCACTTGGAATTGCAGAGACAGGGCATGCAACAAAAACACATTTGGTTTTCCCAGAGAATTATGAGATGAGAGGAAAAGCAGGTGTGTGAGAAATGATGTTATGGGAGGGATTGAGGCTTTTAAAGTGGTTCATGCTGGTATAATCCTTTGTGACAACTACATTATATTCAAGTGAACAGCTCTCAGTGTTTTGGTCCTATGTTCTTGGAATTCATGTATTCAAGCTTCTAAGTGTGTTCTTGCTTCTAGTTTGTGTGTGGCATAGGTTGCCTGCCTTGGATTTGTGCCATCTTATTTATGGATATATTTATGGATTGACTCTGGAGATTGTATTTGAAAGGATGTTGGGCTCTCTGTTGTAGTCCAGCCTTTGATTGTGCCTGTACCTGATCTCACTGGGGATTCTGGGCCTGTTAGGCAGCTTGATGCTCACATTGGGGATTTTTGGGCCTGCAGATGAGCAAGAGAATCAGGAGATTTTAAGCCCCGAGAATGAGAGTTCTCTGTCCCACATTCCAGAAAGGCAGTTCCTTAGAGATGCATGGTCAGAGGCAGAAATGAGCTCAGGAGAGGAAGAGATAACTCCAGGTGGATGAGCTAATGAGCAACAAACAGTTAGATAGATTAATGTTCCGTCAACATAGGATATCTTGTGAAGCTCAGCCTATCGAAGCCCTTATCAGTTGTGGAAGGGCAACGGCATGGTTTCCTGTCTATATTCGAAAGGCCAGCAGAGTATTCCCTCAGTCCAGACAACATTGATTTTGGAGCCAAGTCAAGTCTTCCAAGAGATTCTTAGTTCCACGTTTCCTTGTGTTCACACTTCCTGATTTCATGTTACACAAAAGGAGGAGCCATGTAGATGCTTTTGAGCCGTGGAGCCCAATCTATACATAAAGTTAGAGGCATAGAGTAGAATCACATTGGGTTGCTGTGAGTTTTCTGGGCTGTACGGCCATGTTCCAGAAGCATTCTCTCCTGACATTGATATTCCACAGATATATAAACTCCACTTGCCTAGTTTCCAACAGACCTCACAACCTCTGAGGATGTCTGCCATAGACGTGGGCAAAACGTCAGGAAAGAATGCTTCTGGAATATGACCAAACAGCCCAGAAAACTCACAGCAGCCCAGTGATTCCGGCTATGAAAGCCTTTGACAACAGAATTGCATTGTTTGGTTCACAGAAGGTCCCAGGTAGCAGAATGATCTTGGCACTTGCCATCCAATATAGCCCTTCCTCTCATCTTTCTCCTCCTCCTCCTTATCTCTTCTGGAACGGTGTCCCGCGGTTTGCCTCCACCCCTTTGGCCCTGAAGGACAGATGCGGTTGAGAAGGCCTCCATGCTGAGGACCAAAGCCATGCGGGAGAAGGAGGAGCAGCGGGAGCTGAGGAAGTACAACTACACCCTTTTGCGTGTCCGTTTTCCAGACGGCTACATCCTGCAAGGTAAGGGGAGAGGGATTCTTTGCTTCATATCCAAAGCAGAGGATGCCCAATCTGCCTTTTTATGCATGAGTATAGGGTTACCCTCATTAGGTCGGACCAGTTTGTGAGGACTTTATCTGCATTGTCATTTTTCTGGGTGCAGGGACCTTCTTTGCCCGGGAGCCCGTTTCGGCACTTTACCAGTTTGTGCGGCAGGCCTTGCAGAACGACTGGCTCCCGTTTGAGCTGCTGGGCCCTGGGGGCCACAAACTGATGGATGAGACCATGGCCCTCAACGAGTGCGGGCTGGTGAGTACAGCATTTCCCATTTTGTAGATTCCTAGGAGGTGGAAAGGGACCTCTAAAGGCCATCCAGTCCCACCCTGTTCTGCCAGATAGGAAAACATGGTCAAAGCCCTCCTGACAGATGGCTATCTAGCCTCATAGACATAAGATTCATGGAGAGAAACAGAGCTATAAAATCCTAGAGTTGAATGGGACCCCAAAGGCCAGCCAGTCCAGCCCCGTTCTGCCAAAGAAGATACCATCCAAGCGTTCCTGACAGATAGTCATCCATCCAAGCAACCCCAACATAAAATCTTCCAGAAAAGGAGATTCCACCATACTGCGAGGCAGCAGATTCCATTGATTTCTTCCAAAATGAAAATAAGGCGGAATTGTGCTGAATAAGACAGGTCTGCAGAGTCTGGCATTCTCTTCCTAACTTGAAATGGTCTTATGGAAAGCTCACAAAGAAAACATTATACTGTCTTCCCTATTCAGACCCCAGACCCCAGAAAATAGAGGTAGTTTTCAGCTATTACATGAATATTGTTAGGTAGGATGGTGCCTTCCAGCCTAGCAGAAAGGGAAATTAGCAGCCATCACATCTGAGTTATGCTTGCCAAAGAAAACTAGGGGACTTAAAATACATGTGACACAAGACCCTGTGCCACTCCCAAATCCCTGTTGTCTTGGTGGCAGGAAATGACGTGTCACTTCCTGTCACCAACGTAGGCATTTGGGCTTATGAGGCAGAAGACTTGGCTCTTGCTCCTTTACTTAATAAGAGTAAGAGTGACAACCGCAAATATGCATTCCAGTGATTCTTTTTCCTTGCTTCTTTCCTTTGCAAAGGTGCCCTCTGCGCTCCTGACATTTGCCTGGGATGCGGAGGTCATGGCGGACATCAAAGCCTCCGGGGGCGAGCGCATTGAGAACGTCCTGAAGCCAGACCTCCTCTCCGCTGTGCAGACCCTCTCCTGAAAATAAAATAAACTTCCAGCTTGGTTCGAGTCACCTTCCGTCCGATGCCTGCTTCTCCCGTACATCAAACAGGAGCTATTTGGCGAATCCTGCTCTCTTCTCTGTCTTGTGAACATTAGACAGGGGAAGAAGACGAAGAAGAAGGGAAAAGACTTTTATTTCCCCCTCGCATTTGTTCAGGAGTCAGAGCTGAATAATTGACTCTCTTTGGCTCCTCTGCAGCGTATTGAGGACTTGGCCTGAATTCACTTGTGTCAGGAGTTCTATTTTTAAGAAGCGCTGCCTTTTCTATGTATGCGGTTTCCCTCAGAGAGGCTCCAAACAGAGGAAGGATTTCCTCCAAATCGATTTAACGTCCTGCCCCAAAAGGCATGGCAATGAGACTCAGCAGTTGTTCGGAGTCCAAAGCACTAGGAACGCTTGTTTTTCTTTCCAAGCACTTTGTTTTCTTCATTCTCCAAAGTCAAGGGGGCTGTTGATTTTCTTTCTATTTAAGTGTATTCACTACAAACCAGTCTGATAAGCTGCTTGCTTGATTCGCGGATGATCCTGTAGCAAAAGAGGCACTTTCCAGAGCAGGAGAAAGCAAAAGAAGGCCCTGAAGTACAACCCAACACGTCCCAGCTAGAATAGAGCTGCTCAATCCATTGCTGAATGGCGAGAATCAGTCTGTAGGAAGTTCTCATTGGTAGGATAGGTCTGCCAATCAGTTTAGGCATGATATGAGGTTTTCCTACTCTATCATGGCTTCCTTGTTGTGCTGTGACAGCCATCTCTCAGAATTACTCCACTTCTGTGCAGAGGACTGAAGAACAGGCTGGCTATGTCCCTGTAGCCAGGTGCAAATCCTAATTGAGGTTTGCTAGGGTCCTCAGCAGAAAATGCCATTGGTTTGCAGCTTGGTATAGGGTGAGGCAGCATAACTTTATTTTTTTCAAAACTTAATAAAACCCATTGTATGAATCAGAAATTTTTATTATTCTAATTTAGGCGCATACCTAAAATTTTGTTTTACGTAGTTTTGAAGATCAAATTAGGTAGGTGACGTCCCCCATTCTCCATACACTGAGGAAACTGATTTCTGGCGTTTGTCCTGACTCTTGCCAGCATAGCAGGCATTATTTTGGCCATTTCTTCCTGGATGTTGGTCTTCAAATCTTGTAGGGTCGTTGGACGGTTCACATAAACACAGGATTTCAAAAAACCCCATAGAAAAAAATTCACAAGGGGCCAAATCTGGAGAGCGGGCCGGCCACTCCAAATCTGCTCGAAAAGTAGGCCTCAGCGGCGAAAGCATGCTCCTCACTGTTCCAATGCATGATGGCGACTGAACTGTGTCAGGACAAAACTTTATACTCCCGCCTCTCAAACAAGACCACTAGCGCTCCGCTATGTCTTCAAACAACTGAATTATGCGCATTTTAAAAAGGAAGTTATGCTGCCTCACCCTGTACATAACAAGGTGCTTCCCTGATATCCCTTGCCCCAAGAGGAGATTGGAGAAAAGGCTGGCTGTGGCCTTGTAGCAAGACACACAGCAAAGATATCCTCATTGAGATTTGCTAGGGTTTTCAGAAGATAATGCCATTAGTCTGCAGCTTGGGATGTAGCCAGATGCTTCTGATAGCCCCCTTCCTATTCCATCTCCCATGGAAAGGATTGGGGTAATGGGCTGGCTATGTCCCAATACCAGGACACAAAAAAGATTTGCTTGGTTCCTCAGCAGGTAATGGGAATAGCCAAGTGATTCTCTAATAGCCCTTTCCTTTACTTATTCCTATGTTCTCAACCTGTGGGTCCCCAGGTGTTTTGGCCTACAACTCCCAGAAATCCCAGCCAGTTTACCAGCTGTTAGGATTTCTGGGAATTGAAGGCCAAAACATTTGGGGACCCACAGGTTGAGAACCTGGCGTTACTAACTAGAAAAGAATGAATGCCATTTCCCATTCCTGGCACTACATCTAATTTCTAGTTCTAGTTAACATAGCCTGTTAGAATGAAGCATCTATAAGAGCTACCTTTGCACATTTCCATTTATTCTAGTTGGGAAGGAATCTTAAGAGATTGGGAGTATTCAAATTCACTGCTCTCAGGAGGTGACGGCAGTACGGTTTAAGAAGTCCACACTGCATTTCAGATTTAGTTTGAGGCATTAAGAGCTATAGTTCAGCTGATAGGGATTGTGGAAGCTGCAGTCCTCTGACTACTAATTTTCTGGGAGTTCAAGTTCAAAGTAGCTGTGAACCACCTTGAGTCCCCTTCAGGGTTGAGAAGGGCGATATATAAATACCGCAAACAAATAGGTTAGTGTGACAGAATTCTCCCTATTTCTAGAGGAATAGTCTCTTTTAGAAGACAGATGGTGCTGCGAAAAATGAATGTGTTAATTACGAAAGTATTCCTTGAAAAATATTAGCTGATATTTCAAAATTTATGAAATGCTTTTGGAGAGTTTTCACAGCTCTCTGCGGAAACCATTTGTTGTCATCTTCGATCACTTTTTGTCATCTTTTCATCTGTCCTTTTTGAGTCTTCCGTTCTTAAACAACTTGTTCTAATACAGAAAGGCTGTACAGTGATCGTTGTTACTGAATTTTGAATTAAATTTAGTTACTGAAATGACTTGGGGGTCTTACTGGGCAGCAGGTCTTGGAAGAGGAAGCTGGGTCATTTGAGTTCTTGAGAATGAATGCTTTTCACTCTAATAAGAACGGACGAGCACACCTCCTCAGAGTTGTTCTCTTTTTATTAAAAAATCAAACCAGATGCCCTTTGGAGTGAAACTATTCCTCTGCAAGGTGGTTAAGGCCACTTGGCCTGGGAGTTTTGAAGCCAGTTTCCGACCCATGCCAATTGCCATGGTCCAGGGCTTTTTTTGAAATTTCAGCATCCCACTTCATAAGAAATCCACTACAAAACAGGAGCTTTTTTGTTGAGTTCCAGGGTCAGAGAAGCAGATGGTAAAGACACTTATGACACTGTAAAACATCACCTTCTCCTGAGAAAAACTTATAATATCACAAAGGACTACCACCTCACCCACTTCATAGGAAATCTGCTACAAAACAGGAGCTTTTTTGTTGAATTCCAGGGCCCGAGAAGCATATGGTGAAAACGGAAGAATGGCCTGCCTCAGGGGAGCGTGCTTGCTCCATCAATGTTTAATATTTACACAAATGATCAGCCACTGTCAGAAGGGACAGAGTGTTTCATCTATGCTGACAATCGTGCCATCACTGCTCAAGCAGGGAGCTTTCAAATGGCTGAACAGAAGCTCTCCAAAGCTTTAGGTGCTCTTACTGCCTATTACAAGGAAAACCAGCTGATTCCTAACCCAACTAAAATGCAGACGTGTGCTTTTTACCTTAAGAACAGACAAGTGACTTGAGCTCTGAGGATTACCTGGGAAGGAATCCCACAGGAGCATTGCAGTACGCCAAAATACCTGGGAGTTACCCTGGACCGTGATCTGACTTACAAAAAGCATTACTTTACTATCAAGCAAAAAGTGGGTGCTAGAAATAATATCATACGAAAGCTGATTGGCGCAACCTGAGAATCACAACCAGACACAGTGAAGACAGCTGCCCTTGCGCTTTGCTACTCTGCTGCTGGATACATATGCCCAGTGTACAATACATCCCACCACGTTAAAACAGTGGATGTGGCTCTTAATGAAACATTCTGCATCATCACAGGATGTCTATGCCCCACACCACTGGAGAAATTATACTGTTTACACAGAACCCCCATGACTAACCTACTGGAGGGGTTTAAGGTGACTGACTCACCTTAGTGGGAGTTAGTTTATCCTATAGCCAGAGAGCACAGTGAACCCCACCCATGATGCATCTAGAGGTTAAGATCATCTGGGGAAACCATGCTCTCAGTCCTGCCTCAGTCGCAAGTGCAGTTGGTAGGGATGAGAGACAGGGCCTTCTCAGCGGTAGCTCCTTGGCTCTGGAATTCCCTCCCCAGCAAGATTAGATCAGCGCCCTCCCTCCTGAACTTTAGAAAGAAAACAACGATGTGGTTGTGGGATCAAGCCTTTGTCTAATAATGCAGTACGAAAAATAATTATGGAATATGTGCAATGACAATTCGGAATGGCTATGATATATGATTTCTGGATCATGGAATTTTAATGTTTATAGTAGGATGATTTTATGCGTTGTCTCAATGTTTATTTTATGTCTTATGTATAATGGTTTTAACTGATTTTAAGTTCATAGTTATATGCAGTAATTAGTTATGATTTCTTTGTGTCCTGTATATTGGCATTGTATATTTGCCATTAGTATGTTGTAAACTGCCTTGAACCCAGCAGGGGTGAGAAAGGCGGTATATAAATACAGTAAATAATAATAGAGCAAACTTGCCCATCATAGCAAACTTTTAAAAGTACTGATGGAATTTCCCTGGGTTAACCTGGCATGATGGGAGTTGTAGTTCACCCACAACCTTATGCATTTCATACAGTTAAAACACTGAATTTTTCAAATAATCTGGGCAACGCCGGGTACCCTAGCTAGTAATAATAATGTGAAGCCAGATGATGATGATGTTTGAATCCTAGACTTAGAAAAGATCCCAAGAGCCACCCAGTTCAACCATGCAGGGAGACACCACTCTGTTGGGATATTAAGAGGTTCATAGAGAAATGGGGCTATATAATCAAAGACTGTTGGAGTTAGAGGAGACCCCAAGGACCACCCAGTCCAACCGTTCTGCCCTAAAGGAAGTCACAACCCAAGTTCTCCTGACAAATGGCCATCCAATCTCAGATAGAAGCAGGTTCAAAGAGAAATGGGGCTGCATAATCCAAACCACCTCTGAATATGTACCTTACTAATCCCCAGGAAGTTTCAAGGCTTCCACAATTCAATAGATGATGCTAATATGCAGGAAAGGTATCCTCATCCATCATGGTGCTCTTTATCTCTCTTCCCCCATTGTTTTCCATGCACTCAAATCAACTCAGGAGGAAAAGATAGGAGTAAAGGATCCCACGTCCGGTTGTTTGCTTACATAAGACACAGCTGAGACTCTCCTGTTACAGGGTCCATCCAGAAAATCAATAATGCTTTTATTAAAGAGTATAAGTTGCAGATTCTCTTCACCTAAAACCTGTCCCTCCCATCATCCCCAACTAAAGCGTCTAAGAAAAAGGTCTTCTGCCGCCGAACAAAGTGCTGTCTTCTCTTTACAAGGAACACAGAGAATGTTCAAGTATCTCATACACATAAAGGGATACACAGGGGTTTTACAAGGGACTACAAGAATTCTACATACATACAGAGCAACAGGAAGGCACACAGGAGTTCAAGCCGCACCAGAAGAGGGGGCTGCAATCCCGTCCGTTCGCTCCGTCTTTGGAAAGGTTTCTGAGGGCTTCGGGTCGGTTGCTGCAAAGATAGAAAAGGTAAGCTTTCTATTGTCTGCATAATACAAAGTTAACTTATTTCTGCATTTTTTCCTTACTGTACCAACTCCATGGGTTGTTTCTTGGCCAGAAGAAAGTAGCAACTCCTTCTTATTGGTCAAATGGCCCTTCCATTCCTCACTTGGGATGGTCATCCAGCCTCTGTTTAAAACCTTCCAAAGAAGGAGCCTCTACTACACACATTTTTTGACTTGTTATGTGTTTCATTATTGGGTTGTAGGTTTTTTTGGGCTGTATGGCCAGGTTCTAGAAGCATTCTCTCCTGACGTTTTGCCTGCATCCTCAATTTTCCTAGCTTCCAACAGACCTCACAACCTCTGAGCATGCCTGTCATAAATGCAGGCGAAATGTCAGGAGAGAATACTTCTAGAACGTGGCCATACAGCCCGAAAAACCTACAACAACCCAGTGATTCTGGCCACGAAAATCTTCAAAAATACAATGTTTTATTATTATTTATGTTATTGTTTTGTTGTAAGCTGTTCTGAGTCCATTTGGGAGATGGGGCGGGATATAAATAAAGCTTCATTAATACTTCTGAAGTTACTCTGAATGCAGAAGTGTGGATAACCAAAAGAGAGGATTACAGGAGCAAGGACTTCACTCGATCTAGCTTGTAAGTGTTATATTTCCTCCCGCTCTCGTTAAAATGGATGCTCTCAAGAAGGGGATAATCTTTTCAGGTTAGTAGAGGGGACTATCAGAAGGATAGTCGACTATCTGAAAACTAGATCATAACTGGGCCTAATCCCCATGGAAATAGCACTCTCACCTTTGCTGGGATCCACGTCCACAATAACGCAATCGTCGTCATCATCTTCCTCCGTGTCTGCCTGAAACCCATCCATCTCTGCAGTTTCAGCCTTTGGAAAAAGAAGAAATGCAAGAATTCAGTGTTATCTAAAGGGGGGGGGGGGCATGACAGCCACGTTTAAATATCTGAAAGGAGGTCCTAAGAGTCTAGGCCTCAATGTAGCCATGGGCTCAAAAGATAGGAAAGGCGATCCCACCTGAACTTCCTAATCGTAAGAAGAGTTGTTTAACAGCGGTGGCTCTTTCTTTGGAGACTTTTCAGGAGAGTCTGTCAGGGGTGCTTTGATTGTGCGTTTCCAGTCTGGACAAAGGGGGTTGAACTGGGTGGCATTTGGGATCTCTTCCAACTTTAAGATTCTGTAGCCCTATTTCTTCACAGACCTGGTGATGTCTATGAGACTGGATGGCCATCTGTTGGGAAGGCTTTGAAGGTGTCTTCCTTCATGGTGGAATGGGGTTGGAAAGGATACCCCAGAAGGCCCTTGGGACCTCTCACAACTCTAGGAGTCTTCGATCCTATGACAGCATTTCTCCATGAACCTGCTGATATCTATGAGGCCCGGTGGCTATCTGCCGGGAGGAATCGGATTGTGCCTTCCTGCCTGGCAGAATGGGGTTGGAGTGGTTGGCCCTTGAGGTCCCTTCCAACTCTGGGATTCTATGAATTGATTAATTATTATTAGTATTATTATTATTATCTATTGTTGTAGTTTATCTGTTCAGTCACTTTCGACTCTTCATAACCCAATGGACCAGTCCACGCCAGAGCTCCCTGTCGGCTGTAGCCACCCCAGACCCTTCAAGGGCTATACACATAATAAAAGTCAAAATATGTATGTATGTGTGTGTGTGTGGCTGGGATGTCCACTTACTCAAACAAGCTCCTGCCTCCACAAACAGCCATACTACCCACCACTCAAGTAAAGGTTTCCATACGGGGACAATTTCATCCTAGATTGTATGTGTTTCCTCCACCACAGACATCCCAGTGCCTGATTTTCCCCACTGGTGTGGAATTTGCATGACCACGCCCACTGACTCTCCCTTAACCCTTTTCTATTATTTTCTATGGTACACAGCAAACAGAGGAATTGATCAGCAACTGAACATACTAGCGAGATTTGGGGAGAATTCACCATGATTTATAGGTATTGGGATGTATAGTTCACCTGCAATTCAAGAGCACTCTGAACTCTACCAATGATGGACCTGGAACTACCTTTGCACACAGAACCCCAATGACCAACACAACATACTTGAAGTTTTTGGGGGTATTTATAGGAGTTGTTTATGCTGGGGAAAGTGGAAGGCAAAAAGGAAGAGGGGCCGACCAAGGGCAAGATGGATGGATGGCATCCTTGAAGTGACTGGACTGACTTTGAGCGAGCTGGGGGTGGTAACGGCCGACAGGGAGCTCTGGCGTGGGCTGGTCCATGAGGTCACGAAGAGTCGGAGACGACTGAACGAATGAACAACATAGGAGTTGTAGTTCACCTATATCCAGAGTACACTATGAACCAAAGCAATGATGGATCTGGACCAAAATTGGCATGCATACCCAATTTGCCCAAATTTGAATACTGGTGGGTATTGAGGGGAATTGGCTTGGATATTTTGGAGTTGTAGGTACTGGGATTTATAGTTCACTTGAAATCTGAACTCCACCAAAGATGGAATTGACGAAACTTGGCGCATAGAGCCCCCATGACCAGCAAAAACACTGGAGGTTTCTTTGGGGAAAATTCACCTTGATTTGGGGGAATTGTGGTTCATCTACATCCAAAGAGCACTGTCAACCCAAACACCGATGAATGCGGAACAAACTTGGCACACATACTTGATATGCCAAAATTTGATTATTGGAAGGATTTGGGGGGAACTGACCTTCCTTCCTGGGAGATGTAGTTCACACACAACCAGAGAAACAGTGCCCTCCACCAAAGATGGACCTGGGCCACACTTGTGGCCTTGTAGTTTCAATGCCTGGATGATTGCTGCCTGGAGGAATCCTTTGTTGGGAGGTGTTAGCTGGCCGTGATTTTTTTCCTGTCTGGAATTCCCATTTGTTTGTTTTTTAGTGTTGCTCTTTATTTACTGTCCTGATTATAGAGTTTTTTAAATACTGATAGCCAGATTTTGTTCATTTTCATGGTTTCCTCCTTTCTGTTGAAAGTATCAGTGGCTTCTGTGTAGTCTGACATGGTAATTGGTAGCTCTCTCTCCCACCCTGGACATTATTCCACACATATATATATATATACCTCACTTGCCCATTTTCTATCAGACCTCACAACCTCTGAGGATGCCTGCCATAGATGTGAGTGAAACATCGGGAGATAATGTTTCTGGAACATGGCCAGATAGCCCAGAAAACTTACAGCAGCCCAGTGATTCTGGCCACGAAAGCCTTCGACAACATATCTTCCAGGATTCTATACTCTTATTTCTCTATGAGACTTGATGGCCACCTGTTGGAAGTGTTTTGATTGTGCCTTCCTTTAGGGCAGAAAGGGGTTGGATAGGCCCTTGGGGGTCCATTTGAACCTTAGGATTCTTTGATCCTATTTCTCCATCAACCTCCTAATCTCTATGAGGCTGGGCCAGCCATCTGTTGGATGGTGTTTTTCCTTCCTGGCAGGATGGGTGAGATTGGACTAGATGGCCTTTGGGGATTCTTTTCAACTCTTCTAGGAATCATAAAAGAGACCACATGGGCCACCTAGTCCAACCCCTTTCTGCCATGCAGGAAAAGCACAATCGAAGCACCCTTGACAGATGGCCATCCAGCCTTTGCTTAAAAGCCTCCAAGGAAGGAGCTTCCACCACACTCCGAGGCTGAGAGCTCCACTGCTGAATAGCTCTTACAGTCAGGAAGTTTTTCCTAATGTTCAAGTGGTACCTCTTCCTGTAATCTGAACCCACTGAGTCCTAGTTTCCAGGGCAGCAGAAAACAAGCCTGCTCCCTCTTCCTTGTGACATCCTTTCATGGCTATCATGTCTCCTTTCAACCTTCTGTTCTACAGGCTAAACAGGCCTAGCTCTTTAAGACGCTCCACATAGGGCACGGTCTCCAGACTGTTGATCATTTTAGTTGTCCTCCTAATGATCAGCCACAGCCACCATTCACCATCCACATTCATATATGCTGATGATATTGGCCTAACAACACAAGCAAAAGACTTTGAAACAGTCAAGAACCAACTTACTAATGCCCCAAAAAATCTCTCCAGCTACTGCAAAGATAACCACCTGAAGCCTGCCCCTGCCAAGTCACAAGTGCGTGCTTTCCGTGAAGCCAACAGGAAATTGAAAGTTACTTGGGAAGGCCAAGAGCTCGAACACTGTTTCCATCCTAAATATCTCAACATCACCTTAGATCGAACACTAACATTTAGGAAACACTGTATGAACACCAAGCACAAAGTCGCCACACACAATAACATCCTGTGGAAACTTACTGGCAGCACATGGGGTGCAGACCCAAAATAAATAAGAACACCAGCCCTGGCCTTGTCTTACTCAACTGCTGAGTATGCCTGCCCTGTTTGGCACAAATCTGCCCATGCGAAGCAGGTGAACATAGCACTGAACGAAACATGTAGAATAAACACAGGGTGTCATAAACCTAACCTAACTATAACAGGCATGAGCAATTTTTTTGCCTTGGGGCGCATTGTGGGCCTGGCCAGGAGGGCCGGGCTGGGCCAGGAGGGAGGGTAGCCAGGCACATGCTGGGTGGGATGGATCTGGGAGGGAGGAGGGCCTGGGAGGGGGAGGGACAAGGCCCAAGTCATCCTCAGGTTGTCCTCCTGGTATAAGGATGGGACTGCTCACCCCATCTGTGTTTTTGTTTATTGTAATGTAATTTTGTTATGTATTTTTTCCCAAGTAAGTTTGATGATGTTGCTTGTTGTTTATGTTTTGGTTTTATTTTGATGTAATATGTTGTTTGGGCTTGGCCCCATGTAAGCCACTCTGAGTCCCCATCGGGGAGATGGTGGCGGGGTATAAATAAAGATTATTATTATTATTATTATTATTATTATTATTATTATTATTATTATTATTATTATCATCGTTATGCCAGGAGAAAAATGAGACATGTGGCAACTGCGCCAATTATCCTCCTCAATACTACTCCTATGATCTTCGGGCTGTCTTCTCAGTATTATGCCAGGCAGAGGACAAGGCAAGCGATGAACGAAAGCACTCCAGGGGGTTCTCAACCACTGCGTACTTCCTCAAGCTGTCCTCCCGACATAAGGACCAGGGTATTTGCACTGTTCTTATGCTGGAAGGAAAGCGAGACATGCGGTGGCTGAGGGCTCTCAGCTGCTGCATGCCTTCCTCCCCCATCCTTTCTGCATATGGATGTGGCAGGCCACCACATCCTTATGCCAAGAAGCCATGGAAAATGAGGAGGGCCTGAGGTAAGCACCCAGGGTGTCACATCCAGCCCCAAGGCCTTAGTTTGCCCATGCATGCTCTATAAGCTAGCTGGCATTGCCCCCACCCCAATGCGCAATAGGAAATTGCCACCAATTGCAAGATAAATAAGATTGAACACTGTGAAAGCCACCCATTGCATGGCTCTCAGCCTCCTCCCAGTAGACTCAAATCAAGGAAAACTTGATTAATGCTCCTCTTAATGTTCCACAGTAACAGCAAGAGCATCCCTCTGGGCAGCTAAACCAGGAAACCCCAACTGGATGGGCCACCACGAGGGTCTTCCTCCAGGGGCAAACCAAGAATGGGCAACTTGGAAGTCTCTGAACAGACTCTGAAGCGGAGTGGGCAGATCAAAAGACAACCTGGCAAAATGGCACTACCTAGAAGAATCCTCCACCCTGGGCGACTGTGGAACAGAACAAATAACTCTGCATCTGTATGCTTGTCCACAATGTCCTGCCTCATGCACAGAGGAACAATTATTTAAAGCTACAGACAAGATGGTTACTGTTGCCTGTTTTTGGTCTAAAATTATTTAGCCACTTGTGCTCCCTCTATTTTATGTATTTATCATTTTTTTAAATATATATATATATATATTCCGCCCTTTTCACTCCAAAGGGGACTCAGGGCGGAGCACAATAAATATATGGCAAACATTCCATGTCAGAACATAAAATAAACTATAAATATACATAAACACTAAAATCAATTATCTCCACTTTAAAATCCATTGTTTAAACCAGGGGTCTCCAAACTAAGGCCCGGGGGTCAGATGCGGCCCTCCAAGGTCATTTACCCGGCCCTCACTCAGGGTCAACCTAAGTCCAAAATGACTTGAAAGCACACAACAACAATCCTATCTCATCAGCCAAAAGCAGGCCTACACTTCCCACTGAAATTCTAATAAGTTTATGTTTGTTAAAATTGTTCTTCATTTCAATTATTGTATTGTTTTTAAGTGTTTTTGCACTATGTTTGTTTGTTTTTTTCAAATTATAATCCGCCCCCCTAACAGTTTGAGGGACTTTGACCTGACCCTCTGTTTAAAAAGTTTGAGGACCCCTGGTTTAAACCATCTCGGATCAGCCGTATAGGATCCGGTCAGCAGGGTAGTTTCCTATTGTTGCCTTATTGCACTGTCCCAAAGGCTTGGTCCAAAAACCAAGTTTTTACCATCTTTCTGAAGGACAGGCGGGAGGGGGCTGATCTAATCTCGCCAGGTAGGGAGTTCCATAGCTGAGAGGCAATCACTGAGAAGGCCCTCTTTCTCGTCCCCGCCAATCACGCCTGTGACAGTGGTGGGACCATGAGCAGAGCCTCCCCAAAAGATCTTAGTCTACACTGTGGTTCATAGAAGGAGATGCATTTGGACAGACAGATTGGGCCAGGGACATTTAGGGCTTTCTAGACCAAAGCCAGCACTTTGAATTGTGCTCGGTAGCAAACCGGCAACCAGTGGAGCTAACACAACATGAGTTGTGTGCTCCCTGCATGCCACCCCAGTTATTAACCTGGCTGCCTCTCATTGGACTATTTGAAGCTTCTGAACAGTCTAAAAAGGCAACCCCAAGTAGAGAGCGTTGCAATAGTCTATCCTAGATATAACGAGACCGTATCCAAATCTTACTTTCCAAGGTACTGGCACAACTGGCACACAAGTTTTAATTGTGCAAAAAAACACCTAGTTACCACCGAAACCTGAGATTCCAAGCTCAACTATGAGCTCAGGATCACTCCCAAGCTGAGAACCTGTGCCTTCAAGTGAAGTGTAACCCCCTCCAGCACAGGCACCCTATACCCTGTTCGGTCTTGCAACTGACCAGGAGTACCTCTGACTTGTCTGGATTCACTGGGTTGTTGTAGGTTTTTTCGGCCTATATGGTCATGTTCTAGAGGCATTTCGCCTGCATCTATGGCAAGCATCCTCAGAGGTAGTGAGGTCTGGATTCAACTTCAATTTGTTTGCCCTCATCTAGACTGTCACAGAAGCACAGCAGTTCAAGACCTGGACATATAGTTTTATGAGTTTTATACTTATTGATGCAATGCTTTTGACACAAAAATAAATAAAAGTTGTCCTCTGGACACCTTCCAGCTTGTCAATATCCCTTTTGAAATGTGGTGCTCAAAATTGGTCACACTACTCCAGATGAGGTCTAGCCAAAGCTGAATAGAGAGAGGTATCATGACTTCCCCCAATCTAGACATAGGAATGTGAAGGCATCTCACCTGCCCAGCACCTGGTGTCCTCTTCATGAATTTTGTGATGGACATGCTTCCCATCTGTCTCCGTTTAGCTGAGAGCGGAGTCGTCTGTGTTGTTGACGCCGCTGCCATCGTGCTGTTGGGCGAGTTCCCACTTTCCTCCTTGTTCCCTGCTGGGACCTGTGTGATGTATTCCCACCGGCAAGGGACAGGCAGGTCCTCCCGGCCATAGCTCCTCAGCACTTCCGGTTGGACGTACCAACACATCCGGCGCTCGGGCCGCTTCTCGTACACAGAGTTCTCAGAGATGATGCGCTTCAGCCTGGTTTTGGAAGGGACAGAGATCGGAGCCGCCGCAAGGGTCTCAGGGCTGGGGGGGCCATTGTTGCTGCCGCTCGCCACAGACATGGGGTTATCGTTTCCCAGCAACAGGCCCCTGCGGCAGCACTCCTGGAATTCCTGGATGATGACTTTGCTCCCATGGACGTTCCCGTGAAGCAGGGGCAGCAACTGTCCCAAAACTGAAGTAGAACAAACAAACAAAAAATCTTAATCTGAGCAGCAGTGTGCCCCAATTTAACAATCCCAACACCGGCCTTGCATACCTGAAACAGGTATATGTTGACTATACTTGGGCAAGAAGCACCCCAATCTTCTATATGCATAATAAAAGTGAAAATATGTATGTGTGCATTATTATTATATTGTAATATTATTTTAAAATCATTAGTATAATATCATATTATAATGCATACACATAACAAAAGTGAAAATATGTATGTGTGTGTGTGGCTGGGGTATCCACTTACACAGACAAACTCCTACCTTCACAAACAGCTATAATTTCCACTACTCAGGAGACACCAATGGCCCTCCTTCCAATGACATTGCAGGTTATAGTGAGCACCATGAACATGTACAAGAGCCCTGCCGGTGTCCTCCAGAAACACTATACTGTCCCCCACCCAAGTGAAGGCTTTCACTTGGGGACAATTTCATTCTAGATTTTATGTGTTTCCTCCATCACAGACATCCCAGTGTTTCATACTGTCTCCATGGGTGTGGAATTTGCATGACCCCGGCCACTGTCATCTGGAATATTGGCTCTCCCTCCCAATTTGATGTCGTCTGCAAACTGGATGATTGTGCCTTCTAACCCTTCATCTAAGTCATTAATAAAGATCCTGAACAGGATCGGGGCCAGGACGGAATCCTGCTTATAGCACTCCACTCGTCACTTCTTTCCAGGATGAAGAGGAAGAATTGGGGAGAATCTCCTTCTGGGTTCGTTCGCTTAACCAATTACAGACCCACCGAACCGTAGTTTAGCGTCGCCCACACTGGACTAGTTTGCTTGCCAGAAAGTCATGGGGGTGCCTGAAATCCAGATACGTTACATCCACGGCATTCCCTGCATCTACCCAGTTTGTAACTCTATCGAAAAAGAGATCAGATGAGTCTGGCGTGACTTGTTTTTGAGAAATCCATGTTAACTATTAGCGATGACGGCATTCCTTTCCAAGTGTTTGCAGACCACTTCTTTCATGATCTTTTCCAGAATCTTGCCTGGTATCGACATGAGGCTGACTGGATGGTAATTGTTTGGTTAATCCTTTTTTAGCTTTCTTGAAGATAGGTAGGGATTATATTGGCCCTCCTCCCATCTGTTGGGACTTGTCCCGTTCTCCAAGAACTCTCAAATATTATTGCTAGTGGTTCCGAAATTACTTCCGCTAGTTCCTTCAATACTCTTGGATGTGGTTGATCCGGCCCTGGGGACCTGAATACATTTAGAGTGGCCAGGTACTCCTGGACGACTTGTTTCCTTATCCTTCGTCCACTCCATGTTGTTGAGGTTGAAGACACCTTTCTTTTTGTAAGAAGACTGAGGCAAAGAAGACATCAAGTAGTTCTGCCTTCTTCCTATCCCCTGCCAGCATTTCCCCATCTTCTCATTGCAGAGGCCTGATCGCCTTCTTGTTCTTATTATTATTACTAGCTGTGCCCTGCCACGCGTTGCTGTGGCCTATAGTAAAACTTATCAAAGCTGAGGTAGATATCTGGACTATTATGAAAGAGAGGTACCTACCTATTCCTTCCCCCTTTTCCTCCCCCTTTCTCTCCTTTCTTCCTTCTCTACCTCTTTCTTTCTTTCCTTCTTTCACTACTTGGTTTCATCCTTCTCTTTCCTTCATTCCCTCCCCCTTTCTTCCTTTGCCTTTCTTCCCTCCCTGTTTGCTTCCTTCTTTCTCTTTTTATTCCTTTTATTTCACCACCATCATAACAATAACAATAATGCAATGCATTGCCTCTGGGACCTGACACCTCTCCCATTCCCCCTAAAAGGGTCTCATAGGAATAATAAGCATAATAATAATAGAAATAACAACCTTTACCCGCCACGCGTTGCTGTGGCCAACCTTCCTGCTTTCTCTCCTTCCTTCCTTCCTTCTCTCCCATCTTTCCTTCTCCTCTTCCTTCTCTATCTCTTTCCTTCCTTCCCCCTTTTTCTTTCTCTTCTGGTCTCTTTTCTTCCTTCTCTCTTTCCTTCTTTCCTTCCCTCCCTCTTTCTCTACATCTTCCCCCTTCCTTCACTCCCTCTTTCTTCATTCCCTTTTTTCTTTCCTTCTCTCCTTCCTTCCTTCCCCCTTTTTCTTTCCCTCCCTCTGTCTCTCATTTCTTCCTTCTCCACCTCTTTCCTTCCTTCCCCCTTTTTCTTTCTCTTCTGCTGTCTCCCTTTTCTTTCCTTCCATCTTTCCTTTTCTTTCCTTTTCTTCTTTCTTCTTTCTCTAACTTTCCTTCCTTCCCCCTTTTTCTTTACCTCCCTTTCTCTTTCTTCCTTCTTTCCTTCCTTCCTGTCTTTCCTAGATTTTGACAGGGCGGAAGGGGGGTGGGGTTTGGAGGTGGCGTGAAGTAAAAGGAGGTAAGATTGGGGCAGGGAGTGATGGAGCGTGGGGTTGCGTGTGTGTGTGCGGCGGCAGGGGGAGTGATGGAGCGTGGGGTTGCGTGTGTGTGTGTGGCGGCGGGGGGGGAGTGATGGAGCGTGGTGTGTGTGTGTGTGCGCGGCGGGGGGAGTGTGGGTGGGGTTGCGTGTGTGTGCAGCGGTGGGGGGAGTGATGGAGCGTGGGGTTGCGTGTGTGTGTGCGGCGGCAGGGGGAGTGATGGAGCGTGGGGTTGCGTGTGTGTGTGCGGCGGCAGGGGGGAGTGATGGAGGTGGGGTTGCGTGTGTGTGTGCGGCGGGGAGTGATGGAGGCGGCGTGGGGTTGATGTGTGTGTGCGGCGGCGGGGGGGAGTGATGGAGCGTGGGTTGCATGTGTGTGCGGCGGGGGGGGGTGGGGTTGTGTGTGTGTGTGCGGCGGCGGGGGAGTGATGGAGCGTGGGGTTCGTGTGTGTGTGCGGCGGGGGGATGATGGAGCGTGGGGTTGCGTGCGTGTGTGCAGCGGCGGGGAGAGTGATGGGGCGTGGGGTTGCATGTGTGTGTGCGGCGGTGGGGGGAGGTGGAGTGGGGTTGCGTGTGTGTGCGGCGGGGGGAGTGATGGAGCGTGGGGTTGCGTGTGTGTGTGCAGCGGCAGGGGGAGTGAGGAGTGTGGGGTTGTGTGTGTGTGTGCGGCAGGGGGTGTGTGTGTGCGGGAAGCGGCGCGGTGGGGCTTGGAGTGGGCATGGCTTCCGCAGAGGGAACGTTGGCCGGAAGGCTGTGTGCGCGCCCAGGGAACTTGCGGCTGGGCGCCAATGCGCATGCTCAGTTGTTTTGCCATATTGTGAGTGTGTTGTTGTGTTGTTTTTCATTTTGAGTAGATATGTTTGTACCTTGTGGGTTGTGTTATGGGCATGGGAATTTTGGTTAAGTTTCGTTGGTTTTTTTTTTTGTTTTGTTGTTTTGCCGTTTTGTGAGTGTGTTGTTGTGTTGTTTTTCATTTTGAGTAGATATGTTTGTACCTTGTTGGTTGTGTTATGGGCATGGGGATTTTGGTTAAGTTTCGTTGGGGGGTTGAGTTTTGTTGTTTTGCCGTTTTGTGAGTGTGTTGTTGTGTTGTTTTTCATTTTGAGTAGATATGTTTGTACCTTGTGGGTTGTGTTATGGGCATGGGAATTTTGGTTAAGTTTCGTTGGGGGTGTTTTGAGTTTTGTTGTTTTGCCGTTTTGTGAGTGTGTTGTTGTGTTGTTTTTCATTTTGAGTAGATATGTTTGTACCTTGTGGGTTGTGTTATGGGCATGGGAATTTTGGTTAAGTTTCGTTAGGGGGTTGTGGAGTTTTGCTGTCCCGTTGAACCAACCTAACAGATTTATACATATAGATTATAGATTATTCTTATATTTTATCTCTGGTTCCTACAGCATTATTTTAATACTATTATTATAGCTCATTCGTCTATTATTTTTATGTTATTATATTCTTGTTATTTTAATTCTTATATTATTCTTATATATTTTATCATTTTTATTTTTATATATTCTTAGTTTAATATTATATCTCCTTCTTCTAGTATTATTATTTTAACATTATTATATCTTATTATTATGTTGTTCTTTTCTCATTTTATTATTACAATATTCTATTTTATTATTTTACTTGTATTACTGTATATTATATAATTATATTTTATTTTTATATTACTGTATTATTGTATTACTGTATATACTTGAGTATAAGCCGACCCGAATATAAACTGAGGCACCTAACTTTACCACAAAAAACTGGGAAAACATACTGACTTGAGTATAAGCAGAAGATGGGAAATGCTGCATCTACTGGTAAATTTCAAAATAAAAATAGATATCAATAAAATTACATTAATTGAGGCACCAGTAGGCTAAATGTTTTTGAATATTATTTACATAAAACTTTAAGATAAGACTGTCTAACTCTGATTAAACTATAATTTTAACATTTTAACCTTCTTCAGTGTAAATGTGCTTACATATCTTTCCAGCAATAATAAATAGGGTAAAATAATAAATGTAATAAAATAATAACAATAGAGAAAAATAATGGAAATGTAATAATAACAGTAATAATAATAGAGTAAAATAATAAATGTAACAATAATAGAGTAAAATAATAAATGTAAATAATAATAATAATAATAATAATAATAATATAATAATAATAATAATAATAATAATAATAATAATAATATAAGAAGAGTAAAATAATAAATAACTTTGACCCAAGTATAAGCCAAGGGGGGCTTTGTCAGCCTAAAAAAAGGTTTGAAAAACTCGGCATATACTCGATTGTATACGGCAGTGGTCCTCAAACTTTTTAAACAGAGGGCCAGGTCACAATCCCTCAAACTGTTGGAGGGCCGGATTGTAATTTGAAAAAAACATGAATGAATTCCAATGCACACTGCACATATCTTATTTGTAGTGCAAAAACCACGTAAAAACAATACAATAATTAAAATGAAGAATAATTTTAATAAATATAAACTTATTAGTATTTCAATGGGAAGTGTGGACCTGCTTTTGGCTGATGTGATAGGATTGTTGTTGTTATCATGTGCTTTCAAGTCGTTTCAGACTTAGGTTGACACTGGGCGAGGGCTGGGTAAATGACCTTGGAGGGCCGTATCCGGCCCCCGGGCCTTAGTTTGAGGACCCCTGCTCTAGTCATTTGTGATCTTATTTTTGTTGGTTGATTTTTTTTACTAGCTCATTTGGCAGTCCATACGTCCCTAGAGGGTCCCAGGGCAGAAAATGGTTGCTCCTGTAATAAAAGTTGAGACTGTACCATAGTGAAAGATCCCAAAGCCTGTACTTTTTTGTTCCACATATTGGAAATGTTGCCTCCTTGAACATCAATTTCCAGAATGGTTGGTCAGTGAATGGCACAATGTGATCTGAAATTGCTAGTGTAATTGATGTTCCTGAGCTCAAATTGTTCTTGGAATACGGGGAACTAAATGTTCTTGAAGATCATGATGTATATACAGGACTAGTCCAACCAATTCGGATGCCACAGAAGAGCAGACAATGGTTAGTAATAGTAGCGGAGATTATTAATTTACTTTAGTTAAAAATCAATAACCAGTTTCAAGGAGAGGTCCTTCTGACATTGTATAATTATTTTTGATTTATTTATTTATTTAGCAATTTTGTATACCGGTCTTCTCCCCTCTATCGGGGGACTCGGGCCGGTTTCCAACAATAAAATCACAAAACAATCATTAAAAACATCATATAACATATTCAATTAAAACGTTATAACAGCAAAATGCAATCACATAATAACAATGGTCAGTCGTCATAGTGAATTCGTTGTCCATCATTCATCGTCATCTATCCGATCACAGAAATATTGATTCACTCGTTGAAAGCCAAACCCCATAGCCAGGTTTTCACCCGTTTTCTGAACGACAGAATGGAGGGGGCAGTTCTGATCTCCAGAACTCCATAATTATATATATTATATGTATTATATAATTTCAGACTTAGGTTGACTCTGAGCGAAGGCCGGGTAAATGACATTGGAGGGCCGTATCTGGCCCTCAGGCCATAGTTTGAGGACCCCTGGTATACGGTATTATCGTTCTTATTATTACACTGTGTAACATGGGTATTCCTCCTGGATTATAAATATTGTTTCCTAATTGGTTCTATCATAAAAACATGGAAAACTTTTATTAAACTACTTTGCTTTTTGGGACATTCTGCAACACATTTTCTAATAGTTTTTCAAAGAATATCTCATAGAGTCTCAACCAATTCAGCCTAGTTTGTGGCAGCTACAAAATGAAGTTTCTGTAGTAGAAAAACTACTTTCAAAGTAAGGAACGCACAGTTAAACAGGAAATAATACTTTAGAACCAGGAACAGAACTTAGCATTTTCTTTGTTACATAGTGTTATTGAGGCAGCGGCTTACTTTGTTGGTTCTTTGTTTTCTTCTTGTTATTCTTCTCCATCTGCTCTTCGTCGGCGAGACTCGAATCCAGGGTGACCACAGCGAACTGATAGAGGAGCCTTGCATCTGGGTTTATGCCTTCACCGTCCTCGGCCCCTTCCCAAATGCAGCCCACCTTCACCGGCTGCAGGACCCGGAACCTCTTCCCCTTGGTGATGAGCTCATCCCACTCCTTGGCCTTCAGCTTTTGGCGGGCCTTGTGGTTCTCGGGGTCGCATTCCTGAGAGAGAAGAGAGGTGAGAATGAAGAGGCTTACTTCCTGGGCTGAAAGAACCCGCAATCCAGGAAAGATGTAGTCCAAAGTAAAAAGCTTGGAAACCACGAATCCCTGAGGAATAGCTTACTCCTCCCAAAGACTGGGACACAACGGAACCACAGATTCAAACTACAGGATAATAGGTTCCACCTTAGTATTAGGAGGAACATCCTGATGGGAAGAGCTGTTCGAGAGTGGAATATGCTGCAGTGCACCCTCTTTCTAAGCAAGTTTTGAAAAGGAGGCTAGAAGTTGGGACGGCCTGGATTGTGCCTTCCTGCATTATAATAATAGGCAATAATATATCTTTATTATTACTATTATATAATAAAAATATATAAAATACTATGTATGTATGTATGTATGTATGTATGTGAGGTTTGGGAAGAATTCATCATGATTTAGAGGAGCTGTAGTTCACCTACATCCAGAGAGCACTTTGAACCCAACCATCAATGGATCTGGACCAACCCTGGCACACAGACCCAACATGGGCAACTGTGAATACTGGCTGGGTTTGGGATAATTGCCCTAGGAATCTGGGAGTAGTAGTTCACCCTTACCCAGAAAACACTGAACCCAGCCAACAACAGATCTGGACCAAACTTGGCACACAGACCCAACATGGGCAACTGTGAATACTGGCAGGGTTTGGGGGTGATTGTCATAGAATCTAGGAGTTGTAGTTCACCCTTATCCCGAGAGCAATGAACCCATCTGATATCGGATCTGGACACAACTTGACACAGACCCAACATGGCCAACTTTGAATAATGGCAGGGTTTGGGAAGAATTGGAATTGTAGTTCACCCACATCCTTATGCATTTTCTAATGGGATCATTCATTAAAAAAAAACACAAGGAAAGACTAACTTTTTTCTAATAAATAGTCTTATACATTACCAAACTGCTATTACCTAACTTCAAAAAACAAACAATGCGTTTCTCAGATAACCTGAGCATTGCCAGGTCCCCAAGCTAGTCCATAATAAAAATGAAAATGTGTATGTATGTGCATGGCTGGGGTGCCCACTTCCACAAAGAGCTTTAACTCACAGTGCTGAAGAGCCATCAAAAGCCCTCCCTCCATGGATATTTCAAGTGATAGTGAGCGCCATGAACATGCAGTCCGTCCCCTGCTAATGTCCTCCTCAAACACCATACTGCCCCACCCAAGGAATGATTTCATATTTTACATGCTTCCTCCACCACAAACATCCCAGTGTTTCTTACTCTCTCCATTGGTATGGAATTTGTATGGTCCCGCCCACTGCCTCTCTCTTAACCCTTTCCTACTCTTTTCAACTCTGTCTGCACAACAAACAGATCAGAACTAACCAGCAACTAAACATACTGGAGGAGTTAGGGAGATTGACTCCACATGATGGAAGTTGTAGTTCACCCTGCAACAAGTCGGAACACTGCTACCACCACTGACAATGGACCTGGACCACATTTGGCACACAGAACCCTCATGACCAAATAAAAATACTGAAAAGGTTTGGGGAGAAATCACCTTGATTTATAAGCATTGTAGGTATTGGGATTTATAGTTCACCTGCAATCAAAGAGCACTCTGGACCTCACCAACAATGGCCCTGGACATACAGAACCCTCATGACCAACAAACAAGATTATTTAAATGAGCTGTAGTTCACTTACATCCAGAGACCACCACCAATGATGGATCTGGACCAAAAACCCCATGACCAACTGAACCTACTGGAGGGATTTGTGGGGACTGACCCACCATGGTGGGAACTGTAGTTTATCCTGCAGTCAGAGAGCACACTGAACCCTACCAATGATGCATCTAGGGCAAACTTGGCCAATATAACTAACTGATTGAGTTTTTGGAAATTAATCTGGCATGATGTGAGTTGCAGTTCGCCCACAACCTTATGAATTTTGTACAATTAAAAAATGCCTTCTTCTAATAACCGAGGCAATGCCTCCTTATTCGTCGAGGTTTCTAAACAGGGGCTGGATGGCCACCTGTCGGGAGTGCTTGGACTGTGCCTTCTTGCATTGCCAAAGGGGATTGGAATGTATATTATTACAATTACAATTATTGTTAAACTCGTGTCTTGTGTTTAATCTCTGTTCTCTGTGTTTTAATATGTATTCTATAGAAATAAGTTGTAATACCACCCGGATAATGGAACAGAACCTGTATCTTTTATAGAAAAAAAATTAATGTGTATATTTACAGAAATTTTACAATGCTTATGTGTTTTAATTATGGTGTAATCTGCCTCGAGCCACAAGACGAAGCGGGTAAGAAATAAAATTATTATTATTATCATCATTATTATTATTACTTCAGTCACGCCTTCGTCCTCTGAGAGGTAGCCATGGGGCACAAAGAAGCCATCGTCTTCATCCTCCTCCTCTCCGCCCTCTTCATCATCATCCTGAGGGAGTCAAACACATACATGATCTCTAAACAGTGGCAAAAAACAGCTTTCAAAAGAAGCGGATTTGTGAAGGAGGTTGTGCTACGCCTTGAAGCCAACTCTTGTCCAATGGTGCCCCTCTATCTATACACATAATAAAAGTGAAAATATGTATGTCTGTATGTGGCTGGGGTGTCCACTTATACAGACAAGTTCTCGCTTCCACAAAGAGCTATAGCTCCCACCACTCAGGAAACACCAAAGGCCCTCCCTCCAATGAGCACCATGAACATGTCCACAAACAACCTACTGCCCACCACCCAAGTGAAGGCTTTTTTACGGGGACAATTCAATCCTAGATTTTATGTGTTTCCTCCACCACAGATATCCAAGTGTTTCTTACTCTCTCAGTTGGTGGAATTTGCATGACCCTGTCCACTGCCTCTCCCGTAACCCTTTCCTACTCAAACTACTGGAGGGATTTGAGGAAATTGACTCACTATGGTGGGAGTTGTCGTTTACCCTACAGTTAGAGAGCACACTGAACCTCAAGCTGACATCAGATCTGGACTAAACTTGGCATACAGACCAAACTGCTCATACAGTGGGCTCAAGGGGTGATTGACCTTGGATCGAGGAGTTGCAGTTCAACCTTATCCAGAGAGCACTGAACCCAGCCGACACCGAATGTGAACCAAACCTGACACACAGACCCAATATGGCCATGCGGTGTTAGGGGATGATTGACCTTGGATCTGGGAGTTGTAGTTTGCCTGTATCCAGAGAGGATTGAACCCAACTAACATCGGACCTGAACCAAACTTGGCACACAGATCCAACACAGCCAAATTTCTATACCAGCAGAGTTTTTAGGATGATTGACATTTGCATTTGGGAGTTATAGTTGACTCATATTCAAATAACACTGAACCAAGAAAATGACGGATCTGGTCCAAACTTGGCACACAGACCCAACATAGTCAACTGTAAATACTGGTGAGGTTCGGAGAAAGTGGATCTTGAAATATGGAAGTTGTAGTTCACCCAAATCCAGAGAGAACTAAAGCCAGCCAACGCGGGATCCCAACCAAACTTGGCACACAGATTCAACATGGCCAACTGTGAATACTGGTGGAGTTTGGGAAGGACTGACCCACAATTTTGGGAATTGTAGTTTCTTATGCATTTTCTAATGGGAGCATTCATAAAAAGCAAAAGCAAAGATTTACTTTTTTCTAATAAACAGAATTACAAATGACCAATACCTAACACCCCAAAACAAACAATGCCTTTTTCAAATAACCTGGGCATTGCCGGGTCCCCAAGCTAGTATGTTATATATGCAAGGCGAGGCTCACCCCTTCGCTATGAGAGAGGGACTCTCCGGGCTCCTCCTCTTCCCATTCTTCATCGCTCTCCACTTCGTAGTCCAAGAGCTTCTGCAATGAAAGACAGACAAAGGAAAAATGAGGATGGGATGCACCTCTTTTTTGTTTGTTTACATTTTTATTGTATACAAGCTACAAACAAAAGAAACAGAGAATACATAATACAATAACAAAAACTATACAGTTACAACATCCTCCTTCCCGACAGCCATGAAATCAACACGTAGGACTTATGTCACTATTCACTGTGAATCTTATATCTATTAAAACCAACCCTTATGTCTGCTTAATAAATTCCCTTTGTGGCTACTTTAAAATCCACATTTGTCTTCCTTTCCAAATATCCTCCAGCCTCCATTTTTTTCGCAAACCCTTCATTATTTCCACTCCAAATACCACTGGATACTTTGGTCATTTGAATATAGTCTGTTTTTCTCTCCAGTCCTTTCTTTTTCCCTCTTCCAAATCTGCTGCAAAACAGGAGCTTTTTTGTTGAGTTCCAGGGTCAGAGAAGATGGCGAAAACAGAAGAACGGCCTGCCTTAGGGGAGCGAGTTTGCTCCATCAATGTTTAACATTTACACAAATGACCAGCCACCATCAGAAGGGACAGAGAGTTTCATCTATGTTGACAACTGTGCCATCACCGCTCAAGAAGGGAGCTTTGAAAAGGTTGAAAAAAGCTCTCCAAAGCTTTAGGTGCTCTTATTGCCTATTACAGGGAAAACCAGCTGATTCCTAATCCATCTAAAACACAGGCATGTGTTTTTCATCTGAAGAACAAAAAAGCATCTCGAGCTCAGGATTACCTAGGAAAAAATCCCACTGGACCATTGTAGCACATCCAAATACATGGGAGTCACTCTGGACTGTGCTCTGATTTATACGAATCACTGCTTAAATATCAAGCAAAACATGGGTGCTAAAAATAATACGTACGAAAGCTGACGGGCACAACCGGGGGACACAACCAGACACAGTGAAGAATCTGCTCTTGCACTTTTCTACTCTGTTGCTGAATACAAATGACCAGTATGGAATAAATCTCACCACGTTAAAACAGTGGATGTGGCTCATAATGAGACATGCCGCATTATCACAAGATGTCTACACCCTACACCGCTGGAGAAATTATACTGTTTAGCCAGTATTGCACCACCTGATATCCATCGGGAAGTAGCAACCAGTAATGAAAGGACCAAGACAGTAACATCTCCTCTGTTTGGATATCAGCCAGCAAGCCAACGCCTTAAATCAAGAAACAGCTTCCAAAGATCTACAGAGATACTCGCAAGAACACCTCAGCAAGCAAGAGTCCAAAAGTGGCAGGTTAAAACCCGGAACATCAATCAGTGGCTGATGCCAGATGAGAAACTCCTTCCTGGGCACATAAAAGAGTAGGCACAAGATTCAGAGCCAACCTTCAGAAATGGGGCTACAAAGTGGAGCTCACGACATGTTGAGTGTGGAGATGAGAAAACCACAGACCACTTACTACTATGCAGCCTGAGCCCTGCCAAATCCACAATGGAGGACCTTTTTACAGCAACACCAGAGGCACCCCAAGTGGCCAGCTTCTGGTCAAAGGACATTTAGTATAATACCAAGTTTTAAAAACTTTGTGTTTTTTAAAATACATTACAACTGCACTCTCAATTCGATTTTGACATGACAAATAAATAAACTCTGGTTATATAAAACATTTTATACATCTTTTCTATAATAGATGCCGCTATTTAAAATGTAAAGCCTCTTTTCTACAGAGGTCAGTATTTCCGTTCTCCAGGTCAATATTTTCCCCTAGATCTTTAGCCCACAAAATCATACCTTGTTTTTATTCAGTTATCCTCTAACTTGTACTCTAAAATGTATTTGTATAGCCTTCGTTCCCCTTCTCAAAGATGCTCTTCAACACCAAATTTCTTTTGGAGAACCATCTCCAATTCTGGAGCAATAAAATGCTTGGTGGAGAGGCAGTTCGTTGCTCCCTGTCTGTTTACCTCATCCTTCGACCATGGGTTCCGCGGGCGGATTGAAGGGGACTTCTTGTTCCAGGTGCCCCAATAGGCCGGCCGGTGGTTCTCGCAGAACTGCAGCAGCTTCATCCGGCCAAAGGCCTTTCGTTCGGGCACATCACCAGCTTGGCTGCTGCCCATAACGACAACCATATCACTGTCCAAAACAAAGACAGCGCTGCGTTGAGTTCCCAAGAATGAGATTAGCCTAGCATGACCCATTTTTGTGAAATCCACAGCTAATAAACGTCAAGGTGGGTTTCTCAAAAACAAGTCATGGCAGAATAATCTCATCACATCCTTCGATACTAGTCACAAGACAATGGGAGACGCAGGGAATGGTGTGGATGGAGCATATCTCGATTTTGGTAAGACCTTTGACAAAATAAATGAATGAATAAATTTCATTATTACAGTACAGATCACAAGTATAAAACTTGAGTTGCTGTGAGTTTTCTGGGCTGCCTGGCCATGTTCAAGAAGCATTCTCTCCTGACATTTCGTCCACATTTTATTTATTTATTTATTTCACATATTTTTATCCTGCCATTCTCACCCTAAAAGGGGACTCAGGGCAGCCTTACAGCAGGCAGCGATTCGATGCCAATACATATAAATATAAAAATAGACAAATACAATTAAAATCATACAATTAAACATTAATGATTAAAACATCAATTAAAATCACAATGTCATGAAAGGATGAAGGTCTAAGAAAAGGGTCACTGGCAAGAAAGGTTTGGAAAGCTCTGGATTAGAGAAAAGTCGTGCTGGACCCCTCAGCAAGGAGTCAAACATCCCTCAAGAAAGCCCCGCAAAACAGCCATATTCCTAACCTGCTGATGTCATCGGCAACAAGAGTGGGACCTGATCTGAAAGGCTCCCGGCCCTTCAGTTCCTCTAAGAAAGTAGTGCTGGCATCCTGGGCTTGCAAAAGCGAATCAAAGTGGTCCAAGAGGTCTGGATCGATGGCCGCACGGCAGAGAGGGGCAAGCACCATGTTCTCTTTGATTTCAAAGGGGGCAAACTTCCCACACCAGCCAGCCAGAGTCTGAAACCAAAAGCAAGACAGAATGCCTTTAGAATAAATGAATTTCATTACGGTCTTAATTCAGGAGTTTGAAATGTTAAAACAGAGCTCTCCAAACTGTGTGTCGGGACACATTAGTGTGTCGCGACACATTAGTGTGTCGCTTGCAATCCACAGGTGTGTCACATGAAAAGCACTCCCCCCCCCCACATACACCCACACTGGAAGAGACCCCCAAAGGGCATCCACTCCAACCTATAAGTAAATAATAGTGTTTGAATGCAAATTGCATATAGTTTAAACTGCATGTTTTAGTAGTGCATGGGTTAAAACAATGGATATGTGTAAAATTGATAGTGTGTCATATTTGGAGTTTCCTGTACAAACCAGAAAATAAAAACAATGCGCTCTGTTCTTTTGCCATGATGTGATTAAGTACAGACATGCCTCGAGAATGTGCTGCATATAGTTGTAAATAAAGAGGAGAGCCACTTTCATTGAAAGCTAAATTTACGATGTCTGTGTGAAATGTATCTCCCTGCTTCCCAAGACAAGTTACTTGAGAAAGTCGGGAAGAATTGAGATAAGGATGGATGATTTATCTCAATTTGCTACAAGAGTTATGGGCCCACTTCCGCTGCACGAAGCTAATGAAGACAATTAGCTGCAGCGAGATTTATGGCTGGTAATGGACTTCAGTCAAGCAGGAAGACACTTAAAGCCCTGACAGATGGCCTTTCAACCTCAGTTCAAAAATCTCCAAAGGAGACTCCATTGGAGGAGACCCCCAAAGGGCATTCAGTCCAGGATATACAAACATTGTAACTGGCTTTATATTAGAAACATATATCCACAAATCTAAAACATGTGGAGCTTGAAGCATGGTTTAAAAATGACACTGGATTAAAATCTATGAACATCCATGTCAAAATATTAGCCACGAAAATCATCCGCCATCAGACTCCTTAATTTTATAGCTGTAGCATAAAATATAGCCACTATGAAAGTGATCTATGAGTCCCTATTAGATATTTAAATTAGTATTAATCACTTCTGCCAGGGATCTTCTGTGCAAAAGGAGTAATAAAAGCAAACTGAATGTCCTACAGAAGTGGCAATGTAATAGGACATGCCTGGCAGTTCCCACTTCCTCCAAACTACATGGGCGACTGTTACAGAGAGCTGCTTCCTGGCCCTATTTAAGCTTTTAATATTAAAATTGAGAGAAATCACCTTTGGCACAGGCTGTGTCTTTGGCTTCTGAAAGAACCTGGTGATTCCGGCCTTCTCCGCTTTGATGCGCTGGAATCAACACAAGGACATTATATACATGTGCGCATATACCATATATCTATCTATATCAATAAAAAATGCTTGTGGGATTAACATAACTCGAAAACCACTGGGCAAATTGCCGCCAAATTTGGCCACAAGACACCTACTAACCCAAGGAGTGACCATCACTCAAAAAAATTGATTTTGTCATTTGGGAGTTGTAGTTGCTGGGATTTATAGTTCACCTACAATCAAAGATAATTCTGAACTCCATCAATGATGGAATTGAACCAAACGTGGCATACAGGACTCCCATGACCAACAGAAAACACTAGAAGGGTTTGGTGGGCATTGACCCTGAGTTTTGGAGTTGTAGTTCACCTACATCCAGGGAGCACTGCGGACTCAAATAATGAGGCATCTGGACCAAACTTGGCATGAATATTCCATACACCCAAATATGAACACAGATGGAGTTTGGGGGAAATAGACCTTGACATTTGGGAGTTGTTGTTACTGGGATTTATAGTTCACCTACAATCAAAGAGCATTCTGAAGCCCACGAACGACAGAATTGGGCAAACTTCCCACACAGAACCCCCATGACCAACAGAAAATACTTAAGGCCATCCAGTCCAACTCCCTTCATCAGGGCAAGAAAACATAATCAAAGCCCTCCTGACAAAGAGCCATCAAGCCTTAGATATAGATAGATATATAGGATTCACACACAGATATAGTATCATAGATTTTAAAGGAACCCCTAAAGAAGGACAATTTGCATGTTGCATGTTCCAGAGTAGGCAAACCAAACAATCTCCACATCAACACTGACAAAGAAACAATAAGAAATACTGTTTACCCACAAGCAGAAAGAAATTACATATATTAGAAACCAACACTTTCTCATTACTTTATTTTCCAGATCACCAGACTGGGCCACAGCAACGTGTGGCAGGAGACAGCTAGTACACACACACAAACACACACACATATAGGTGTGAATGAAACCCTAAAACATATAAAGCTCCTTCCTCCACAAATAGGCCCCAGTCCTTAGGAGACACCAATGGCCCTCCCTCCAATGACATTGTGAGTGCTTTAAACAATTTCAAGAACCCTGCCACTGTCCTCCACAAACACCCACCACCCAAGTAAAGGCTTTCCCAAACACTGATGGGTCTGGACCAAACTTGGCACACATACCCAACATTCCGAAATTTGATTACTGGAGTGGTTTGGGGGGAACTGACCTCCCTTTCTGGGAGCTGTATTTCACCCACAACAAGAGAAACGGTGACCTCCACCAGTGATGGACCTGGACCGAATTTGGCACACAGAACCTCCATGACTAACTCAACCTACTGGAGGGATTTGAGGGTACTGACTCACCATAGTTGGAGTTGGCGTTTACCCTACAGCCAGAGAGCACAATGAACCCCACCAATGATGCATCTAGAGCAAACTTGCCCAACATTACAAACTTTAAGTCCTGATGGAGTTTTTTGGGGTTAACCTGGCATGTTGTAGTTTACCCACAATCTTATACATTCTGTACGATTTAAAAAAATGACTTTTTCAAATAACCAGGTACCCAAGCTAGTACATACACACACACACCTCACGGTGTGAATGAAAACCGAACACATATAAACATTACATTATTAATATATTTATGCCCCGTTTTTCTCTGCCAAAGGATTCAACACAGCTCACCTTAAAAACTCAAAACACGCAAATTAAAACTTAGCACATATACACATTAAAATATTATTGAAAACAAACATAATATACATTTTTTTAAATCCCTGCTTTGTCTATGATTTGACACTTCTTTTCCCCTTCTAACAAGTTATTGACTTCTGCTTGAAGTTAATATAGAACAATTACAAGTTTCTAAGGGCTGAACTGAGAGTTGAAGTCAAAATAGGAATCCTTGCTCACCATTCAATAGATGTGATAGTAGAAAAATGAGTTGGGAAAAGGGTAAGAAATAGGTATTTTGGTGACCAATACAAAGTCAATAGGTTTTCTGCTTGCTCCAGGTTCAGATAGGAGGCGGACAGAGACACACGATTTACCTTTTCCTCTTCCTTCAACCTTTTCTCTTCTTCCTTCAACCGCTTCTCCTCTTCTTTCTTTCTCTTCTCTTCCAGTTTTGCCCTTTGGAAAGATGAGAAGCCCACTTTCAGCATAAACCCGGAGAAATAGTAATACTATGCTAAGCTATTTAGTAAAACACTTAAGCTGTTTTGAGTGCAAGATGACAACTGGAGAAAGCTGAGTTTGAATCTCACAAAACCCCACTGTGGGCAAGAAAGTTCTACGTCCTCCAGCAGAACTGGAGGAAGATGATGACAGGGATACACTGGTGAACCTAGAGATTCGTACAGGTAACGTTTGAAATCTAATCTGCAAAAGTCAAGCTGCCCAATAGGGAGGGATGGCTATATAGAGGATTTCAAGACCAGGTTTGAAGATCACAAGGGAAGACATAAAAGAGGATGTCTACACCCAACACCGCTTCAGAAGTTATACTTTTTAGCCAGTATTGCACCACCTGATATCTACTGGGAAATAGCAGCCAACAATGAAAGCACCAAGGCATTGACATCTCCAACCCATCCTCTGTTTGGATATCAGCCAGCACACCAATGCCTTAAATCAAGAAATAGTTTTCTAAGATTTACAGAGATACTCACAGGAACACCTCAGCAAGCAAGAATCCAAAAGTGGCAGTCAAAAACCCAGAACCTCAAGTTATGGCTGATACCAAATGAGAGACTACCCCCTGGGCACACAGAAGATGGGATGACTTGGAAGGCGCTGAACAGACTGTGCTCTGGCACCATGAGATTCAGAGCCAACCTTAAGAAATGGGGTACAAAATGGAGTCCACAACATGCGGGTGTGGAGAAGAACAAACACAGACTACTTACTACAATGTGGCCTGAGCTTTGCCACATGCACAATCGAGGACCTTCTTACAACGACAACAGAGGCACTCCAAGTAGCAAGCTACTGGTCAAAGGACATTTAATATAATGCCAGGTTTTAAAACTTTGTGTTTTTAAATACATTACAACTGTACTCTTGTTTTGCTTCTGATATAATTTTTTTTTCTTTCCCGCTTTCTCCTCCATAGAGTAGAGGTGTCTAAGAATCCCCTTCTCTTACTCCAGTGCCTCCTGCTTCTCCTTCCGCTTCTCCTCCTTGACCCGCAGCTTCTCCGCCTTCTCCTTCTCGTCCTTTTCCTTCTTCTCCTTCCTCTCCTTCTCCTTCAGCTCCTTCTCCTCCTCCTTCTTCCTCCTGGCCTCCTCCCGGGCACGTTCCTTGGCTGCCTTAGCCTCCTCTTTCAGCCTCCCTTTCTCCGCTCGTTCCTGATCCTGGCCACCAAAAGCAAAGAAATACCCCCCATAAAAGGTCATATAAGACACTTGACACACAGCAATACGGGTTCAGTAATATCAGAGATTTCCACACTGGTAGGATGCTTCAAGGTGTGGAATCGTAGCGATGAAGACAAGGAATGAGGACCTTAGTATCACTTCCAATGGATACAGCTATAGAGGAGATTTTGATTCCATCCCTTCCTTGTATCTCCTTCCAAAGTGCTACAAGATTGGCTCTATTGTGTCTATTAAATTCTTTATTCGCCTTATCTTTTTCATGCCACAAATACGGATGCCACCCAAATCTTAAGTTAGAGCCCTCTAAATTGAGTAAATCACGATTCTCTAGTGTTTCTCCACCTTCCTAATGCTACGATCCCCTCATGTTGTGGTGACCCCCCAACCATAACATTATTTTCGTTGCTACTTCATCACTGTAATTTTGCTACTGTTATGAATTGTAATGTAAACATCTGATATGCAAGATGTATTTTCATTCATTGGACCAAATTTGGCACTAATACCCGATGCACCCAAATTTGAATACTGGTGGGGTTGGGGAGGGGATTGATTTTGTTATTTGGGAGTTGAAGTTGATGGGATTTGTAGTTCACCTACAATCAAAGAGCATTCTATGTGCCAAACTTGGCACATAGAACTCCCATGACAAACAGAAAATACGAAAGGGTTTGGTGGGCATTGACCTTGAGTTTTGGAGTTGTAGTTCACCTACATCCAGAGAGCACTGTGGACTCAAACGATGGATCTGGACCAAACTTGGCACGAATACTCAATATGCCCAAATGTGAACACGGGTGGAATTTGCGGAAAATAGAATTTACACTTGGGAGTTGCAGTTGCTGGGCTTTATAGTTCACCTACAATCAAAGAGCATTATGAACCCCGAGAATTGGCCAAATTTCCCACACAGAACCCCATGACCAACAAAAAATACTGTGTTTTCTGACGGTCTTTGGCAACCTCCAGGTTGAGAAATGCTGCTCTAATCTAGCCCACACCTTTAGCCTGCTAAAATGTGTTGCTTCATAGTAGTATCTAAGGTCTGTAAGAGCTAAGCCCCCTCTATCTTTGGTGCCTATTAGATATTTGTATGCAATTCTAGCTTTTTATCATTCCCCTTAAATCCCACCTCCAAATAATCAGAAACCTTTACACCCCTAATGATGGGTAGATTTTGGAATAAAAACATTTTAGGAAGAACCATTATTTTTATCACAGCTATCCTCCCCATGCAAGTTAAAAGAACTCTTTGCCATCTCTCCAAGTCTTCTTTGACCTCCTTCTGGGCTCCTTCAAAATTATTTTGATATAAATTGTTATTTTTGTTGGCTAGCCATAATTCTAGATATTTTACTTTCTTTACTACCTTACAAGCTGATTGTTTATCAATTTTTTATAGATTTCTCTTTATTAATTTTAAATCCTGACGAGAAATTATACTGCTTAGCCAGTAATGCGCCACCTGACATCCGTTGGGACGGAGCAGCCTCTGATGAAAGACCAAGGCATTGACATCTCCAGCCCACCCTCTGTTCGGATATCAGCCAGCATGCCAACGCCTTAAATCAACAAGAAGCTTTCTAAGGTCTACAGAGATACTCGCAGGAACACCTCAGCAAGCAAGAGTCCAAAAGTGGCAGGCTCAATCCCGGAACCTCAATCAGTGGCTGAGACCAGGTGAGAAACTCCCTCCTGGGCAACTTGGAAGGCACTGAACAGACTACACTATGGCACCACGAGATTGCAGAGTCAACCTTAAGAAATGGGGCCACAAAGCGGAGTCCACAACATGCAAGTGAGAAGAAGAGCAAACCACAGACCACTTATTGCAAGGCAACCTGAGCCCTGCCACATGCACAATGGAGGACCTTCTTACAGCGACACCAGAGGCACTCAAGTGACTTCTGATCAAAGGAAATCTAGCATAATGTCAAGTTTTTAAGTTTGTGAGGTTTTTTATGCATTATAGCTGTATTCTCAATTTGCTTCTGACACAATAAATAAATATCATACTGATAATGGTTTCCCCTGACATTAAGTCTAGTTGTGTCAGACTCTGGGGGGTGGTGCTCATCTCAATTTCCAAGCCGAAGATCCGGCGTTGTCCACAGACACCTCCAAGGTCATGTGGCCGGCATGACTGCATGGAGCACCGTTACCTTCCTGCCAGAGCGATACCCATTGATCTACTCACATTTGGCAAAAGCTGGGCCTAACAGTGGGAGCTCACCCTGATCTCTGGATTTGAACCGCCGACCTTTTGGTCAACAAGTATAGTAGCTCAGAGGTTTAACCCGCTGCGCCACCAGGGGGCCTACCATACTGATAATCTCCATTAAATTTTGAGTATTCCTTATTGGGTTCCCATATTATCTGTATATGCCTTTATTTTAAATTCATACCCTTTTATGTTCACTCGTTTACAGCTATCTTCCCTGACTCTAATGCTTAATATTTCTAGCACCCATATATACAGTAGGGGCAACAGAGGACATCCTCTTTAGTTCTGAACGTTCAGTTCTAATTGATAGCAATGAAAGGCAATTCCCAACGATGCTTACCTTCTGCTGCCTCAGTTTCTCCTTCTCCTCAGCACTTTGGTGGGTCTTCTGGAGTTGGAAAGATAAACATTATTAATTAATGCTCCTTTTAAATGAAAAGAAATAAGGAAGAAATTTCAGAAGAATCTACAAAGGATCCACTATCCACCTGGCATTGGGAACCCAGCCACCACTTTTGATACTTATTTTGTTTGATTGTTTTATTTTGTCGAAACAGAAATGTCTTCTCTTTCTGAATGAATACCATGGATTGCATACGCTAAGATCAATAATAAGATTAAAAATCTACTATCTAGACCAGGCATAGGAAAACTTCCTAACTTAGGGGCCGCATGCTAGCACTCCCGGCTAGGAGGACTAGCTGCCCAGTGATGGAAGGAAAGGAAGGAAAGAGAGAAGGAAGGATGAAAGGGAGGAAGGGAATGAGGGAAGCAGAAAGAGAGAGAGGGAAGGAGGAAAGGAAGGATGAAAGGGAGGAAGGGAAGGATGGAAGGAGAAAGAGAGATGGTAGGAGGGAGGAAAGAGGGAAGGATGAAAAGGAGGAAGGGAAAGATGGAAGGAGAAAGAGAGATGGTAGGAGGGAGGAAAGAGGGAAGGATGAAAAGGAGGAAGGGAAAGATGGAAGGAGAATGACGGAGAGAGGGAGGAAAAAGGGAAGGATGGACGAAAGGGTGGAAGGATGGAAGGAGAAAGAGGGAGACAGGGAGGAAAGAGGGAAGGAAGGAAAGACAAAAGGGAAGGAAGGATAAAAGGGTGGAAGGGAAGGATTGAATGAAGAAAGAAAGGGAAAGAGAAATGAAAAAAAACTGAAGGAAGGAAGAGAAGGATGGAAGGAAGGGAAAGATAAAGGAAAGAGAGAAGGAAGGAAAGACAAAAGGGAAGGAAGAAAAGTTGGAAGGGAAGGATGGAAGGCGAAAGGGAGGGAGGTAAGGAGGAAGTAAAAACAAAAGGGKAGAAAGTAAGGACGGACAAAAGGGTGAAGAGGAAGGAGGAAGAAAAGACAAAAGGGAGGGAAGGATGAAAGGATGGAAGGGAAGCATGGAAGGAAGGTAGGAAGGGATGAGAGAAGGAATGACAAAAGGGAGGGAGGGAGATAGAGGGTGGGGACAGAGGGAGTACGAAAAGAGAGAAGGACAGGATGATGAGATAAAGAAGGGGCTGAGAACAGAATGCAAGGGGATGTATCCGGCCCCCAGGCCTGGGTTTACCAATAGTTGATGTAGACCATTAAATGATAATAATTTGGATACTATTCCTTAAGAACTGAAATAGCTTATATTATTAACAGTTATGAAAATGTCTTTTTTTCTGAATGAGAATACCATGGACCGCATACCCTAAGTTCAATAATAAAAATGTATTACTTTGCCACTTGAAAACATGTAAAGTGTTTTCTATGCTTAATTTATTCTACTTGGCCCAAGAAAGCAATAGTTTGCCGCGTCATCATTAAAATTGGCTACAGTTACAACAATGTGATCAATAATGTAGCGTTTACAGATTAAAAATATAATATTCTATACCAGTAAACATAATAAAAATAAAAAATATGTATGTGTGTGAATGTGGCTGGGGTGTCCGCTTACACAGACAAGCTCCTATAGCTCCCACTGATGGTCCTTCATCCAATGACATTGCAGGTTATAGTGAGCGCTATGAACATGTCCAAGAGCCCTGCCAATGTCCTCCACAAACACCATACTGCCCACCACCCAAGTGAAGGCTTTCATACGGGGACATTTTCATCCTAGATTGTATGTGTTTCCTCCACCACAGGCATCCCAGTGTTTCTGACTCTCTCCATTGGTGTGGAATTTGCATAACACCGACCACTGCCTCTCCCTTAACCCTTCCCTATTCTTTTCTATGGCACACAGCAAACAGAGGAATTGATCAGCAACTAAACATACTACAGGTTTGGGGAAAATTCACCATGATTTATCAGGAGTTGTAGGCACTGGGATGTATAGTTCATCTGCTATCTAAGAGCACTCTGAACTCCACCAACAATGGACTTGGAAGTAACGTGGCACACAGAATCCTCGAGTCCAACAAAAAACTTGAGGTTTTTGGAGGGATTTATAGGAGTTGTAGTTCACCTACATCCAGAGCACGCTGTGATCCCAAACAATGATGGATTTGGACCAAACTTGGGATGCATACTCGTTATGCCCGAATTTGAATACCGGTGGGTTTTCAGGGGAATTAGCCTGGACATGTTGGAGTTGTAGGTACTGGGATTTATAGTTCACCTGCAATGAATGAGCACTCTGAACACCACCAAATATGGAATTGGAGCAAACTTGGCACACATAGAGCCCCCATGACCAGCAAAAAATATTGGAGGTCTTTGGGGAAAATTCAACTTGATTTTGGGGAAGTTGTATTTCACTGACACACAGAGACCACTGTGAACCCAAACACTGATGGATATGGACCAAACTTGGCACACAGATCTGATATGCCAAAATTTGATTACTGGAGGGGTTTGGGGGGAACTGACCTTCCATTCTGGGAGTTGTTGTTCACGCACAGCCAGAGATACTGTGACCTCTACCGATGATGGACCTGGACCACACTTGGCACACAAAATCCCCATGATGAACTCAACTTACTGGAGGGGTTTGAGGGGACTGACTCACCATAGTGGGATTTGTAATTTACCCTACAGCTAGAGAGCACACTGAACCCCACTCATTATGCATCCAAAGCAAAGCTGCCCAACATAACAAACTTATAGTACTGATGGAGTTTCTCGGGGTTAACCTGGCATGATGTGAGTTGTAGTTCACCCACAACCTTACGACAAGGCTCAAAGCCTTGTCGGATGACAGCCATAACTTCATAGCATTGAACCATGGCAGTTAAAGTGAATTCATTCTACAACGTGTACCACAAGATATCTTTTCCATGGCTGAAAGCCTTGGTGTTCCAACACAATTGTTTTTAAAGAAGGACCAAATGTAATGGCTGAATGACTGAGTGTACCTTTTGCTGCTGTGCATTCCATTTGTTAGCAATACTTTTTTTTGGTTTCAGGATTTTGAAAATTGAGGTGTTCATTAGATTCGATGGCGCATGAGACTCGAGTAAACTTTACTTGGGTATTTGGGTGTTTATGTCCCCCTTCTATGTCATGGATCTCAGACGGGTATACAAACAGCAGCAATTACCATATATACTCGAGTATAAGCCGATCCGAATATAAGCCAAGGCACCTAACTTTACCACAAAAAAACTGGGAAAACATATTGACCCATTAAATGTTTTTGAATATTTACCATATTTCAAAGAAAAACAGTAAACTAGCTCTATAAGTGGAAAAGTAGGATCAACAAAAACAATATGGTATCAACAATAACTTTACAATAATACTAATAATAAACTTCATTTGTATCCCACCCTATCTCCCAATGGGGACTCAGGCCGGCTTCTAACACCATAACAGGCAAAGATTCAATGCCTATATAAACATGCAGAGCTAGATATAGATCTATAATTATATATATATTAATTTCACATATGCATTTCCCTCTGAAATGTTTGCAAATCCTCTCTCTTTATGTGCATTTCCCTCCTGCAATTTTTGCAATCCCTATATATCTATGTTTATATCTACTTAGACATCTCTCTCCCCTATATGTGTGTGTGCATTTCCCATGTAATATTTGCAAACCCTACATATCTATATCTATCCAGACATGTTTATACATGTGTGTGTGTGTGCATGCATGCATTTCCCCCCTGTAATATTTGCAAGCCTTATATATCTATATTCATATGTATCGATCTAGGCATCTCTCTATATATAGGTAACTGTATCTATATAGGATCTGCAAAGACTTGTAAACATGTATGGGGAAAATACATATATAAAATTATTTATATATATACATACACACTCACAGATATACAGATACTTCTATATAGTTATCGATATCTATATCCATATAGGATTTGCAGAGACTTGCAAAAATGTGAGGGGAAAATACATATATAAAATTATATATATATATACACACACATACATACATACACACACACAGATATATAGGTACCTCTATATAATTATCGATATCTATATCTATATAGGATTTGCAAAGACCTGCAAACGTATTAAGGGAAATTGATATATAAAATTAATGTATATAGATACAGATATATAGGTACATAGGGATTGCAAAGGCTAGCAGGGGGAAATGACTATATATCTGCAGGGGAGATTAACAAATATTTTGGGGGAAAATGCTTTTATAAGATTAATGGATATTCCTGACGTCAAAGACTTCTCTCCCCCTCCTTTCCCTTTTCAAAATATTCCAGTCTGGGAAGAGAAGCAGAGCAGAAGCAGAAAAGGAAACACACTGTTTAGGGAGAGGAAGATGAGGAAGAAATATATCAGATATTGCAAGCAATGACCTCCAGGCTTGACCCCATTATAAGCCGAGGGAGGCTTTTTCAGGCCATAAAAAAGGTCTGAAAAACGTGGCTTATCTTCAAGTATATACGGTAATTTAGCCCAAAAGGCAAGTGTTAGATTAAATACAGTATTTAGAATTATCCCAGATACTGACCTTCCGAGCTGGCGTCGATGCTGCTAAGGGGCTCACATGTGTGTCCTTCCGTGTGGCGAGAGATTCTGGGGAACTGACAAGAGACAGGGAGCTGAGCGAAGAGCTTGTCCCCGCTGTGTCCTCTTCAGCGCCAGACTCCATCGTTTCCGAAGCCAAACTCCTTTCCAATGGGAAGGCTTGGGGCGACCTCCCCATGATGTCCTCCAGAACAACCACAGGCAACTTCCTTTCAAAGATTATATTTTTGAACTTGCGTTGCTTGGCGCTGTGGGTCCCTATTTTGGACACCATCGCACTCAATGGTTCATCCTTCTCTGCCGGAACAGGAGAGGTTTCCATCTGAATATCCTCGGGGGCACTGCAAGAAGACTCTGGCGTTCCGGCCTGATTTCCCACCTCCTCCAAAGCTTCCTTTGCTCCGCAGCCTGATGCTACGCGTTCTGCGCTACCCTTCAGTCTGTGGCATGAATCTCCCATCAAGTCAATGACGAGCAAGGGCTCACTCGTTTTGTTTTTGGGACTTTTCTGAACAAAGACATCGAGCGGACCCTTGCCATTAATAAGTTTCGAAACAAACTGGGGTTCGCTTTCTGCCTCACAGCCATTCTCCACATTGTCTGGTGACAAGTCAGCACAAAATGTGTTTTGATCCAGGACATTTGGAGAGTTCCTGGCTTTCTTGGCTCCCTGGTTTCCATCCGGTTTCTCCTTTGGCACCGGATTCAGGCGTTTAAAAGGCAGTCGGGCTGCATGAATTCAGATAAAAAAAAGGAGCAGTTTAGTAAGTGAGAATCTTAGGTAGGAAACCATCAACTTACTGCTTCCAATAATCAAAATATCACATCCAAATATACTTCCTTAATATTATTTTTTAAAGAAAGAAGTCGACTGTTAGCTGTTGGAAAGATACATCCAAGCTTACCAAATAAAACCATCTGAAAAAAATACAGGTCCCTCATCAAGTTATCCAATAACAAGAGAGCATTAGATAAGCTTAAAAACTTGCTGAACTTTACTTTTTTTTGTGGTGCAGGAACCCATTTCTATTCTTTCAATATTATTTCTGACTCTAGAACAAGGATGGGCAAACCCAGGTCTGGGGACCGGATGAGGCCCCATGAGCTCTTTTCTCAGGCCTTTCTCTCTTTCGCCATTCTGTCTTTCCATCATTCTCTCTTTCCTTCCTCCTTCCCTCCCTCTTTCTCCTTCTCTTCCACTCTTTACTCCTTCCTTCCTCTCGCCTTCCACCCCTTTGTCCTTCTTTCCTTCCCTCACCCTCTTTCTCCTTCCTTCCCTTTCGTCTTTCCTTCCTTCTCTCTTTCCAACCTCCCCTCCCTCCATTCCCTTCAACCCTTTCATCCTTCCTTTTCTTTCCTTCCTTCCACTCTTCTCTTTTGTCTTTCCTTCCTCCTTCCCTTCTACCCTTTCATCCTTCCTTCCCTCTTTTCTTCTTTCCATCCTTCCTTTCTTCCCTTTCTCCTTCCATCCTTCCCTTCCTGCTTTTCATTGTACCTTTTTGTCTTTCCTTCCGTCACTGGGAAGCCAGTCCTCCTATCAGGGAGTGCTAGCGTGCAGCCCCTAAGTTAGGAAGTTTGGCCATGCCTGCTCTAGAATCAATATTTCTGTTAAAATACATACTGACTTGATTACTGAAGTAGACTGTATTAACATGGAGTGCTAACAACTCCAGGGCTAGAAGAGTCCCACTCCCAGTCTCATTACATTTTGACATTTTGGAATATGCAATCCAAATCTGAAGGTTACCATGGAAATGAAAACTAGAACCGGCTTTGAACAAAGAAAATTACCTTGAATCAGTTTCCGGCCTGGAGTGGCCGATTTGTCTCGACACTCCATTGCTGCCAACAAATGACAAAGATGCATTAAAAAACAAGATTTTAGAAGGCAAAATCTGACACATTCAAAGTAACCCATCTTCAACCATAGGTCGACCACCTTTAAGAAAACTGACATCATTCAGTTCATTCAGAAATCCTATTTTTCATATTTTTCACCCTCTTCTAACTCATCACATATTTTCTTATTTTCATTTTCAAATTTTGGTGAAATTGGTGAGACGTCTCAAAAGCTGAACTTATTGATCAGTAGACCATTCTAATGATTAAAACGTTAAGGCCTTCCTCATGTTGCTAATTTTTAGAGTGTACTCATTCAATAAGAATGCACTGCTGGGAGATCCAGCTGCACTGCGTGCATATTGATTTTGATAATATCACTTTAATAATGATAATATTATAATGATAATAATAATACATTGTAAAAACTAATAATAGGAATATATAATAATAATAATAATAATAATAATACATCATTTATTACCTTCCTCATTATCTCCCTTACAAACACATCCCACACAAGGCTTTTCCTCACCTCTTTCCATACGCACAATTTACTTTAATAATAATAACAGCAACAACAAAATTAAGTAATAGTAATACTAATAATACATTCATTTATTAACCACCTCATTATCTCCCTCAGGAAACGCATCAGACAGGCATCCTACACAAAGCTTCTCCAGACACACGAGTCACTTTAGTAAGAAAAAATATATAATAGTAATAATAAAGAATAATATAATAATAAGTAATACCCAACTTATTACCTCCTTTACGGGCACATCAGCCAATAGTAAAAATTAACAATAATTGGAATAAATAATAATAATACATGATATATTACTTATCTTATTATCTCCCTCATAAACACATCACACACCCCATACGAGTCTTTTCCATGCACACAACTGACTTTAATAATGATAATAAATAGTAAAATAGTAAAAACTACTAATAAAAGTAATAATAGTAATAATACACTATTTATTACCCACCAACATTATCTCCTTCAAAAACACATCAGTCAGACACACATCCTACACAAGGTTTCTCCATACACACAAGTCACTTTAATAATAAGAATATAGAATATACAGTAGAATCTCCCTTATCCAACCTTCGCTCATCCAACGCAGTCTATCTCCCGCCCAGATCCACAGCTGTTTAATACGTTGCGATGTTTTGGTGCTAAATTTGTAAATACAGTAATTATTATATAATATTACTGTGTATTGAACTCCCTTTTTGTTGATTTGTTATAAAACATGATGATTTAGTGCTTAGGTTGTAAAATCATAACATAATTTGATGTTTAATAGGCTTTTTCTTAATCCCTCCGTATTATCCGACATTTTTGCATATCCAACGTTCTGCTGGCCCATTTATGTTGGATAAGCCAGGCTCTACTGTACTGTATGTATTTATTACCCACGTCATTATCTCCCTCAAACACATAAGTCAGACACACATCCTACACAAGGCTTCACCATACACACAACTCACTTTAATAACAATAATAGTACAAACTAATAATAATATTAATAAACAATACATGATTTATTACCCACCTCATTATCTCCCTCACAAACACATTTGACAAACATCCCAAACAAGGCTTTTTCCTTGCCTCTTTTTCACACACAAGTGACTTTAATGAGAATAGGAAATAATAATAATAATAAATAGTAAAATAGATAAATAATGCATTATTTATTACCCACTTCATTATCTCCCTCAGGAAACACATCCATCAGGCACCCATCCCACACAAGGCTTTTTCACATACACAAGTCACTTTAACAATAAAAATAATATGTAATAGTACACACACACACATATACAATGCTCTGTTCATTTTGAGTGACATCATAACTCAAAAACTGCTGGACTAATTGCCGCCAAATTTGGCCACAAGACACTTACTAACCCAAGGAGTTACCATCACACAAAAAAAAACCACCCTGATTTTGTCATTTGGGAGTTGTACTTACTGGGATTTATAGTTCACCTACAATCAAAGAGCATTCTGAACCCCACCAACAATAGAATTGAACCAAACTTGGCACACAGTTCTCCCATGACCAACAGAAAATAGTGGAAGGGTTTGGTGGGCAGTGTCCTTTGGTTTTGGAGTTGTAGTTCACCTACATCCAAAGATCACTGTGGACTCAAAATTCTAAACAGAACCCCCCCCCCTCACCACACACACTGAACCCCCATGACTGTTTTCTGGTGGTCTTTGGCAACCCTCCTGGCATCCCCTCGCGACCCTCAGGTTGAGAAATGCTACCTTAAGGCCATCCAGTCCAACTCCCTTCACCAGGGCAAGAAATCAAAGAGCCATCCAGCCATAGATGGCTGTGGAACGCCCTTCCCATGGACATTAGATCAGCCCCTTCGTTAATGGTGTTTCGAAGAAAACTAAAAACCTGGCTGTTCGAACAGGCGTTCGGTTAAACAATGCAATGTACACGATGAATATAGGAAACGGAATTATGGAAGACGAATTGGATCACGATTCTAGTTACGAGACGTTAATGTGTTGTTATTGATGTGTCATTTTGTATATTATGCTGTTAATGGTTTTTAAATTTTGTATGCTGTTGGATTGACTTTTGCTCTTGTTGTAAACCGCGTTGAGTCGCCTACAAGGCTGAGAAATTGCGGTATACAAGCAAAGTAAATAAATAAATAAATAAATATTTAGACAGACACACAGAGGCTATTTAACTTTCCAGCTTCATGAGGTATGCTTTGAATTCATAGATTTGAAAGGGACCCCTAAAGAAGGACAATTATATGTTGCATGTTCCAGGGTAGGCAAACCAGACAATCTCCAAATCAACACTGACAAAGAAACAACAAAAAATGTTTACCCACAAGCATAAAGACATTAGAAAGCAACACTTTCTCATTACATCATTTTCCAGAACACAAGATTGGGCCACAGCAACGCGTGGCTAGAGAGGGCTAGTAACATACAATAAAACAGCAACTCACTTCATTCGTATTGTTCTGAATAATTATCCCTTTCCCGCAGGTCTTTCTACTCCAACAGGCCAGGCCTCTCTTTCCGCTCTTCCCCCAGCTCACCTCACCAAGGTCTTTCTTCCTTCCTGGCCGGCTTCTCCCCTCAAAAGGCGGGAGGAAGCATCCCAGGCTCTTCCTGCCTTCCGCTCCCCGCATAGGAAGCCCTTCTCCTTCCTTCGTCCTTCTTTCCGGCTTTTCCCCGCGTCTTCTGCCTTACTTTGAGCCAGCCTTCCCCTTCTGACCCTTCCCGCTCGCCGTCCAACCAGGCTCCCTCGCTTGTATTTGGCGGGAGTTCGGGCCACCTTCGCGCTCCGGGGCTCTGATTGGGCGGGACGCGCGGGGCACGTGACCAACCCAACGCGCGCGCCGCCTCCCTCCTTTCCCGATTGGCTCTTGGCTACTCCTGGCCCTTCTCGCGACAAGTGCTGGAGGGAAGGCGAAGGGGATGTGCGCATGCGCGCTTGCCTTCCAACTCATTCTCTCGAGGAGTAACATAGTGAAACGTGAAAAACAGAAAGGATTGCATCTCCGAAATGCTTCCAAAACCTTCTATCTAAATAAAAATGTAATGCTCGTTTTGTGGGATTGACAGAACTCAAAAACCACTGGACAAATTGACACCAAATTAGGACACAAGACATCTAACAACCCGATGTATGTCCTTCACTCAAAAAAATTGATTTTGTCATTTGGGAGTTGTAGTTGCTGGGATTTATAGTTCACCTACAATCAAAGAGCATTCTGAACCCCACCAACGATGGAATTGAACCAAACTTGGCACACAGTTCTCCCATGACCAACAGAAAATACTGGAAGGGTATGGTAGGTAGGGCTGGCTTTCGTGGCCGGAATCACTGGGTTGTTGTAGGTATTTTGGGCTGTATGGCCATGTTCTAGAAGCATTATCTCCTGACATTTCGCCTGCATCTATGGCAGGCATCATCAGAGGTAGTGAGGTCTGTTGGAAACTAGGAAAATTGGGTTAATATATCCGTGGAAAGTCCAGGGTGGGAGAAAGAACTCCTGTCTGTGCTGGGCTAGGTGTGAATGTTTCAACTGACCACCTTGATTAGCATTTAATGGCGTGGAAGTGCCTGGGGGGAAGTCTTTTGTTGAGAGTGTTAAGATGTGCCTGGTTGTTTCCTCTCTGTTTTGCTGTTGTAATTTTAGAGTTTTTTAATACTGGTAGCCAGATTTTGTTCATTTTCATGGTTTCTTCCTTTCTGTTGAAATTGTCCACATGCTTGTGGATTTCAATGGCTTCTCTGTGTAGTCTGACATGGTGGTTGTGAGAGTGGTTCAGCACTTCTGTGTTCTCAAATAATATGCTGTGTCCAGGTTGGTTCATCAGGTGCTCTGCTATGGCTGATTTCTCTGGTTGAAGTAGTTTGCAGTGCCTTTCATGTTCCTTGATGCGTGTATAGGCGCTGCGTTTGGTGGTCCCTATGTAGACTTGTCCACAGCTGCATGGTACACAGTAGACTCCTGCAGAGGTGAGTGGAGGGGAAACAAACAGGCACATGAAATCACTCTCAACAATAGATTCCCCCCCAGGCGCTTCCAAGCCATTGAATGCAAATCAAGGTGATCAGCTGAAACATTCACAGCTAGCCCCAGCAAACAAAAGTCCTTTGTCTCACCCTGGTCATTCCACAGATATATAAACCCATTTTTCCTACTTCCAACAGACCTCACTACCTCTGAGAATGCTGCCATAGATGCAGGTGCAGGGAGTTGAAACGGCAGGAGAGAATGCCGCTAGACGAGGACGCCGAAGAGCGACACACATGGGGCACACGACACGACCGTGAGCACACACGTAGGGTCGCATACCGGCAACTATGGCAGATCAAGTGAGACCACGTTGTCGGGATGCCCACACTCCCAAAGCAGTTGCTCTACTTCGAACTCAAGAACGGAAAACAGAATGTTGGTGGACAGGAAAAGAGATTTAAAGATGGGCTCAAAGCCAACCTTAAAAATTCCGGCATAGACACGGAGAACTGGGAAGCCCCGGCTCTTGACCGCTCCAGCTGGAGGTCAGCTGTGACCAGCAGTGCTGCAGAATTTGAAGAGGCACAAATGGAGGGCGAAAGGGAGAAGCGTGCCAAGAGGAAGGCGCATCAAGCCAACCGACCGAGACCGCCTTCCACCTGGAAACCAATGCCCTCACTGCGGAAGAAGATGCAGAGCAAGAATAGGGCTCCACAGCCACATACGGACCCACAAGAATATTGGAAGACAATCATCCTCAGAAACGAGGGATCGCCTAATTAAATGAAGGAATGATAATGTAATTCACCTACATCCAGAGATCACTGTGGATTCAAACAATGATGGATCTGGACCAAACGCAACACAAATACACAACATACAAACCACCTACAAACCCACCAAGAAAATCCAACAAATGCTACGTTCAGCAAAGGACAAGAGGGATCCTCTCATCTCTGCAGGAGTCTACTGTATTCCATGCAGCTGTGGACAAGTCTACATAGGGACCACCAAACACAGCATTGCCCAAACACGAATCAAGGAACATGAAAGGCACTGCAGACTACTTCAACCAGAGAAGTCAGCCATAGCAGAGCACCTGATGAACCAGCCTGGACACAGCATATTATTTGAGAACACAGAAATGCTGGACCACTCTCACAACCACCATGTCAGACTACACAGAGAAGCCATTGAAATCCACAAGCATGTGGACAATTTCAACAGAAAGGAAGAAACCATGAAAATGAACAAAATCTGGCTACCAGTATTAAAAAACTAAAAAATTACAACAGCAAAACAGCAGAGAGTAAATAATCAGGCACATCAAATCACTCTCAACAAAAGATTCACCCAGGCACTTCCAAGCCATTAAATGCTAATCAAGGTGGTCAGTTGAAACATTCACACCTAGATCCAGCAGACAAGAGTCCTTTGTCTCACCCTGGTCATTCCACAGATATATAAACCCATTTTTCCTACTTCCAACAGACCTCACTACCTCTGAGGATGCTTGCCATAGATGCAGGTGAAACGTCAGGAGAAAAATTGCCTCCAGAACATGGCCATATAGCCTGGAAAAACCTACAACAACCCAGCAACACGAATACTCAATATGCCCAGATGTGAACACTGGCGGAGTTTGGGGAAAATAGAATCTTGACATTTGGGAGTTGTAGTTGCTGGGATTTATGGTTCACCTTCAATCACAGAGCATTCTGAACCCCACCAACGATAGAATTGGGCTAAACCTCCCACACAGAACCCCCATGTGGGCCACAGCAATGTGTGACAGGAGACAGCTAGTCTATATAAATAAAAAATTAATGTTTGTTTGTGGAATTAGCATAACTCAAAAACCACTGCAACATGCTCTATGTGGCGTTGCTTTTGAAGACTGTTCAAAAGCTTCAAATGGTCCAACGGACAGTAGCCAGATTGCTCATGGAGCAGCGTTCAAGGAGCATACAACCCCTCTGTTACGTCAACTCCACTGGCTGCCGGTTTGTTACCGGGCACAATTCGAAGTGCTGGCTTTAGCCAATAAAGCTCTAAAAGGTTCCAGCCCAGCTTACCTGTCCAAATGTATATCTCTAATATAATATAAATGGGTTCCTGGATAAGTACATATAACAAAAATACCACTTATACATAGAGTAAACAATAATAGAATTCAACAAGCAGTTATATAGACATGTTGTACTGTTCAATTTCACAGTGATGTCAAACAATATTGTGGAAATTTTGGTACAGTCTCTTTAGAATAATAACAATGTCGTATCTACTTATGTTGAGTAGCTTATAGATCAGCCGTCCACTAAATACAACAAAAATGCCACTTATACATAGACTAAACAATAATAGAATTCAACAAGCAGTTATATAGACATGTTGTACTGTTCAATTTCACAGTGATGGCAAACACTATTATGTACATTCTGGTACAGTCTCTTTAGAATAATATCAATGTCGTATCTTCTTATGTTGAGTAGCTTATAGATCGGCCGTCCATGACTGGTTTCGGCCTATCTCAGGCCTTCTTCTGGTGGACTGAAATTAATGTATAAATCAATATTTTGCTCCGGTTGCATACATATAGAACATCTTATACTAAAATGTACTCAAAGAAATTTGTTAAGTCTTCACACTTGTTATTACATCAATATTTGTTGAACATATCCATTAAACACCATGTGTTACAACACATTTAAGTTACTTACAAGGTTATACACTTGAGAATTTGTTCTCCTCAGGAGATACAGATTTTTGGCTCAACAAATATTGAATACAAATATTGAATACAAATATTCAAGGATACCATGCATCTTAGTCTTGGTCGGACCCTCTTCCTTTTACCTTCCATTTTCCACAGCATCATTGTCATCTCCAAGCTTTCCTGTCTTCTCATTATGTGGCCAAAGTACTTCATCTTTGCCTCTAATATCCTTCCCTCCAGTGAGCAGTCAGACATTATGCCCTGGAGGATGGACTGGTTTGATCTTCTTACGGTCCAAGGCACTCTCAGAATTTTCCTCCAGCACCACAGTTCAAACGTTTTTCTCTTCCTTTGCTCAGCCTTCCTTATGGTCCAGCTCTCCCATCCAAAGTGGCTATGCGGAGTACCATTGCTTTAACTATCTTCGTTGCCAGCGTGATGTCTCTACTCTTCACTAGTTTATCAAGATTGGTCATTGCTCTCCTCCCAAAAAGTAAACATCTTCGGATTTCCTGGCGGCAGTCTGCGTCTGCAGTAATCTTTGCACCTAGAAATACAAACCCTGTCATTGCCTCCACATTTTCTCCCTCTATTTTCCAGTTATCAGTCCACCCGGTTGCCATAATCAAACCTAGCAGTTCGCAAACATGCAAATGTGAGTGAATCAATAGGTTTAACTCTGGCAGGAAGGTAACGGCGCGCCATGCAGTCATGCTGGCCACATACCTACCTTATGCTATTATTTATAATATTATTTATGTGTAATAATATATTATTTATTTATTTATTTATTTATTTAGAGCTTTTATAACCCGGTCTTCTCGACCTCCGAAGAGGGACTCAGGCCGGTTCACAACAAGAGATTCATAAACAATAATATAAAAACATCACACTTCATATACACCAATCCATAAAATACATTAAAATACAAACATATAATTACATAAGGCCAAGTCGTCAGAATGAAATCACAATTCATCACTATCCGTCCTGTGGTCAAGAGTTATTGACTCACTCATCAAATGCTATATTCCAAAGCCAAGTTTTCACCAGCTTTCTAAAAGTCAGGAGAGAAGGGGCAGTTCTAATCTCCAGTAGGAGAGAGTTCCAGAGCCGAGGGGCCACCACCGAGAAGGCCCTGTCCCTTGTCCCCACCAGACGCGCTTGCGAGGGTGGTGGAACCGAGAGCAGGGCCCCTCCAGAAAATCTTAACAACCTTGATGGTTCATAGGGGAGAATCCGTTCGGACAGGTAAACTGGGCCGGAGTCGTTTAGGGATTTATAGGTCAACACCAGCACTTTGAATTGTGCTCGGAAGCTAATTGGCAGCCAGTGGAGCTGGCGCAACAGAGGAGTAGTATGCTCCCTGTACCCCGCTCCTGTTAGTAATCTGGCTGCTGCTCGTTGGACTAATTGAGCTTCCGGGCAGTCTTCAGAGGCAACCCCATGTAGAGAGCATTGCAGTAGTCTATACGGGATGTAACCAGAGCGTGGACCACCGTGGCCAAGTCAGACTTCCCAAGGTACGGGTGCAGCTGGCGCACAAGTTTTAATTGTGCAAAAGCTCCCCTGACCACCACCGAGACCTGGGGTTCCAGGCTCAGCGATGAGTCCAGGATCACTCACAAGTACGGAACTGCGCCTTCAGGGGGAGTGTAACCCCGTCAGCACAGGCTGTAACCCTATGCCCTGTTCGGCCTTTGACTGACCAGGAGCACCTCTTTCTTGTCTGGATTTAGTTTCAATCTGTTCATCCTCATCCAGTCCGTTACAGCGGCCAAGCACCGGTTCAGGACTTGAACAGCTTCCTTAGTAGCAGGTGGAAAGGAGTAACAGAGTTGGACATCATCTGCATACAGATGACACCGAACCCCGAAACTCCGGATGATCTCTCCCAATGGCTTCATGTATATGTTAAACAACATAGGGGACAGTACTGAGCCCTGTGGGACTCCACAGGACAATGGCCACGGAGTCGAGCAGGAGTCCCCTAGCGACACCTTCTGGGAGCGACCCTCGAGGAAGGACTGGAGCCACTGCAGAGCAGTACCCCCAAGGCCCATTCCCGCGAGGCGACCCAAAAGGATACCGTGGTCGACGGTATCAAAGGCCAATGAGAGGTCCAGCAGAACCAACAGGGATACACTCCCCCTGTCTAGTTCCCGGCGAAGATCATCCACTAAGGCGACCAAGGCTGTCTCAGTACCATGTCCCGGCCTAAAGCCAGACTGCGCCAGATCCAGATAATCCGTGTCTACCAAGAAATCCCGGAGTTGCGAGGCCACCACACGTTCCAGGACTTTCCCCAAATAGGGAAGATTGGAAACTGGCCGATAGTTGACAAATTGAGTGGGATCCAGTGATGGCTTTTTCAACAGCGGTTTTATAACAGCTTGTTTTAAGCTGGCTTGAATGTTGCCTTCCTGAATATATGAATATTATTATATTCATAATTATTTATAATAATGTAACATTTATAATTTATTATTATTTTATTTCAAAGTTTTCTATACCGACCTTCTCACCTCATTGAGGGACTCAGCCCGGTTTCCAACCATAAAAACACATACAATCAGTAAAATATCATAGTTCACAATTACAGTAACACATTTAAAATAACAATATATTTAAAACTACAGTGGTTAGTCGTCATATTAAAATCAAATATACATCATCTTCCATCCAAAATCCTAGGGTGTTGTCTCATTCATCGAAAGCCTGTCTCCACAACCATGTCTTCACCCGTTTCCTAAATGTCAGGATAGACGGGGCGGTTCTGACCTCCGGTGGGAGAGAGTTCCAGAGTCGCGGGACCACCACCGAGAAAATGTATAATTATTTATGGGTAAGTAAAAGTAAAGGTTTTCCCCTGACATTAGGTCCAGTTGTGTCCAACTCTGGGGGTTGGTGCTCATCTCCATTTCTAAGCTGAAGAGCTGGCGTTGTCCATAGACACCCCCATGGTCATGTGGCCGGCATGACTGCATGGAGCGCCATTACTTTCCCGCCGGAGCGGTACCTATTGATCTATTAACATTTGCATGTTTTGAACTGTTCGGTTGGCAGAAGCTGGGGCTAACAGCGGGAGCTCATGCCGCTCCTCAATTTCGAACCTGAAACCTTTCCGTCAGCAAGTTCTGCAGCTCAGCAGTTTAACCAACTGTGCCACTGGGGGCTCCATAATTATTTATAATAATATAATATTTATTTATATTATTATAGTGCCACTGTACGAAAGTTTCCCAAATAGGAGGGGGAAAAATCCCTTCTGTCTCCCAAACATTTTAGATCAGCGTGCGATGCTTCCCTCCCGACGACAGGGGGCGCTCCGGCACCGGTCTCCGGAAGCAGGAAGCCGAGGCGTGAGCAGAAGGCGCTCTATCCCCCGGCTCTTTCGTTTGGAAGCGTGTAGGCCGGGCCTTCTTCGGCGGAAAGCATTATCCCTTTGCGCGCATGCGCAATCCAGCGAGCGGAAGTGACCTGAGAGAGAGGGACGTGGAGAGCGAGCGGGGCAGAGCTTGGCGCTCCTCCGCTCGGCTGCTTCTGCTTGCCTGCCTGCCTGCCTGCCTGCCTCTCTTCCCTCCTTCGTGTCCCATCTCCCTTTTTTGGGACTACTTTGTGTGTCCTTCCGCGCCTCTTGTCTGTCAGGCTCCCTTCTGTGTCTCCTCAGCCTGTCTGTCTTCTCCTCCATTCCTTTCTGTGATATCAACACCACTTCCCTCAGCCTTCTTTCCTCTCAGGGACTATTGGGGCCTTCTCTCTTTGCTCTGCCTCACTGAGGACTAGACCCTTGAGCCTCAGTCCTATTATTATTATTAATATTATTAATATTGGTATTTAAATTGGCCTGCCCCCGTGTTTGGGGTCTTTGGGCTTTAAACCTCATACTTATTCTCATTGTTAATATTAATATTTTAATTTATCCCCCCAGTTTGGGGCCTTTAGGACTGATTGCACATCCTAATTACTCTGCCTCGTTGCCATGGGTTTTTCCTGAGGCGAATTATTATTTTTACTAAGAATACAAATCGTTCTGAGTCACTGGCTGCTCCTTAGCCTTATTATTAGCGATAATAATAACATTGGTTGGCTTTGGCCCTCCTTCTTAGGCTTATTATTATTCATATTGCTATCAATATTGGTCTGCTTCCCAAGCTGTTTGCTTTGGGCTGTTTTTTAGGCATAGTATTAGTATTCTAAATCAGTCCTGCTTCTCTTATCAGTTGGCTTTGGACTATTTCTTGGTCTTATTATTATTAGTATTAGTATTCTCAATCAATTCTGCTTCACTAGCTGTTGGCTTTGAGCTGTCACTTAGGCTTATTAGTATTAGTATTCTAAATAAATTCTGCTTTTCTAGCTGTTGGCTTTGGACTGTTTATTGGGCTTATTATTATTATTAGTATTCTAAATAAATACTGTTTCCCCAGCTGTTGGCTTTGGGCTTTCTCTTAGGGTTGTTATTATTATTATAAGTATTCTAAACCAATTCTGCTTCTCTATCAGTTGGCTTTGGACTGTTTCTTGGGATTATTATTATTAGTAGTAGTAATATTAGTATTATAAATACATTCTGCTTCCTTAGCTGTTGGATTTGGGCTGTTTCTTGGGCTTATTATCAGTATTACTAGTATTATTATTAGTAGTGGTGGTATTATAAATCAGTTCTGCTCCCCTAGCTGTTGACTTTGGGCTACCCCTAAAGAGTATTGTTGATACGGTTATTGGTAATTTCTTCTCCCTTGGCAATTGAGTGCTCCTTAAGCTTATTATTGTTCATAGTACTATCGATAGATACATTCTGCTCCCTTTTGGCTCTTTCTGAGGGTTATTATAATAATTATTATTAATAACATAGATAAATTGGTCTCCTCCCTTGGCACTTGGTTTTGGTGTCCTCAGGTTTATTATTGTTATACATATCTGTTCTGTTCCCCTATCTGTTGGTTTTGGGCTGCTTCTTAAGAGTTACTATTATTATTAACGTTATTGTATATCAATCCTGCTTTCCTGGCTGTTGGCTTTGGGCTACGTATTCTTATTGATATTATTATAGATACGTTGATCCACTCCCGTAGCTGGGCTGTTCCTCAGGCCTTCTCTCTCTACATTCCTATATGAAGTAAGTACCGATTTGCCTTTCTTTTTCCAGCCGTGCCTTGTCTTTTTGGAGTGAAACTAGCTCCCTTTTCACCTAAACACAGGGAGAATAGTGTCTGACTTTTTTTGCCATTTATTTGTGTGGTGGGAGAAAACTTCCCACTATTTTTGGCCTCTCTTTCTGTCTCATAACTCAAAACACTTGCCTTTCTTACTCTCTTTCCTTCTACATTTTTGAGGCAGGAAGAGGAGGCAGCTGTCCTGAGTTTGGCTTTAACCCTCTATCTCTCCGATCCAAGAGCTGGACTCTGCCCTGATCCTTTTCCTTCCTTCCCCCAAACTCTCAGAGTAGCCTTGTCCCTTTGTTTCTACTCTTCTGGATCCAAATCTGTGGTTCACCTGCTTTCTTCTTGATCTCACAATCCCTGTGGACTGATTTGGGGATCCGTCGGAAGCCATCATGTCTGTGGCAGGACTGAAGAAGCAGTTCTACAAAGCCAGCCAGGTGAGAAAAGAGAATATGTCTATATATGTGTGTGTGTGTGTGTGTGTATAGATAGATAGAGATATAGATATAGATTTATATGGCAACTTGTTGTCATGAGCCTTTCCCCCACATCTTAGTAGCCTATCATGGTGTTTTCTTGGCAAGGTTTGCTCCTAAAGGGTTTTGCCACAACTGTCAATATGAAGGGTTGTCGCTTGTTGTCACCTGCCATCAACTCTACCTTAGGGTGACTCTATGAATGAGAGGATCCATAGCCATCGGCCTTGCAAACTTATTATTTGATGGAGTTGATCCAATAGTGTGATTTCCCCCATTTCCCACTTCTTTCCACTTTGCCAAACATGGGTTGTTTCCCCCCGAAACATTCCTAATATGACAGCCTTTGTTTAGCCGCCCACTAAGCTACCTTCCATTGTGTATCTCTATCTCAATGAGGTTGGTTCTGGAAATATGGGAAGGGGATCGAGAAAGCGGACATCCATGGTTACCTTTATCTCTGTCTTGATTACAGTATGCTCCTTCAGCAGCGAGCACAAAATTGCGCGTATGTCCTTTCCATATTATTCTCACATTATGGCGGGCCTTTATATCTGCTGGTGTTTGGTTCCAGAACAACATCCACATCCATTGAACACTCAAGCTCTATTATGCACAGCAATGTTGTTAAATGATGTCCCTGGTTTAAAACGGTAATAATCAAGGTTTGCCTTTAGGATTTTTTGCCCCCAAGCCATGGATGCAGAATCCGTGAATATGAAAGGCCAACTGTATCTCAGAATTAGGGACATCTTTCAGGAGTTTGTTGACTCCTTAAGGGATGTTTGACTGGCTGTTCCCTGGCTACTTAGGAAAACAAGATGCTGGTCTCAATAGCTGAAGGGTTGCCAGGTAGAAGCAAGACCCAGCTTGTTTTCTCCTGCTAAGAAGACTAAAAAAGGAACCCATGGATTCAATTGACCTTTAGGTTGCTGTGAGTTTTCCAGGTTGTCTGGCCATGTTCCAGAAGCATTCCTTCCTGATGTTTTACCCACATCTATAGCAGGCATCCTCAGAGGTTGTGAGGTCTTTTGGAAACTAGGAAAATTGAGTTTATATCCCTGTGGAATAATGTCCAGGGTGGGAGAAAGAACTCTTTTCTTCTTGAGGCGAGCGTGAATGTTGCAGTTGGCCACCTTGATTAGCATTGAATGGCCTTCAACGCCTGGCTGCTTCCTTCCTGGGGGAATCCTTTGTTGGGAGATGTTAGGTGGCTCTGATTGTTCCATATCTGGAATTCCCCTGGTTTTTTTTAGTGTTGCCCTTTATTTACTGTCCTGATTTTAGAGTTTTTTTAATACTGTTCATTTTCATGTTTTCTTCCTTTCTGTTGAAATTGTCCACATGATTGTGGATTTCACTGGCTTCTCTCTGTCATCTGACATGGTGGTTGTCAGAGTGGTCCAGCATTTCTGTGGTCTCAAATAGTATACTGTGTCCAGGTTGGTTCATCAGGTGCTCTGCTATGGCTGGCTTTTCTGGTTGGATTAGTTTACAGTGCCTTTCATGTTCCTTGATTCGTGTCTGGGCAATGATGCTGTGTTTGGTGGTCCCTATGTAGACTTGAGCCCCCGAAGAGTCCCCGGTGGCGCAGTGGGTTAAAGCACTGAGCTGCTGAGCTTGTTGATCGAAAGGTCGCAGGTTCGATTCCGGGGAGCGGCGTGAGCTTCCGCTGTCAGCCCTAGCTTCTGCCAACCTAGCAGTTCGAAAACATGCAAATGTGAGTAGATCAATAGGTACCGCTCCGACGGGAAGGTAACGGCGCTCCATGCAGTCATGCTGGCCACATGAACTTGGAGGTGTCTACGGACAACACCAGCTCTTCGGCTTAGAAATGGAGATGAGCACCACACCCCAGAGTCAGACATGACTGGACTTAATGTCAGGGGACAACCTTTACCTAACCTATGTAGACTTGTCAACAACTGCATGGTATACGGTAGACTCCTGCAGAGATGAGAGGATTCCTTTTGTATCCCAGCCCCATGTCTGGACATGGAAGCACAGTGTTATGGTGTCTTAAGACTTGGTTTGTTGTTGAGGTGTGACTTCAAGTCATTTCCAACATACGGTAAGCCTATAAATAAAGAAATTACTATTCCCCCACCACCACCCCTTTTCTTCCACTGCAATTCTGTAGAATCCTCCACTAGAATCAGGCATAGAACTGCATGGGAAGACCTAGAGATTCCTTAGAGAGGTGTTTGGAGGAAGTTGACCCTAGAGTCTCGCTTGTGATTTCTGTGAATCCAGAAAGCTGGCCTCGGAAGCTTCCTGGTCACCTCTCGCATTGCTCTGCTTATGGGCTTACGTTCTTATTTTCAGCAGGATTAATTTTAAGAAGTGCATAGGCCGCAGCGTCTCTAAAAAGGCGGCCAGCCAAAAACTGCATCTGCCAAAGCCCTGGAGACCGGACAGAGGGCAGGTTGGAATTGGCAGCTAACAGGAGAGAGAAGATGCAAGGCATCCTTCCCTTGTTAGGCTCAGCCTTAAGGAAATCATAGAAACGAAATAATTCTCCCAACAGTAGAACTCATTTTGGGGGAAGCAAGGACCTATTTGCAGTGAACATAAATGACTTTCTGGAATTATGTGTATAAGGAAGAGGAATGAATCTTGTGTTTAGGTTTGAGTCCCCTGTAAATATTCCAAATCTGAGATCCCACTCACTTTGGGTCCCTCCATGTTTCATAATAATGTGTGACACCAGGATTTGAATGCTGAGCAAGCGCAATGGGAAGTAAGGGGTTCAAATCCACCACTGGTGGCAAGTCACACTCTCTCAGCCTCAGGGGAGGGCGATGCAAACCTCCTTGAATAAATCTTAGTAGGAAAACCACAGGAAAGGATTGCCATTGAAGGCCTCTAGGAGGAAACTCAGTGTAATATAATGTTCCTGTTGAACTAGGATTCCAGGGATTCAAAACCTTGCTGGGCGATGTTGCATGAGTCACAATCTCTCAGCTTCAGAGGAAGGATATTGTTGGCTTCCACAGATGAAATTTCACAGCGAGAAAAACCGTGAGATCATCACGTTGACTTTGCCCAAAGTCAAAGTGGACATGATAACATACTACTGAAAAACTTTCAGGAAAGTGTAGTTCAGTGATGTGCTGTACAGCCTTCCTTACCATCAACTAGTGGCTGCTGGGAGTTGTAGTCCAACCACATTGAGAGGGCTGGAGAAACCCTACCTCTTCTTTACAGGCTGTCCTTTCTTGGCTGTTCAGGAGGCATAATTCATTTTCCCAAAATGCTGAATGTGAGCCCCCTCCATTGTTTGTAAACTTCCCAAAATCAACGTTTTCCCAGGGAGGACAGCCATGGCAGCTTTGTTTGTGATATGTGGGCTCTTCTGGTTGGGAACAGAGGAATTCTGGGGTTTACAATCCAAATGCTGCTAATTATATTCCATATTCTGGGATTTACAATCTAAATTCTGGGATTTACAATCCATGCAACCTGAATTCTGGGATTTATAATTCATACAATTTAAATTCTGGGATGTACAATCCATACAATTCAAATTCTGGGATTTACAGTCCATACTATCCAAATTCTGGGATTTACAATCCAAATTCTTGAACTTGCAACTCATACAGTCCATATTCTGGAATTTATAATCTAAACTCTGGGGTTTACAATCCATACAATCCCAATTCTGGGGTTTACAATCCTAATTCTGGGATTTACAATCCATACAAGACAAATTATTGTATTTACCACCCCCAAAAATAATGCCTTTCAAGCTCTACAATTGGGGTGTGTGTGCTTATTCCAAATGCAAGGATGAAAGTGATACTTCCTTTATTTTCGTTCCTCTTAATTTCTGCTGGCTGGTTTTGCGGTTTGGGAGCACAGTGAGAGGGAACGGCAACCACCTTGCCCTATTTCTTGCGGCCCTTTTGTGTTTTTGCACATATTTACCTGACTTTCAACACTGATCTCCCACCGTGTGCCAACAGCTAAAACTCAGCAGCTATTTCCATTTGGCATCTGTTCCCTAACAAAGACATTCCATCTCGCATCCTTTGAACTGTGTTGTCATTGCAGGGGAGTGATGATGAGGTGCCTGCATTGATCAACGCCAACATCAGATGCAAAATATATTTATAGATAGGCCTTTAATGAAGTGGCACAGCCTTCTCCTATTTATCATCCTCCAGTGCGATTCTATGGTCACCTTCTTCCCATCGTGTTGTGAGACCTAGAGATTTCTAGATGGAACACCTCTTTAGATATCTCTAGGTCAGAGCTATCAAACTTTGCTCGTTGACGACACACTTTTTCGGCCTGAATCCTTTTGCGACGTAGTCATTCAGTTTTACTAGCAAGCTGGAAGTTAACCACTTACAAGAGTCATACTATGTATATATAAGTTTCATATAATGTTTACTGTTGAAACAAGATTAGGACGTGTTTCTTTACACTTCTTATGTATTACTACAGTGTTTCTCAACCGAGGGATCGCAAGGGGGTTTCAGAGGGGTCATCAAAGACCATCAGAAAACATTTTTTTTTTTATTGTCTAAAGAAGGCTGAAGATCTCTCTGCCTGTCCTTCCCTTCCTTTTTGGAAACAGACAGCGAATGCTTCCACCAAAAGCCCTTCTCCACTATGATTGGCCAGCCTCTCAGACTCCAAGTGGAGGAGGGGAGAGCAGGTGTGCTCTGCACATGGCAGCGTGGTACGCATGTGTGGGTGAGGGAGAGCTTGTAAGGCTGGAGGAAGGCTTGTGCCAGCAAATCCCTTCAAGGCATGGAGGTTCTGTGTGGGAAATTTGGCCCAATTCTGTCATTTGTGGGGTTCAGAATGCTCTTTGATTGTAGGTGAACTATAAATCCCAACAACTACAACTCCCAAATGTCGAGGTCTATTTTCCCCAAACTCCACCAGTGTTCACATTTGGGGGTATTTGTGCCAGATGTGGTCCAGATCCATCATTGTTTGAGTCCACATTG